ATATAGTGATTGAAGATGTTCAAATATTTAATGAGATGTAATATTTTCACTTATCATAAGATAGAAAACAAAACTGATATGTAATGAGTTAAATAAATTACTCAAAAATAAAAAACATAACCCAATAAATAGAAAAAAAAAAAGGAAAAAGATTCTCACTATCCTTATGCTTAATTGTTTTCAAAATGTATTATGAGACTAATTTTTGAACATTGAATGCTACAAGATAAAAATTCTTTACGATATCATTGAAGAAATTCCTCCTTTGTGAGTTTTTTGGGTATATGATAAAAATATAATCTAAAAGAGGAACACTAATTTACTCATCCCTAATAACAAAGAGATTTTTAAGTATTTTATTTTAATATTTCAAATGAAAAGAAAAGAGAAATTGGTGACAATCAATTAGGCAAGATGGATGATTTGGCAGCAATACATATAGGCTTTGTTTTAGATTTTTAATAAATTTTAAAATTATAATAATGATCATTAAATTTTAAACGTTCAAGGGAAGATAAAGGTGAAGGAATAGTAATAAAAAGTTAATAGCAAGTAATTAAAAGGCAATAATTAAATATGGCTAGTAAAATATTAAAAAAGGAATTAATTAAAATTTTCAAAGGTTTAATAAGGCCAAAAATTTCAAGCAAGGAAAAACGAATGCTAAAAATTCTGAACAGTTCTACCTCTTCCAATAATGTGTTGCATCAAGCGCAACCAGAAAAACTATATGTTCTCATTTATATGTATATAGATAATTTATTAATGATATGATTATAACCGATAATATTTTTAGTATCTTAATTTCAATTTATTCAAATGAAAAGGACAAGAGAAATTTGACGAAATTCACTTAGGTTAAATGAAAGAGTTGGAAAACAAAATATAGATTTATTTTTAGTAATTTTTTAATATCAATTTCAAATTTTTTCTGTTATTGGACGATCATTAAAATTTAAAAAAATTAACTTTTTAAACGTTTAATGAAGTTTAGGAAGGTTAAAAATTATAATAATTTAAATTTGAAAAATTAAATGTGGAACGTTTAGGAAAGTGGAATGATTAACATAAGTAAAATAAAAGGAAATACTATAAAAATCGCAAGTAAAATTACTAAAAGGAATATAATTAAATTTAAAAAGTTTTTAAAAGAAAATTTTCCTATGTACGGAAAAAATAAAATGTCCTTTTAAAATGATGTCTGTCTCACAATTTCTCTATTGGAAATCTCCGGTTTAACTGAATTTATATCTATAATATATATTATATATATATATTATATATATACTAATATATAATATTTGGTAAGCACGGATGCTTATTAAATTTGTGATTCAAATGGTTTAAATTGTCCAAATATATTTGTAAGCACGGATGCTATTAAAATTTGGTGATTAAATGGTTTAAATTGTCCAAAAATGCATTCTATTATTGGGTTTAATGCAATCAAACAACCATCAATTAATTTGTTCAAATATAAATTGAGAATTCAAATCCATGGTTCCAACAGTAACATTATAGATTTTCTGATATTTTTTATTCCTTTCTATTAGAATAAATAACATAACAGTGATACTTGTTGATGTGTATAAAAATTTCATACATAAATTTCATATGCTTATATTGAAATAGTTTTTCCTTGTTATGTCTCAAAAATTGAATTTTTTTTTTTATTTTTCCTTACCACGAAGATATATCTTCTGATTATCTAAACTGTGTTATATCATGATTACAATTACTTTAAACCTATTATAACGTTAACAGTTTTTATTTTTGATTTAATTACATTAATGAATGACATACCATATAAATTAATGGAAATATTGTGTGATTTTATCATTTGAGAACATAATTCATAGAATTGCAAAAATTGTTAGTATATATATATACAATTTACCAACTTATTTTTTTTATACTATTTTGCACATGCGGTAGTATGATTAAAATATATTTGAGACATATAATAAAATATAATTTTAAAAGCTAACGAAGATTTAAGTTAATGGAAAGGAAGGTGATGATGATGATTCAAATATAACAATATCTTTTTATGCTATTTTTAGATTTACATTATTTTTTTATATATTATGGGAGTAACTAGTTCTCAAGGTCACTTCAATATTAGAGAACTAGTCTCGATGCTTCATAGGTGTTTCCACGTCTATAGAAGATGCCACTTGTTGTTTTAATGTAATGTTTGATCTATGAATAAAAATATTCATTTTGTTGTCCTTATATGCAATACCGTGTTATGTATTGTTATATGGTTGTTTTTACATTTATATTCCAATATCTATTTATACATTGGTATCATATTCTTCTAACGTCTATTACTATCTTGCAGATAATTAGTTGAGATATTTAATTGGCTTATTTGAAGGTGCTCCAAGCAAGCGCATTTCTCTTGTGCGCGTCATACGAGCCTATGACATTTGTATTGAGTTCAATCATCTTCCTCAACAGTTTGCTTTTTTGTGCTGTTGGCAATTTCATCGATTTCTCGATTTCTTTAGTGTTGGAAAGGTGAGCACATTTGACTGTAATAATGGATTTACAAATGACTTCTAATTATCATATTTAATTTTTCTCCAACATCTCAATATTTTCATAACTTAGATTGTATAAACATGGATCTTTTCCTTTCATTTATAAGCCTGTATGAATTTAGATCTTCATCATTTACAATCATTTCTGCAATTTTTTTTTTTTTCTTTTTAGATGAGAAAGTCATGCAAATGTTGGTAAAAGAAAAACACTAATAAACAATGTTATTTCAGTTGATAAGCACAACAAATATGATATGAGATATTTATTTCTAATTATTTTATAATACCTACTGTTGCATAATTTAGTTTAAAATTGCAAAAAAATGAAGCTAACATCTAATTAACATTATTTACAAAATCACATTAACACGACTAATCTATTAGTTATAACTAAACTTGGAAAAGCATATGCCATAATTATCTATTAAAAAACGAAAAAATTTTGTAAGAAAATGAAGCTTATCATTCCTTTTGTTGTGTGCAGAATGATGAAAGTATGAGGAGATATAAAAATAATTTTGTAAAAAATAATAGAGATTACTGTCTATGTTCACAAAAATTTACCCATCTTTTGATGCTCATTAGGAGGGCAAATCATATTAGAGGTAATTACCATTTCAAAAAAAATATTAGAGGTAATTAAACTTTAGGATTAATTGTTATTTGATCACAAAACATCAATGTGATACAGATAAAATTACTATAATTATTATTATTTTTTTTCAGTTTATCATATTTGAAATTACCCAGCAAAATTTTATTAAAAATTTTGATGCCTACTACGAATTTAATAATGCAATTTGAGCTGACAAATACGCAACTCCTACACACGAAACAAATACCACTTTGCTGTGAGCATGTATGTTTCAGGTGAGCTTGCAGCTTATGTCAATTGTTTGGGTGCGCAATTCACCGGAAAATCCCAAATGTGATCAAATTAAAAATTGAATGATCCATCTTAATGAAATTAATTTTCTGTAAACAAATTAGAAACAACCTGACTTACCTCTCATCAAAGAAGATATATTACATTTATAGTCTTCAAAGGATATATGCTGTAGATGAACATTTGATGGTGTATGATTACCTAAAACCGAAGACGTAAGACCTATAATATATGAAAATAAACAACAAATGAACAAACAATAGCCATTGACAAAACACATATGGGTTGAGCATCCAGCATCTCTCAGTTTCTTTCAATCCCTATTATTGGTCTTGATGGCTGATTTTCCTAATGTAAGCATCGGATGCATTCAAGTTTAGTGATTCAATGGTGTAAAATTGTCCAAATGCTAAGCCTATTATTGGCTTTCATGCAACCAAACAACCTTCAATCAAAAGTATTTTGTTCAAATCCATAGTTCCAACAGCAACAACATAGATTTTCTAGTAACTGTGCCAAGTTTTAGTGTGAAGCTGACAAAACCTAGAACTCTTCGACCTTTGTTTTCCAATCTAAGTCTCAATTCCATAAAAATCTAATTATTCTCTTATACAAACATAAGATAACCTACAAGAAGGTAAAATTACTGAAATCATTAACTACCCAAAACCTGTCTCTCTTGCTTGGTTTGACTTCAGAACATAATGATAAAACCCTACAGAGACTCTTCTTAAAGATGGATAGCCAAAATCAGGATAAATTGGATTCCAGGTATATGGAACTTACAGTATCATTTTGCTTAGACACTGTTTGATATAAATGAGTTCGATAAAATTTTACAACAGTTATGTAAAATTCCATGTTTTCATGTTTGGCATGAATGAAAATGTAATAATAGAAAGTATTCAACATACTAAACAAATTATATTTACAATTAATTCTACAGTCCAAATTCGTTTACAAAATGTTTATTTTAAATGAACATGCAATTCATTTCATTACAAAAATTCATATTTGGAACTCATTTTCAATATATTAGTTAGTACTTATAATTTATTAGCTTCTTTAGCTGGTACCTTAGTTAAGGTTGGTGTTCATTTGCAAATTCTATCAATTTTGATAGAATTAGAATCAACAGTAATCAATTTCATAAAGTTAAAAAATTTAAAATTCCAAACAAACTTTCATTTGTACCAAACATGAGTAAACTTAGAAATGAATTCCTTAAATTTCATGAAATTCATTTATAACAAACAAACTCTTATATTAAAGGAAGGGCTTAAGGTTTATTTGAATTATCGTTTATTTGAGTAAGCTGACAATCAACAGCATGACAAAAGAACAAGAATGCCAATTGGCTTGCAGATTTCCTATCTAAAAACATTTTTTCAAGGTAAAAACTGCATAATGGAACCCACTAATTCTGCTACCAGTGACAAGTTTTTCATCTCAAGCTAGCATCTCAGTAAGCCAGTGAGTCAATTGTTGAAATCCGGTTGGTCATTCCCTATTATTCCCAAAATACTAAATTTTGTGCGAGCATAGTAGAATTGAACCAGAGATAATTCTTAGCAGAAGCAATAATTCACTTAAAAGGAAAATTAGAAACTTTGCCATTGAGAGAAAGCTAGATGAACGATCAAACATAGAGGTACAAATCCATTAAGTCCCAATAACAGAACTAAATAAACTGAAATTCACCTAAGATAACCAGGAATCTTAATGCGAATAAAGAGCATACTCATCACATATGCGATAATCAACGACGAAATACCAGCAGTCGCATAAGAAACCTTTACGCTCTTAGCTCGATTCTTGTCCAATGCAAGATCCATTAGCACAATTCCAGTTCCACCAAGCACGAACATAAATCCAGATGACAAGCCCTCAATTATGTATTGCCCGTTCACGCGACCAGGTAGAAACACGACAGGTCGGATAGATCCGGTTGCCGGATCTTGAGTCGATCCGATTCCAGGCGGCTCCACAATTACGTCGTAGACGATCCCGGAGACGACCATAAAGTAGGTGAGGAGGACAAGGGCAAAGACGGTCATTGGCGACGGTAAAGTAAGTGATGGGAGCTTCAAGCGAAGGCGAGGAGGGCGAAGAATGGAGTAGGGAACGATTTTAACGATGTGGAATATCGGATCCATAGAGGACGATGTTGGATCTGTTAGGGTTTGGGATGCCATTTCCAGTTCTGTTTTTCAGTGTTATGACTTCTGAGCTTTTGATATAAAGAAACCGAGCTCTCATTTATAGTAATTTTTTTTTTCACTTTTATTTTTTATTCATGGAAATATGTAATGTATAGTTAAATATATTTAAACTTATGTATTTTATAATTATTAAATCAATTATTAGTTTTAGTACTGTCATTCAAAGAATATATACAATTTCTTAAATATATATATATAATTAGTAATATTTGATATGATAATTAATGAATTATATTTTTTTAAATTGTCATAGGTGTTACTCCTGCCTTAGTTTCTAACTTTTAATTAGACTCAAATTTTAATACTCACCAATTTAAGGAAAAAAAAAATTAAGGAAAAAAAAAAACTGTAAAGTTCCATCTATATATTTGAAAATGCTTTTCTTCTAAATAATTTGTTTTATATGATTTGGTTCTAATATATAAACTTTTGTTAGAACATATTAAAATTTTTACTTTATAGAATGTAAATTTATAAAATTTGATATTTTATTGTTAAATATGAGAAAAAAAATTCATAATTACTTACCCAAATATGCAGCACTATACTCCAAGCAAAACATTTATCTGCCCATGACCAAAACTCCTGTATTAAGTTTTTTCATAAATAATAAAGTCATCACTCATCACATTTATTCTATCAATTTTTCAAAGTGAGGAAAAGATTTTATTGCATAGAACTAGACCAAGGAACTATTCACAGAAAGTCATACAAGGCTTCTTGCTTACAATAAACAGTGAATACAACAAATGGCGATGAACATCATAATTATATCCTTGCTTTTTCTCTGATTTTACAGAAAATAAGATATTCGCGTTTTACATATTCATCTGAGCCTGGAAATTTTGATCCTCATAACCTTGACATAGAATAGTCCAAAGCATCCACAAGAAAATCTACAAGTATCACAGTGATAATAGTGTGTTATTGTACATTCTTCCACAGAAGAACTAACAAAAAAAACGAAAAAAAGGTTTCATAATCTCTTCTGAAAAGTTATATTTCTACTCATCTAAATTAAAATGCTGCAAGGGACAAACTGACAAAGTGTACCTGCGTCATCTTTAGTGAAACACATAGGTGGCTTTACTCGAAAAACATTTCCATGGAGTCCACCTTTCCCAACAAGAATGCCGAGCTCTGAAATTAGAAGAAAATGATGTTTGAATATATGCAAGGAAATTAGGAGAGACTAATTTAATATTTAAGAGTTAATCTTTTCTATTTTTGAATTGTAGGAGATATTACCTCTAAGTTTCTCAAACAAAATTGCAGTTTCTGCCTTGGCAGGCGTCTTCTCCTTCCTGTCAGTTACAAGTTCTATCCCCACCATTAGACCCCTCCCTCTTACATCTCCGATGACTGAAACAAGATTGTAAGAAATTGATAACTGCTTAAAAACACAATTAAAAAGTAATAATTAGAACTTATAAATGATCGGATTTGAAAACACAGGAATATCATGCCTCCTAGGGAAAAGGTAGAAGGATCAGATTTGTTATTGTCTTTTGTTTGTCAAGTCCAAGCATTTAAAAGTAGAATATTCCTTTGTCCTATACAAGGCTTCTTTCTCTAGACAGAGATCAGTCCTGCTCATGGGTATTCTACAGAAGATTGAGTGTGCATAATCACAAAAAATGCTTTTGAAAGCAACTTAATTTGTCTGATAGCTCTTCTTAATGCATGGTAGCACATGCATACAGGAAAGTTCCTTTGAACCTAGATATATAAAGAATCCTAATACTAACTCATTGAGATAATAATGTGAAAAAGAGTCCTGAATGCATCAACAAGAGATACACTTTGAAAATCCAACAATATTTAGCTCACCCGATTTCTGTTGCAAGCAATATAGAGGGTGCAAAAAATCTGATGTCTTAGCTGACAAATATTCAATGTACAGGCATACATCCTTATCCATTTTCCCCACTTAATGTACAGGAAAATATCATCACAAGAAAAAAGAAGAAACAGAGTATATGTGAGATGCCAAAGTTTGAGGGAAATTACTGTCATGTCTTTGCTGTAGATCTCTCAAGCGGCCAATCAGGTGGGAACCAACATTGGCACAATGTTCTTGACGCCTTTCTTTGTCAATAACTCTCAGAACTGCAAGTCCACCAGCAGAACAGACTGGGTTGCCACCGAAAGTATTAAATTGAATTTTTTGCGCCATCACATTTGCTATCTCTGGTGTTGTCACCACTGCTCCTAGTGGCAAACCATTGCCAATACCCTAAGAGATAAAAACTTGCGGTATGTCATAGGATGATTGGGCAAGGTTATTAAGATTGAAAACAAGACATTGAAATGTGATGAATTAAAGCATAAAACAAAATAACAGCAAATAATGAACCTCGAGAAATAACTGAGATTTGAAATTTTAGCTGTGCGTCCAGGCTATAGGATTGAGGAATAAAAATAGAAGCGATAATTACCTTTGCCATGGTAACAATGTCGGGAATGACTCCTTGTGTTTCAAAACCCCAATAATGGCTTCCTGTGCGACCAAATCCAGTTTGCACTTCATCAGCAATGCAGACACCACCAGCTTTGCGTACAATGTCATAAACCATTTTTAAGTATCCAGGGGCTAATTCAACTGCTCCTCCAACTCCCTGGAGTTAACCATTAATATCATGGAAAAAAAGTTCACAAAATGTATCATTTTATAGTTGCCAAATTCAGAACACATTGAAAGAAATATCAATTCCAGAAGCCAACCTGAATTGTTTCAGATATAAATCCAGCAACTTTTCCTGAAGTACCATATTCAATATGATCTTGCACATCTTTGGCATAACCAGCTGGATCAGAACCAAAGAGCCCTCGGTACGGATCTGGGTTCATGACATGGTGGATTTCACCCTGCAGCATGCAATGGTTAGAGTCATTGGCATGCCTTGCCAGTAACCTGTCTTAATTATGTACATAGCATAAGCATGATGGCAAAGTTGTTTAAAGAGAAGAATTCTGCAAGCTTGTGTCTTGATAAATGCAATCTCAAAAAACAAAATCAAGACAATCTTTTCCTTTTTTTGGGTTCAAAACAGAAGCATCAAACTGTGTCTGCATAAATTAGCTTTCTTTAAATAAAATCAAACCTTACAGTTTCAGAAAACGGAGTTTATATTCCATTGTCCATCTACTTCTCATTGTTTTTAAGATTAGAAACAAAGAAAGAACTAAACAATATTTATGTTTGGCATATTAGACAATTCTATTAATTGAACACAAAATCTCAGCAATAGCAAGTTGCATCCGAGATAAGATTCATGCACATAAATGTCACATTATTAAATTGTTTTAGGAAGGTGATCAACAACTAAATTTCTCTGATTAATATTATTTTGTTGGTCAAATATTTTTGAGCATTTTGTTAACATGAATTAAAAAGGAAACTGAAATAGAACTTACAGTAGCTTCTAATTGACCAAATCATAACAAAAATTTACAACACAGCAAAAGGCCATCACACTGAATGAAGCAAGCTCTAGAAAGCGTCAAATGTACACAGCAAGGTGCATAGCCTCCCTTACATTGCAAGGAGTCATGGTTCACTATGACCAGTGATGTCCAAATCATCATATAAGCATGAGCATCTCAAAACAATTATTTTTTTATTGCAAAATCAGTGAAGAATGACAAACCTCCAAAAATTTATAAGGAGTCAACAAACTGATATTAGGTTATCAGCATTTAGAACAGATCTTATAGTTCTCTAAAACTTTAGTACACAGCAAGGTGCATAGCCTCCCTTACAATGCAAGGAGTCATGGTTCACTATGACCAGTGATGTCCAAATCATCATATAAGCATGAGCATCTCAAAACAATTATTCTTTATTGCAAAATCAGTGAAGAATGACAAACCACCAAAAATTTATACGGAGTCAACAAACTGATATTAGGTTATCAGCATTTAGAACAGATCATATAGTTCTCTAAAACTTTAGTACATAGACAAACCTGTGGAATAGGGTACTTCCACGTGTTTAAAGCAGTTAGTCCAATTGTATTAGAGCTTCCACCGTGATATGCATTTCTCAACGAAATCATCTCAAGATTACCACTATATAGTCTGGCCATCAGCATAGCTAATTCATTTGCTTCTGACCCAGAATTTACAAAATACACTACCTACATTTCAAAAAGCAAACATGTATAAGATTATAGACTTAAAAGTTATTTATTAGTTTAAGCAGGTACATATTATTTTCTACATATCTTTATCCATAACTTCAAATGATTAACTATAACCCTAATTTCAATTATGAGATATTGGCATCATAAAATTTAGCAAAACGGGTTAATAAATCCATAAATGGTTAATAACTTCAAAACCTTAAGATTTCCAGGCATCTTAGCAGCTAATGCCTCTGCAAAATCAGCAATGGCATGGTGCAAGTAGATGGTAGTAGCATGTTGGAGAAGTTTGTTCTGCTCATTGATAGCATTTAAAACTTCAGGATGGCAATGCCCACACGACACCGTTACAATCCCGGCAAATGCGTCTAAGTACCTTCGCCCACTTTCATCAAACAAGTACTGCATCTTCCCTTCTACAATATTCAGCTAATTGCAAACACAAGAAAGAGAAGAAGAAAAAAAAAAGATTATTCAGTTAAAAATGGTCATCACTTCCCCCTAAAGAAAAGGAGAAGGAAAATGTTGAAAAACGGACATGCTACAGTATAATGGCACCGGAATTTTTTCAAGGCCATGTTTGGATGACTCTAAATTAAATTACAAAAAGTGAATTTAAAAATAAAAAGAAATACATATATGAAACGGCAGCATAGCCATGGCATGATTGATACTGTCCTAGCAAAGCAAGAAAGAGAAAGAAAGTGCGACTACTTACAGGTTTCTGATAGTAGTAGAAGAGAGAAGGACCTAGATACTTCTTTCGTTTCTGTAGAATCTCATCAGCCAACGGTCCTTTATACGGCTTAGGCTGGTAATCGAACAGCGGGAGACGAGGCGGAGGAGCATCGGCTGCGGCGGTTGCAGAAGATGAAGGAACGGTAGAGAAAGAACTGCAGATAAATCTTTTATTGTAAAGAAAGAGCTTGGATTTGGCTTCTTCTACAGTTCTCTTCAAGAATTGGCTCTGTAACGCCATGTCCAGATTCGTATGCACAGAGGGAGAGACAGGGAGTGAGTAGACAAATTGGAAAGAGTTTAGCGCGCCTGTTATAGGATTGGAATCTTGCAATGATGATGTGTCGGTGACGTGTAATTTCCGTTTTTTTAGGTTATCTTTGATTAGCTGTGGATTGACTTGGAAGTGAGTCAGACAAGAAAGATTCCAGCATCCCACGATTGCTTTGTTTCTACTTTCTTGGCTTTGCTTTTTTTATTTGTTTTTTACATCTGAAGGTACAGTTGCTAGTGATTAGTTCTAGTACTCGTTTGGATTATAGACGGTCAAAATCAAAATCATAAATTTTATATAGAATTTATGGACTGTAAAAACGATGAAATACGAAATTCATCTGTTGACTTAAAAGCAAAATATGATTTAAAGATATTTTGAATGAAAAGGATACATCCAACATTTTAAGGTACATAATTTAACTTTTAGGTAAAGCTGGCTACTAGATTTGATTTAATTATTTTAAAAAAATAAATTTTGAAATTAAAAGTTTTTAATTTTAATATGAACCAATCATCGTTCAGGGTATAAATAGATGTCATTGATGATTAACAAAATATACCATATTAGATGATTAACAAAATATCAGTGTAAAATACAAATTTAATTAAAATTTTATATTGCTAATGACATATAAACATAAAATTATATTTACAAGTACAATATTTTAAATACACGACATTATCCAATACATCCAAATCATACATGGTATATAACAACAATGTGAAAGTATATATAATCATGTCTGAATTGATGTTTGCAGTAACTAAAGCTGTAAAAAAGGGGCTCTTTGAGCCAAGGAAGAGCCTTCGACACAGAAATTGGATGCTTAATCAAATAAAAACCTGGCAGATTCTCCACTAGTTTGCTTCCTCCTCTCTTGTTTCATCTGCTGTACCTCCTAAGAAAACAAACAATCAGAACAAATAGAAACAAATGTATTAAAATTGCCTAAGAGCTTGCTTTCTCTCAAAGAAGTTGAGGAAAGCCCAAAACTATTATCTTTTTGTCAATTGATGGCTCAGAAAATCTAAAACGGTGACTTTGTTTTCTTATTTAGGAAAATTATGACAGATAAATAAAAATGTCAAAAGAAGGTGCAGAACCTGTTTACGTGAAGTATACAAAGAGATTGCCAAAAGATATGGAGAAGGAAAAAAAAAAAAAAAAAAAAAAAAATGTCAAAAGAAAGGTGGCAGAACCTGTTTAACGTGAAGTATACAAAGAAAGATTGGCCAAAAGATATGGAGAAGGAAAAAAAAAAAAAAAAAAAAAAAAAAAGCTAAAGCCCCAGGGTTTCTAATTTTTTGCTTAGGAAGAAAAGAATAAAAAAAAAAAAAAAAAATATAAACTGGAAATCCTCAGAAATTTCTATATAAAAAAAAAAAAAAAAAAAAAAAAAGCTAAAGCCCAGGTTCTAATTTTTTTGCTTAGGAAAAGAATAAAAAAAAAAAAAAAAAATCATAACTGGAAATCCTCGAAATTCTATATCTAATCTCAAATAGCAGGAACGTTGGGGGGAAGAAACAAACAAGTACCCAGGAATACAATTTGGCTAACAAAAATGAGCAAATTTTATGTATTCTTATAGTATGTGGATCATAAAATTCTCATACAGTCCTAAACTCTTTGTGCACTTCCCCATAGAGGACTTGAAGTTGATAATTTTATTCTCTCATCCATTCTCCACCACTATACCAAGTTTGATTTTTCGTTGAGATAACTGACATATATGCACCATATATATACACACACACAGAGCCAAATATTCAAGGAGTGAGTAACTTTCACAAGTAATCAAGAGACTAAATTTTTGCACTATATATAATCAAAAGGAACTTATGTGCTGCATGTATAAATTCTAGAATACAGTCCAGGATCAAGTTCATGTGCGGCTTGGAATAACCAAAATAGGTTGCTTTAATAAACTACAGAGAATATTTTATTTTGATTCTATTTGAAGCAAATGGAGATATTGGAGGAGTTTCAGCAAATAAAATTACATTATCAAGATTCCAAAGAAACTAGCAACTTTTCACATGGCAAAGTTTTTTTTTTTATAAACTTCTCGGAGGTAGATTTCACACTTATTTTTTATGAAAATATAAATAGATGCTACCAGTTTAGCAACAATCACGCTCTTTAGTATCAAGAATCACAGGTCCAAATACTTAGCAAAAATGAGTTCTCACACCAAAGCACCTTTAAAGGCAACATAGCTAAGAAAATAACATAGTTGTAGATATTACCTTTATTTTGTACGATTTGGCACTAATCCATTATCCATATACAAGAGACAATTTACAGAGCACATTCTCTGAGTATTAATGACATCTGAGAAGAAAGAATGAGGAAAACACCGAAGTTTCAGATTGGATAATAAATTAGATTGAATGGAGACTCTGATGGTGATAACATAAGACCACATAATAAAAATCTATGATCGAGAAAGATAAAAATTGGTTTATTTATTTTTTGTTTTTTTCTCACTTACTATAGTATCTTTTTCATCAACTTCAGGATTAAGCATGTCAAGTTTCTTATTCTTCGCCTCCCCTGTACAATGATGAACAAGAGATGAAGCATGAAACAAAAATACTGCAAATATTTTGAATCAAAGAAATTGACTTTTATAGAAAAGAGGAGAATTCATTCGTGTCAAAAGAAATTAAAATTAAAAATAACATCAATCTCCAAGTTACAAAATTAGTTAATATATTTAAGTGTATTCTTTGAATGATCAAATTTCTTCAAAGCAAAGCAAAAATAATGATTCAAATTAATCTCATTGAATTAGTATACTCTAAAAGTAGCCTTAAATGTTTATTTAATTAACTCATCCCTGAAACAAATGCATAAATATCCAACACCTATATTTTCTATCAATCAATTTTCACATAAGATGCTGAAGTGTTAATTGCATATAAATCAAAGACAAAAAAACATTCAGATATTTCCACCAGACTTTGAAAGAAAGTTATAAAGGTCAATGAATGTATTACCAGCTTTCGAGATGCTACACTGATGGTTGTGAACAATTATGCCGCATACTGTTGAAATTGTTCAGCAAATCAGAACATGTCAATCCCATCTCCAGGAAAACAAGCTTTCTGAAGCAAATGAGATAATCTTGAAGGCTATGAGAACAGCAACAAACTCATGCCCAGAATCTTCTGCCATTGGCCTCAGATACCAGAGTTCAAAGTCAAGTAAAGTGGGTAACAGAATGTTATGAACTGAAAAATTAATCAAAACATTGCCTCTTTAATATGTCAGGACCAGCCTTTTGTAGACATGATAAAATGCATAAAGTTTTTTAGACATAAAAACTGAAATTTTCTTCAGATCCCTTCCTTATGCCTACCAATAGTCACGGCAAGAACAGAAACCATCCTTGAAATGATGAAAACGAGTAACATCTCTCACAATTATTTCTCTGCCCATAAGCTTGGAGATAAATTTAATAGCTGTATGACAATCATTACAGATTCTGAGATTCTTCATAATCCTCAATGTAGTGTTTTCTGGAGTACTTATTATCCCGAAAGCAATAGCAAGTTTCTCACTGTGATATCTAAGAAGCTTATCCTTCACCTCTATTTCAAGATCATGCAATACAGAATCAGTGTCTGGAATGAAACCCAATTTTTTAATCTCCTCCCAAATCTTATCCATCATTTTATAGATTTCATCTTTCTGCGGGTGAAGACTATCTTCAGCTCCAAAGATGTGAACTTCATTCTGGATCTCAAGCCAACTAGATCCCTGCTCTTTCTTTACTCCTCTATCATTCATTAACTTTCTAATTTTAGCCGCATCTTCCCATTTTCCACAAGCTGAATATACATTGGCAAGGGCAGAGTATGCCCCACTGTTGTCAGGCTCAATAAGAAGCAATCTCTCTGCCGCGATTTTTGCCAGATCAACATTTTTATAAACCTTGCAAGAAGATAGCAGTGAACCCCAAGCTATAACATCTGGTTCAATAGGCATGTTTTCTATAAATTTAAATGCTTCTTGCAGCAATCCAGCTCGGCCATATAGGTCAATCATGCATGCATAGTGGCTTAAAGTTGGCTCAATTTTGTGCACACTTGCCATCAAATTAAAATAGCTCCGACCCTGCTCCACCAATCCTACATGCGTACAAGCTGACAGCACACCAACATAAGTTATATGGTCAGGCTCAATACCAAGTGCCAACATCTTCTCAAACAGCTCTATTGCTTCTTCTCCAAGGCCATGCTGAGCCAAAGCAATAATCATAGAACTCCAAGAGACAGTATCGTTGTTCCAACATATGAGATTGAATACCTTCTGCGCATTGTCAATGCTTCCAGCTTTTGCATACATTGTAATCAGCGCATTGCCCACAGAAATCGATAGATCTTCCCTTGATCTTATGGCGCTTGCATGAATTTGTTTGCCATGATTCAAAGAAGCCCCTCTTGAACTGACACTCAACATAGCGGCTAGTGTAAAACTGTTTGGTCGGGGTCCTTCTTTAGTCATTGCTCTGAAAAGCTCTAAAGCATCATCATTTAGGCCATTCTGCACATAACCTACAATCATGGCTGTCCATGCAACCACATCACGGTTTCTCAACGAGTCAAATATCTGCCTGGCTGGGGTTATATCCCCAAGCTTGGCATATCCATCCAATAGAGCAGTAAAGGCTATAGCATCAAGATCTGAAATCTCACTTTGCTCTACAACCCTCCGAGCGACTTCAACCCCGCCAGTCTTTGCATACATTGATATCAAAGCATTTTGAACAGCCCCAGAAATATCAAACTCTGTCCTGATAATATAACTATGAATTTGTTTCCCAAGATTCATATTCTCAAGATTGGTACAAGCTGATAAAGTACTTGCTAAGGTGAACTTATCAGGTTTCAAAGAAGAATCCTGCAACATGCTAGAGAAGAGTTCTAGTGCTTCCTTATCAAAACCATGCTGATTATATCCTGCAATCATTGAATTCCAAGTAACTATATCCCTCTCACTCATTTGTTGAAATTGAGCAAGGGCAAGGTCAATTCTTCCAGAATTCATATGCAATGAAATCATAATATTCCAACTTGTAATGCTCCTCAGTCTCATCCTATCAAAGACAATTTTAGCCATAACCAAGTCACCAGCCTTTGCATACATATTCAGAAGTGAATTCCCTACAGAAGCATACCCACTAAGGCCTAACTTAACAACAAAAGAATGAATCTTTCTACCAATATCTAGAGCTCTTAGAGCCGCACATGAAGAAAGTACGTTAGTTATAGTAAACTGGGATGGTGACACTTTATCCTTAACCATATCTACAAACATCTTTATTGCATTTTCAAAACAAGCCATTTGATTATAACCCACAATCATTGTAGTCCAAGAAACAGAATCACGATCAGGTATTTCATCAAACACATGAAGGGCTTTATCTAGTTTGCCTTGTCTTGCATACCCCGAAAGAATCGTATTCCATGAGAATGTGCTCTTTACAGGCATTTCATCAAATACATTGCGGGCATCAACAATATACCCGGATTTCGCATACAAGTTAATGAGGTTGTTCGTTAAGTAGATACTAAAGTTGAGGCCTAATTTAATCATCTGGGCATGGATTGATTTGCACACTGATAGGTTCTTGGATTTGAGGTTTGTTTGAAGAAGAAAGGCATAAAGATCTGAAGCTGAAGAAACAGAAGATGAAATCTCCATCAAAGACTGGACGAAGAAAAACAAAAACGCTATTAGGCAGCTCCACAGGATGAGTTTTGGGAACTAGTTTACTTGTATATATTTTCCTTTAATTGAAGCAATCTCTTGACAAAACAAAAATGGAGGGAGCTGCAAATTAAATCTTAGCTTCCTAGTAAAAATTTAAGCCCAACAAATAAGTGCTTGAAGTGTTCGTATAAAGTAACCCCCAAATATTCAAAATTTATTTATAAATTTATCTCAAGGCCAAATAGCCCCCCACCATATCTGCTGCCAGTAATCCACACACCGTGGAGAACGGGAATCAACCAGCAGCAGGCCTCGTGGGTTCATAATAGCACCCTTAGCAATAGCATCCGCCACAAAATTTCATAAATTTATATTTCTTATTTGATTATGACAAATATTTATTTTATTTGTATAATTTCAATTACTATAATTAAAATAAATTTTATATCGATTGTTTCAATTTTGGTTCACCAGTTCCGGCATAAATTCCAGTTCTAGTATGATTTCAACTAATTTTGGCGGCTTTTTTTTTTTATTATTTTACTGAAGGATTTGGCTGGGCCATTTCTCGTGGATTCAAGATCCAAACGTAAGAACCAACGCATAGGCATGGCAGATTGGTTCAACCCGATTCAAAATTTTTAAAATATTGAATCTGAACTGCTTTGAATTATTAGTTTAAATTCGGTTTTAATTTTGGTGTAATTTCGCTCACGGTTTCCGGTAATATATGTATTATTTTTTTCAAAAACAAATCGATTCTAATGTTTCGTATTTCTTTCAAAAAAATTTATACGAGGTTAAAAAATATTGATAAATTTTATTTTAAATTGTTTATATTTATATAAAAATAAATTAAATTAATTTTACAAAATAATCAAATAAATTCGTATTTTCTTTCAAAAAAATTTATTTACGAAGGTTAAAAAAAATATGGATAAATTTTATTTTAAATTGTTTATATTTATATAATAAATAAAATTTTAAATTAATTTTACAAAATAATCAAGAATAAAAATTTATTATTTTTATTGTCCTAAATGTTATTAATTAAATATATGTTAGAAATTTTTTTAAAATGCTTAACTCTCGATAAAAAATATTGATAAATTTTATTTTAAATTGTTTATATTTATATAAAAATAAATTAAATTAATTTTACAAAATAATCAAATAAATTATTATTTTATTTTGTCTAAATGTTATTAATTAAATATATTGTTAGAAAATTTTTTAAAATGCTTCGAACAATATAATTTTGAACTAAGTAAATAATTTAAAAAGAAAAGAGTTAAACTCCAATTTATATCAAATAATATAATTTTAAACTAAATATTCACTTGTTTTATCATTTTACTCTTTTAGATTCTTAACTTTTTAAATAAAGTGTATTTAAAAAAAAAAAAATTAAAGTAAAGTGTATCATATAGTAAAATATTATTTAGTCTTTTAAAGATATATAGAATACACTAAGTGATTATAATTTTGAAAATAAAAATCAAAAATTTTGGATTCAAATCGGACCAGAATCGTCGATTAACCGTCGGTCTAATTGATTCAAGTTCAGATTTTAACATTCACATAAACCTTAACCAGCTCTTGAACTACCGGTTTCGGTTTTGGTCAGTTTCAATTCATCTACAGTACAATTTAATTTCGGTTCGATTTTAATTTAAAATGAAACCGATAGTCATACCTACCAACACAAGCAAAAAGATATCTACACTTTCCTGCGGATTTATAAATTTATTCATCATTGCAATGAATATACATATTGCTAGATTAGTAAAGATAAAATAAACGCATTCATATTTGTAAATAAGTATTTAATTGTTAATCCTTATTTTTAATTGAAATATAAGATTAATAACAATCAAAAACGAAAAATACAGCATCATAAACAAAGCTTGGTTTAGCAAAATGGTTTGGCTTGAATGGTGTTAATTTGAAAAATAAAAACGACTCTGCTGGGGATCGAACCCAGAATCTCTGGTTCCGTAGACCAGCGCCTTATCCATTGGGCCACAGAGTCCTTGAGTGATTAAATTTTTTTTCATTTTTATATAAAGTTTTATACATTATTGATTAGGAGGGACCTCTTAATAAGTTCTCTTATTTTAATAAAAAGTATTATAATTATATGCAATAATTTAAATTGTTATATAGGAAGATGAACTCTTTATATATCTCAATTTTACAAGACCAAGGAGCTATAAAATTAATAAAGAACAAAATAATATGTATTGTCCTAAACCTTCTTGGCTGCTGTGGAAAGATCCTGCTAATTTTTTTAATGTGGCAATTGCACTAAAACATTACCATGTTCAAGATAAACTAAATAGATGCCACCGAGCAGTTAGAATGAACTATAACATTTCATGCATATATGAAAATGTTTGCAAGTAAAATTCCGCTAAATGAAGCACACTTTATCTAGAGTTTCTCCAACCTCTTTCTTTAAAACTTAACACACTTGTTTATATAGAGATTCCGGGCATTCGTCCGGCATTGACTCTGTCATTTTCTAGACATTCTTGAGGGACTAAATATTGCTTTAAAAATATTAAATTTTTATCAGTAGCCAGCATTTGATTAATAACACAATTACCAATGCTGCAACATGCTAAGTATAGTAGTAATATGAAATTACAATTAGGATTCCGTCTGTATCTTATACAAAATACAGAAGCATAAATATCAAAATCGAAAAATAAATTCTTGCATGTATATGTCAAGGAAAACCAACATTTCTCATTGAAGAAGTGAAATAATTTGCTCACCATGATCTTGTAATACAAGACACCCTAGACATGTTTTCATGCTCTAACTTTTGAATTTTGCTATACAACCGTTATACCATGTAAAATACAAAATCCATTTCAAAATACTCTCAAACCTGCAAATCTAATAGCAGATATTTTTAGATGAATGGATATCGACTCGATTTATATGAGAATTCTGTTAAAGATTTTAAGTGACAATAGAAAAGTACTATTTTTGCAAAATAATTTACAACAGAATTAAATGTAGATCTAACAAGCTAAGTAGATAAAAACATGAATATTAATGAAAAATTATTAAGATTCTAGGTATTTTGAGAAATATTTCCTTATTTTATTTTTTCACCACTCGAAGAAAATTAAATTCTATTAATAAAATAACTATGGTAAATAAAATATACTCATAAAAAGAAGTCTTGACAACCAAATGGAATAAAAGCTAGAAACTCGTCACTCCAAGAAAAAGAGAAACATCAAATGAGAAAATTAAAAATATATACAGCGCGCAGCGTTATGAATATAATTTTGAATGAAATCTGGATCATAATATAATAAATTAATATAATAAAATCACTAAAAATAACCTACTTTTTCTATAATAGAAAAAAATTTAATTGGATGGATTTAGATCGGCTCATATCAGGTTATAAATGGATCGAGTTTTATCCGATGATTAAGGTCGGAATGAACTTAATCAAGCGAAATGAGCATGGATGAATCCCATGTGATATCATAGTTGGGAAAAATAGGGAACATGATTGAGGTTTGGACCTAGATCAGGAACAACTGTCATCCCTAAAGATTATGTATTATATTGTTATGATATTATGTGTGGGGTCTGATATTGGTAGTAGCAGTAATAATGCTGCAAAGAATCCCGAAATAAGCAATGTAATGGACAATTAACTAATGAAAAAGCTAATTTCACGTGACAAATTTTTCATTGGTTTAAAGGTTGATAATCTAGGATTTTAATCCCGTGGTTGAAATTCTTAGATTATGCGTTAAATAAAATATTGAAATCATCATTCAAATTCATGAGATGATACATCTGTTTGGTAATTGTTAACTATTTTAGCAGCGGTTAGATGTTACTATTTGAGTAACTTTTTATAAAACGCTAAAAATTAAATGTTAAATGGGTTAATTTCTTTCTATAATACATTAATTTAATATCTAAAATTAGTTCAAATGCTATGTTATCAAACACTGTAAAAATTAGATCAAAACGTTAAAAACTATTTAAAAATCTGTTGCCAACCAGATTGATATCTCCTTTATTTCTTATTTTTTAAAATTTTATTGCAACATAAGGTAAATTTGATGAGTTTTTTTTTTTTTTTTTCCTTTTTTAAAAAACAAGTATAGTATTAATGGGGGTAAACAACTTTAATCTCCAGCTTTCTTTAATACTAGCAATATTCCCGTGCCATGCACCATTAAAAAAAATTTTAAAAATTAAACAAATAATATAATGCATATATAGCTTGTTGATAAATTTCGAGTAAAATTTTTTATATTATATTATTAAAATATATAAATAAAGATAGATGAATAATAAAAAATGCACTCATATTTTTTAATAACGAAGATGAAAATTAATAGATAAACACATATTGAAGATAATGAAATTTATAAAAATAAAATAAAAAAAGAAAATAAAAGGAGAATTAATTAGTTTGATTTATTTTATAATTAATACTATAAAAAATTAACTCCCATCATCACTAAAATCTACAAATTTAATGCAAAAAATAAATAATTATTTAATTTACTTTCAAATTATTTATTTTAAAATTAATACAAAATAATGATCATGCTATCATTTAAATTCATAAATTAAGTAGTTTATTTATATAATTAAAAGCGATATAAATTACTAATCAATTATACTAAATATAATTTAATTCAATTAATAAATAATAATAAATTCAATTTATTTTTAAATAAACATAAAGATAAATAACTAAAGCACTTGTTATTACTATGAAATTTAAATTAATATAAAGTCAAAAATTACACATATCACTTATTTAGAATCCTAAATAGCAGAACCAAAGGAAAATCTGAATGCTTTTTATATATTGATTTGATAGTTTACGGCTACAAAAACATGTTAAATAATTTTAAAAAAAAGAGACAAAAAAGTTTGAGTAAGAACTACTAACTCCATTAGTGAAAATAATTGAAATGTAGAAAATTCTGAACTTAAAAGAAAAACAAATAATATATTTAAAAGCAGAGACTGATAAACCTTTGCCAAGAATATAGAAAAATATAATGATACAACTTATACATAGTATTTCTAAAAAAACTAAAGTGTTTCTTGAGATAAACAATTTAAAATTAAAAAAAAGGTACATAATTAGTACACAATTAAAAAAAATGAAAACATTTAGATAGGAAACATTAAAGATACATTAACGGTTGTTAAAGGAAACATTTATTACTTCATAAATTTGAAAGTAAACATTTGTTATAAGCAATACATTAATACATTAATTGAATAATTTATTGTTATTAAACTTTATCATTTTTTAGAAATTAATAATAATTACTTAAAGTGATTAATATATTAAATAACCAAATCAAAAACACTAATTTAAAATAAATCCAAATCAAACCAATATATTAATACATTAAATAATCAAATCAAAAACACTAACTCAAAATAAATTTTTTATATTATATTAATTTTTTTATTTTAAAATATAATATAAAAAATAAAGAATTAACCATATGAATAATACATCAAATTCAATATAAAAAAATATAAAAAATTGGGCACTCAATATTTTTTTTCATAAATTTTATACGCAAGAGAAACCGGACAGGATGTCGAAAATTAATATGATTAATAGGAATAAAACATCATATTTGGAAAAAGAGGGATAATCGAACATTTTTATTTTAAAAAATTAAACATATAAAATAAAAAGGAAAAAAAAAAAAATTAAAACGGTGAGATAATTAACTTAAGAGTTCCTCCACACATTTTTAATTTTATAAATTTAATACTAATAAAAAAATTACAAAAATTTAACTACCCATCTATCACTTTAAAATCTACAAATTTTAATGTGCAAAAAAAACAACAAGCAATAACAAAAAAAGAATATGATTAAATAATTATTTATTTGAACTTTTCATCGTTTTTTCAAAATTATTCTTTATTTTTCTTTTCACAATTCAATTAATACCCAAAAATTAAGAAATAACAATCGAATCATGCCTATCATTTCTTTTTTAAATTCAATAAAAATTATACTTTAAGTAGTAGTTAAATTTATATAAAAATTAAAATAAAAAATTAAGCCGATAAATATACTATTTATAAATTTACTAATAATCAATCTTTCTTTTGTATACTTAAATATTAATTTAATTCAATTACAATAAATAACTAATAATAAAATTCAATTTTTATTTTTTTTTTTTTTTTTTTTTTAAAAATAAACATATAAAGAATTTAAAATAACCTAACAAGCAGCTGTTATTTACTATTGAAATTTCTTTTTAAAAAAAAATCTACACATATTAAAGGTCAACAAAAAAAATTACACATAATCACTTATTTAGAAATCCCTCCCTTAAAACAAAATAGCCAGAACCAAAGGAAAAAAATCTGGAATGCTTATTTTATATATTGATTTGTGATAGTTTACGCGGGCTAACAAACAAACAACACATTGTTTTTTAATAATTTTATAAAAAAAAAAAAAAAAGAGGACACAAAAAACAAAAGCGTTTGAGTTCCCGAGGTTTAAGCACCAGACACTACAATAACTCCACTTCTTTAGGGTACGATTGAAAAAAAATAATTGACATAAAATTGTTTTATTAGATAGAAAATTCTGTGAACTTAAAGAAAAAAAAAAAAAAACAAATTAATATATTTTTTAAAGCAACGGCAGACTGATGAAATTAATCACCTTTCGCCAACGAAATATAGAAGAAAAATATTAATGATAATCACTGGTTACTACATAGTAACTTTCTAAAAAAAAAAACAAAAAAAACCTAAGAAAGTGTTCTTTGAGATAAACAATCTTTTTTTAAAATTTTTTAAAAAAAAAAAAAAAAAAAAAAAAAAAAAAAAAAAAAAAAACAAAAAACAAAAAAAAAAAAAAAAAAAAAAAAAGGTTACATAATTAGTACACAATTAAAAAAAAAACTGAAAAAACATTTAGCGATAGGAAACAATTTTAAAGATACCACTCTCCCTAATTAACGGTTGTTGTTGTTTCTTTCGTCTTTGTTTCTAAGCTTGCGTTTACATAAGGAAACATTTTATTACTTTCATAAAAATTTTGAAAGAAGTAAACATTGTTTATAAGGCAGTGACCTATTAACTACAGTAATTGATAAAAATCAATTTTATTGTTATTATTAAACTTTTTACTTCATTTTTTGTTTAGATAGGAGAAAGAGAAATATTAAATATTTAATAATTATTATTTAAGTTGATATTAATATATTAAAATAACCAAACAATCAAAAAACACCTAATTCGTTTTTAAAAAAAACAAAACTATAAATCCAAACATCAAAAAACCAAATATATTTTAGATGTAATACATTAAATAATCAAAAACCCTACTAATCTCAAAAAATAATCCAAACAAATCAATACAATTTTAATACATTGAAATAAATCAAAATTCAAACCACAAATCAATAAACCACCACCATTCAAAACATAAAAATAAATCCTTAACCCCCAAATCTAAAAAATAAACTCAAACTAGCCCTAAATCACATTAAATTTATATATTGTTTTATATTTACATAATTTCAAATTTTCAAACCCACAAATTTGCACGTGGGGAAGAGTCCGCTTAATGGAAGAACCAGAAACTATAATATGACACACATGTCAAATTTGTGTAATAAATGCTTCCAAAGTTGGTGACAAAATTATGTGCCATAATTTAATCTATCAACCTCTTTCTTTAGAAAAAAAACAAAATAAAATTATGTGCTTTCATAATTACTCATAATACTATATATAATTATAATATATATACATATATATATATAATTTTATACTAATATTAATATACGTATATATATATTGATTTAGTTTAAAATATTTCTGTTTCAACATTGTTATATTTTTTTTTAAGGAGTATTTAAATATGTATATTTCCCAATGTAATTAGGTAAAATTAATTTACACATAAGTGTACAAAACAAATTTTATTTTTTATTAAAATGTATCGCGTTTTTTAATAAAAACAATTCTTTTAAAATAAAAAATAAATAATTTAATAAAAATTATAAAAGGTTTCTTCCCTCTTTCCTTGAATTTCAAATTCCACTCTCACGATTACAGTACTAGTAGATCGTGCCAAATTCAAAGACAGCTATCCCAGAACTTTTCAAAATATTCACAGCTTCCAATTTAGCGGATCGATGAAAATTATTTAAAGCCAATAAGAAGTTGCTTCCTGCGGCCTTCCCTTTGCCTTGCCATAGTACCATTTTCTCCCCACCAGAGACGACCAAATACTTCTAATCTCAGCCATTTTGTCAATCTTTTATCCCATCTATTCGAGATTTTTTCAAAAAACTTCTTCGGGTTTGTTGTGCGAAACAGTTTTCTTAGGATTGCGTTTTCCGATATCTTTTCAATTATGGTGGTTTTAACTTCTTCTGGTTGCGCGGAGAGTAAATTTCAATTTGGCAAACGAGACGTTTGTTTTCTTTTTTTTTAAAAAGGAACAGTCAAAAACATGTGTTGGTTGGGGAAAGAAGCTGCATAGCCCTCGCCTTCGCGTGACCCTGGGGCCTTCAGTTGCCCCAATGATGCCAATCTTCCCAGTTCCCCCCAAATCTTGAGACAAGGAGATAGGGCGACAGAGGATAGGGAGAACAGAGGAAGAAGAAACGCAGAAAAGACGGAGGAGGCGAGAGAAAGAGAAGGAGAGGAGAGAAGAGAGAGAAAGAGAGAGAGGCAGAAGAGGGAGAGAACTAGAGAGAGAGAGAGAGAAGAAGACAAAGAGAGAGAAACAGAAAAAAAGAAAAAAAAAAAAAAAAAAAAAAAAAACACCAAACAAAAAAAAAAAAAACAAAAAAAAAAAAGAAAAAAAAAAACAAGATTGCCACTGACTAACTAGAGAACCAGGAAGGTATACAATTCTTTTTTTCAAGCTTTATTTCTTTTCCTTCTGTCTCTTTTCTTCTTTTAGTTATTTTTGTCCTAACAATTTAATTAGCTAGTTTTTTAATTAAATTATTGAATTTGTCAAATAAATTTGTGTATTTTTTTCTTCTTTTCCTTTTTACTGGCGTTTTTTCTTTGCTTCTTTTTCCTTAATCTGTTGTGCTTTTTCATTTTGGATTGATTTAGTAAAATATTTCTGTCAAATGTATATTTTTTTAAGGGTATTAAATGTATTCAATGTAAGGTAAAATTAATTTACATAAAAAATTTATTTTAAATGTATCGTATAAAAAATTTCTTAAAATAAATAAATAAAAGGTTCTTCCCTCTCCTTGAATTCAAATTCCCCATTACAGTAGTGTGCCAAAATCAAAGAAGCTTCAGAATCAAAATCAAGCTTCCATTTAGGGATCGATGAATAAAGCATAAGAAGTTGCTGCGCTTCTTGCCTGCCATAACCATTCTCCACCAGAGACAATTTCTATCTCAGCCATTCATCTTTTACCCATCTATTCGAGATTGTTCAAAATCTTCGGTTTGTGCAGTTCTTAGATGCGTTTCGATTCAATTAGGGTTTTACTTTTGTTGGGAAGTAATTAATGGCAAGACGAAGAGTTAAAAGGACAGTGAAAGAAGCTGCAGCCTCGCCTGGGCCTAGTGCCAATGATGCCAATCAGCCCCAAATTGGAGAAACAGAAAAACAATTGCCACTGATAGACCAGGAAGGTTACAATTCTTTTTCAAGCTTCCTTCGTCTTTTCTTCTTTTAGTTATTTTTTGCCTAACAATTTAATTAGCAGTTTTATAATGAATTTTGCAAAATTTGGTTCTTTTATGGTTCTTTGCTTAATCTGTGCTTTTCATTTGGATTTAGTTTTTATGTAAAATTTTCATGGTCTATATATTCCATTTTCCGCAATGCAAAAGTAAAAGCTACTGCTAAATGTTTCTTTTCTTTGGTTTTTGACCTTTTCTCCCCAAAAATAAAGTTGAGCGCCAAAAAGCTGCAATCAGGGGTATACGTGATGTGGAGATTGAACATTCACTAACTGGGTTGCGTTTGCTCCGTTCATATTTTAACGACGAACAACTGCAAACCCCTGCTCTTCAATTCTTCAAAGAAAACCTTCCAAACTTATCTATCATGAGAAATGGTGATAATGGACAATTTGAAGTGCAGTGGAACAATAAAGATGATAATTTATCAATGAGCCAAGCTCCTGATGGAAGAGACTTTCATGCTTCTCTTCTACATCGACTGTCCATAGCTTATCCTCTTGGTGGCTTTGAATTATCAAGTGATGCAAGTAATGGTGAAGTTTTCTTGTCTCTTTTTGGATGACAATTGATTTCTTGATTTGGTTTTATTTGACAGATTACTTGATTTGTGGCAGTGAGAACAAGCCTGTTAGGAGTTGACAGTCTGCAGATAAAAGATTTCGTATGTTCTATATTTACTTTTTTCACTGCATTTTTAATTTTTGAAAGGGCAACTGGAGAGAGTTCGTTTTTTCTAAGAATTGAATTTATGGACAGCCTTAAAAGTTGCAAAATGTGATAGGTATTTCAAGGTTCATCTTTTTTATATTTGTTGTTTTATTTGTTATTAGTGGAATGCAAAATTTTTTCCCCCCGGAAAAATCAAGGTTCTTTGTAGAGCATTTGCTGGTTGAAGATGAAAAATCTGAAACTATGGCAAATTCTTGAGCAGTCAAGAATCGCTTGGCCCAAAGCAGAAGAGTTTTCATATTTCTTACCTTATCTACTCTCTGTTTTAGGTTTAACATTTGGCAAACAGAAATGGGTGGGTTCTCTTTCTGAGATTGTAGCTAAATATATTTCGCATACATTTCATGCTTCAAGCATCAAAAAGCTTGCTTTAATGGGTCATCAAAACTTCCTGTGATAATAAATATTAAAGCAAAGACGAATTCTGTTTATTACACTAATTTTGATGTTCTATTTCTAGGTTTTGGAGGGGCCATCTGATTCTCAGATGCTTGCAGACGGTCTTCGAACTCCTGGGGTTTGCATATCTCTCTTTGTTTTCTCTTTTTATTTTCCCCTTGCCAGAAAAATGTTTTGCTATTGACTTACTGTAAACATAAAATGTATGCTAAAAGAGACTAGATAGACATGCTTTTACATTTTGGAACTTCCTTTATGTGTGTGTTGCTAGTCTGCGAAGAACTTCCATAGGAAACAAGGAAAATTTTGATTCTGGTAGGATTCAAGTTTTAAGTAGAGACTATAGAATCTAATTAATAATATTGGGAACCAGGTCTATCATGATAATACCTGATAATTCTACTTAATAAATGCTTAATTCTGTCAGACAATTTCTTAAATTATTACAAGACTCTTTCATTTTATTTTATGATATGCTGTAATAGTTATACTAGATAATTTAGCGGGTTGTTAGATAGCTTCTTGGAAGAAACACCTTATCTAGGACCTGATGTGGTGAGATGCATTCAGAAGTTTGAAGGATTATTGCATTGGAAATTCAGATGATTATTACATACTTCCAAGCTAAAGGAAATTTGGTTGCCTCTTTAAGTACTTCAGATTTCTGAAGTGATTAAGATAACTAAAATTTTGATGCAGGCGAGCAGCCAGAGGTTGTCTATTGGAATGACACCCAAGACTCTAAGATTGCCTAAGCCAGGAGAAATGCTTCTTTCAGTCCGTGGCTCACCCCTTGGCGTCTACAAGGAAGACAACATGGAAGCTATAAATGGTAAGATTTTGAGATACAAAGAGAATATTCTCTATAATGGCTTTCTTCCTCTTTGCTTCTTTTGTTTGGATAGATTTTCTCACCCTGAAGCCTCTTCTGTTGCGTTCTCTTACTTCTGTCAATTGCTGATTGCAGAGTCAGAGGAGGGTTAATTTGGTTCATGTCATTCATTTAAGAGTTAAGAAAAATATATATGAAGTACTTGCCACTAAGGGCTTGTGACGCTTGTCTGAATGTACTTCCATTAATTGAACAATTGACTGTTGTGTAATACAAGAAATTTTTTATAAAATCTGCAGTTTCCTTCATGCATAACTTTAATTAATTAGTCTGCAGATTGATCTGTGCATATCTTTCTTTATCTGCTTTTCAGTTACAGAGAATTGGATCCTTTAACGACTGCATATATTCAATTTGTAGGTAGTCTTGCTTTACATGGAATTGAATCAGTCGTTAAGGTTCTGAACAATATTGCAACTAATAACTTAAGCACTCCTGAAATTTCATCTTTTAAATTGAGTCTAAAATTTCATCTCTTAAATTCAGCATAACTTCCAGTTTTAAGAAAGTATTTCATCGAGTTTTACCTGTAAAAATCAAGAGGAATGCAACTCCTAATGGAACTTCTTTCTCGTAAATCATAGTACATTTCCCCAGTTTGAGAATGTTAAGAAACTAATCTACTAGCTTTTTAAGAGCTAGGAGTTATAAACATGGCTCTCAATTACAACCTATATTTATATACTTGATGTTGAAATAAATACAGGGTGCGCCAAGTTACAGATGCAAAACCTAGTTAGCTAAATAAGAATTCAAGTTGCAGCTTGTGAATGCTATAATGATAAAGGGAACTCCTTGTTTAACGACGTTATACCGTAAGATTGAGAAATAAGTCTTCCCCAGTAAGTTTGATCCGAGGTAGCATGAAACTCTTGCAATTTTACACTTTGTTAACTATGAGCAAAAGGTAATCATTTGCCATCGCGAAAAGTAGGAAGATCTCTAGTTCCTTTTGCTAATAGATATCTCAGCATTCACTTGACTGTTCTACTCTGCATATACTGGGTTGAATGTCCAATTTGGATTCCTTTTAAGGCTACATGATACCTGCATGGAAATGGAATAAAATATCAAGAATTCGAGACAAAAAAGGTCAGGTTACTGAAAAAATTAAGAAGTTTATTATGTCAGTTGATGAAAGCACTCTGCCAATAAAAGTTACCAACGATCATTTCAGAGCATAACTGAAGTGACAACTTCAAAACGGGTTGACAGGGTATTATTTAGAATTACTTGGTAAAAATCTTAGTCTGTTTGCAGGTCTGAATAACAAGAACATGCAAAAAAGAAATTCTATTTCTAAAATATGATATTATTTTTGTTCAATGGCACAGGATAGACCTAAGATTAAACTAAAATGCATGTAAACAATCGGCACAAATCAGTTTTGTTGATGCTTTTTGACTGCCTAAACAAACAATAAAAGAAAGCATTAAGCACTTGGAATGACAAGAAAACCAACAAATTAAAAAGTGAAAAGGGAGGAGATGATGTCGATTACTTGTCATAAGTTCAACAATATTCCGCATCATTGGATACTTCCCCAAATATTAATCGATATATCATCTTAATGGTTGGGTTTAGTGCATAGTTTGAACTGCATTTCAGACCCAACAAGCTATGTCATTGTTAGTAAAAGAAGAAACAAAACATCAATTGGATGAATGCATATAGCGACGTACCATTCAAGATTGTTGAATTAAACAGAATGGATTGAGTTATGAAGCAGAAGTGAAGATAGAAAATGAATACTCTTATAACAAAATAAAGGATATGTACAAACAAGAACTCAAAGTATATTACCCATCGAATATGGACCAAGCAATTAGATGCTGAACTGGCCAACTGCTTCTTTGCAAATTGCAAGTCTACATTGGATGTCACTTGAATAGGAAAAAGTTAGAAGAATAAACAAATTAATCTAAATCTTAACAGGATTCTGTGGACCACTTGGAGCAGTAGTGGGAGCAGCAGAATTTGAACTTGCCGGTAATGACTTAGAAGGTCCCAAAGCTTCCTGGAAGAACCTCTTATTGGGTATAATACCATCTCTATCCATATGCTTTAACAGTTTCTGCACAAGCTCCTTCATGTTAGCTTTAGTGTAGGCCTTATAGAGGAGCTTATATGTTGATGAATTAGGTAGTATTCCAATACTACGCACAGTTTCTAAAAGTAAATCCGCTTCCAATGGCAAACCATTCCTACAGTAAACATCAAGCATTACATTTAGGGTTGAAATCTTGACCTCCTTTCCAGATTCAACCATATCATTAAAAGTATCCCTAGCCTTGGAAACAGAGTCACAATATCCGTGCATCATGATAAGACACTCATATGTGATGAAACTTGGCGTGTATTTCATCTTGATCATCTTCTGAAAAACACCCTCTGCCTTCTCTTTCTGCCGTGCCTTCCCATAGTTCATTATCATGGAATTAAAAGTGGGCAAAGTTGGTTTCGCTTTAGAATTCAGCAAGCTCTTAAAAACTTGTTCCATCTTGTCAAATGCTTGTTTCTTCCCATAAGAGTCAATCAGCAAATTAAATGTAATAATATCAGGCTTGCATTGATAACTTTTCATGAGAGAAAGTACCGATTCCATTTCTCTAATCATACCATTTTTTCCATAGGCATCCATAACACCATTAAATGTATAAATATCAGGGGAAATAACACTCTCGTCAAGATCTTTAAACAAAGCATTAACTTGAGACACATTTCCAGCTTTAGCAAAAGCTCTCAAAAGAATGTTGTAAGTAACAACATTGGGCTTACATCGTTCCATACCTTTGATTTTCTCAAAGTAAGCAAGCGCTTTCAACAAAGCCTTTGCTTTATCCTTGGAATGGAGGTGGGCTGTGATGAGTGCATTATAAACCGAAGTATCTGGCCGGCACCCACTATTGCGCATCTCAGAGAAAAGCCACATAGCCATCCGGGTTTGACCTTTCTTTCCCATAACAGAAATCAACTTGGAATAAATACCACTATCAGCTACATACCAACGTTGCTTCTGCATCCATCTAAACACCTGAACGTAAAATTCCTAAATAAGAGACCCTATTCATTCCACATAATGCTTTTAATGGAAATGTATAATAATTAAACAGGGATAAATTGCTATGTTATCCTACAGCATTGTACTATAGCTTTATAATGGTTATAGTTATGTGAAGTCCTTATTCGGTAAAAATTCTCATTCTCTAATCAACAGAAAGCAATTAAAGGGGAAAAACAAAACAAACAAATCAAAAACCCAAGATAGGCAAGATAAGAAATTTAACAAAGCAATTGAAGATTATTATCACCACAAACTAAAATCACATAAAGACTGAACCAAAAAGTCATAAACTATTATACCTCAAGGCACTGGAGCCATTTGTCACGCTTGCCAAGCTCTTCGAAAAGCAAAAAACAATGCTCAGTCCTTATGATCCTCACGTATTTGTTCAATGTACGCACCAACGGTTGCTTATCACTGAAACTCCTCATCAGGTCCCGAACAAACTCTTCGGCCTGCGATTCATCGCTGCTATGAACAAGTTTTCCGGGTCGGGACGAGACGCAGGATATCCGGAACTTGTGGAGATTTTCCTGTGGACGCCATGGAAGGTTAGGATTGTAGATTTGTGAAAAATGGAGTGCGAAGGAAGAAGAATTGAGCGCCGAGAGTTGCAGACTGTGGTGTGACAGATTCAATGGCATCTTCTTGCTTCTTCAGCAGAAGTGGATGTTTGCGCTAAGAAGTAAAAAGTAGATGATAGAGTTTTTGGGAAATAATAAGGGCTGAAACATAAATAAAGAAAGCTTTAGGGGTTAAGTGTAAAAACAAAAGTATGTCGACAGGATCTATTTGAGAAATAAAAATATTTAGTGGAAATAACCGCATAGAAGAAAGCTTTCAGTTTTGAATTAAAAGAAATCGTTGAAAAATGGAATTTGAACCCGACGTGAATCGAACACGCAACCTTCTGATCTGGAGTCAGACGCGCTACCATTGCGCCACGGATTCACAACTTGTCTATTCCTAACAATAAAATATATTTATCTTATTTGATGTCCATAAATTTAACTCCTCTCGGATTTTTAAAGAGGAGGGTAATGTTAATTTCCTTGTTATTTAAATACTTGAATTATAACACTTGTTTTGTTTGTTTTGCATTTCCTTCTATAGAGTCCATTTTTATATTATTCTAATCATAATTATGACTTTAATATGTTTTTTTTTCCAGACTAAAATGAATTATTTCATAAACTAAGGAGCAAAATCCTCCAAAACAATAACATCAACAGGGGAAGAGATTTCCTGATAGAAAACTAAACTTGTCTACAGCTAATTAAAAGTCATGGACGGTGGATGCATGGTCAAAGATGGTTCCTAAGTGAGTAAAGTCTTGGTTAGTGAAAGCATAGTCATTGGATAGTGTCTAACTTAGACTATTGTTGGAAGGCTTGGACGATGCCTAACTTGGACTATTGTTGGAAGGTAATATTATTCCAGCAATATAAATGATTATTTGTATTTGAGTATTGTGATTGTTCATAATTAAGTAATTTATATTATTGCCAACACTTCCTCCGTGAACATAAGCTCTTTTACTTCACTAGTAAGAGCCATTTGAGCAAGGACATGTGCCACCTTATTACAAGTTTTAAAGGCATGCAAACAATAAAAAGATGCAAAAGAATTAGTAACCAGACTCAAGTTTAGCAATCTAGTTCCCAACTCTGAGCATAGGAAAAAAATTATTATTCAACTGATTTATCAGAGCAAGGTAGGCCGACTCAAGCATAACCTGACTGAACGCCAGCTCCCCTGATCTTGAAGTCGCAAAGCTAGCAGCTTCTATGTTAGCTTCTTCCAATGATAGGAGTTTACGCATCCTCCTTAAACTTGTTGCCAAGACCTCGCTAGTGTCATTACGAGCCACAAAGGCCAAGCCCACACCAATACCCTCTTTGACAGTAGCATCAGAGTTGAATTTCACCATTCCTACTGCCGGCGAGGGCCATGAGCTATTTTCGAGACAGGCTTACCTCACTGGACCTGTATCGATCATGACCTGAAACTCAAAAAGAACTCTAAAAGCCATGTTACAAATATCAGGAGTTGACAGAAATTTATTTTAGGAGATAAGAACATTTTGTTCCCACCAAAGGGCCCAAGATATTATTGCAATGAGCTCGATTTGAGGATCTTCCAACTGCTTCATTTTAGTTCTAAGCCATGCTAAATAACCAACCTCTGTATTTAACCACACTTCCCTCGCTAATGGGCAATCTATCAATACATGATCCATCAATTCAACACCTTCACCGCATCAAGGACATCTGGTATCAACCTTCATCCCTCTCCTAACAAGATTAGATCTTGTGGAAAGCAGATTCCATTGTGTATGGTCCCATAAGTGAATCAAATTAATGAAAATAATTTTTTTAAAAAAAATTATTTATAATTTAACCTATTTTGCTTTTAAGAAATCGTTAGAGTTTTATTCTTCTTTTTCCCAATAAATGACTATTTTGATTGATTTGGTATATAGAACAAGCTCATACACTGGTTTAGGTAAGTCTTTCTTTATCTTATGTACTTTTAGAATTCTATGCTAATTATCATTTCAGTCAACATTTACCTACATATGTATCTCATCTCATATGCCAAATTAATCAAAAATAAATTTAACGAGAATATTTCTTATCATTTACTGGGGAAAAAAAAAGGATAAAAGAGTAACAATCTTTCAAAAAAATCTTTATGAGTTGGCTGAAGGTCTTATTCTATTATTACCTATACTCGTTTAAAAATCCGAGTGGGTTTGCCACAGAACCCTTTGACAGTCTCTCTCTATTATGGTACTTCCATGGCCAGGATGCCTCAAAAGGAGATTTTGTAATTATAATTTTTAACTTCCTAAACCATGTAATTAAAATAATAAATAATATAATTCTGGATTATCACACTTCAAGTGACCTAAACACACTGCATGAATCATTTTGGTTCATGGATTAGTTCCCATTGGATGGTGGTTAATGGCTGTTTTGTAATAGGTGTGAGTAATTTTATACCCATGTCCACATGCATTTGATTTGAAGGTGTCCACTTCTAATCCTGTTAGCTACTTGACATAAAAAGCATCTCTACAGGTTTTGTATTTTACTAATTTTACAATCCTTTCCGGCAGAATGGTGGATACTTCAATTTCCTTAATTTCAATTTTAAATTCACTTGACATAGACAAGGATACAAAGAAACAAAAATTCATCCTGGAATTGTTGTACTTGTTCATCAAGTTGTGGACAAGGACATAGAATTTATCCCTTTGTGCTTTTTAATGAAAATTACTTGGTCTAATTGCTCATCCAATCAATCTAAGTTTCTTGTTATAATCACAAGCCAGTTTTCCAATATTATATTAAAACTTTCATCAATTCAATAAAAAGCAAGTCATTATCATGAATGAGTTTCGGCTCTAATTATTACTTCCTTCATCTTAAAATATAAATTGTTTTTGAACAGGAAGTTTATCCCAAAATATAAATCGTTTTGTTTAAGGAGTAACAAATGATGTTTTTCTAATATGACCTTCATTTACATTAGATACAATAAAGTTATTCTTGATTTTGAAATAAAAGGTAATTTGGTCAAATTACTCTTGATTTTGTTATAATCTAGAAAAATTAATTAATTCTTTAATCCCTAAACAAAAACCTTAAATGCTTTATATTTTAGAATATAGAGAGTATTCGAATATATGAAGATTTTAAGCTTATGAATTCAAACGCTAAATTGGTAAAAGAGAAGAAAAAGTTATATGCAAATCATTTAGGCCATATTCGGCAGGAGTGTTTGAGATAGTGTTTAGTGTTTTAATTGGGTTAAAACACTATCTTAATTAATTGTGGCATTCGGTAATACAATATCTATCCTAACGTTTCATAAAATGTTGACGTTTTAGCATTTTATAAATTTTTTATGATACCTATACCCATCATTTATCTTTATCTTATTCTCCACTCTCATACATCTTTTGTCGTTTTATATTATACAGCGAATCAAATACTTATTTTACCGAACATTTTCATTCTAAACCCCTCTGTAAATAACTAACCACTAACAATTAATATGTAACAGTGAACCGCTAGTAAAATAGCTGATAGCTAAGATTAGGCATGGCCAAATTACGGTTCCGGGAACCGGAACCGTCGGTTCGAACCGGCCCGAAACCGTAACCGGAACCGGTGAGAACCCGAACCGGGACGAATCGGAACCGGAACCGGACCTGGGCCCGAAACCGTAAACTCGGAAACCGGTGAGAACTCCGAAACCGGGAACGAAAATTCGGAACCGGAACGCGGAAAAATCGCGGTTTCGGTTTCCGGCTCCTGCAAATAGGACCAGTAATACCGGCGGTTCCAGAAGAACCGGTCGGAACCAGGACTGGAAACCGCCGGTTTCTCCGGCCCGAGTTTAGAAACGTAGCCGTTGTAACTGTCAGATATTTTGATTTTTTTTTTTTTTTGTTTGTGAAATGTCTTAATATACCCCTCCCAACAGCCCATAACGACTGGGACTATATTAACGCTAGTTTTAAGGGTATTTTTGGAAAAATGAATTTTTTGGATTTATTATAAATACCCTCAATTTTATTACAAAATTCATTACAAAAAAATCTCAACTCTCTCTAACTTACTCTCTCTACAATATAGCTTACACTCTCCTACCTTTATCTCTCTCTACAATATACTACACTGCTACTCTATATTTATTCATTTATTCTTCTCTACTCTAAACAATAATCTCTTATTAAGTAATTTCTCTCTAATTTTTTTTATTCAATTTCCCAAATTATTATTATCATCATAATAATGGCAATGGGGGAGAGGAAACTCAAATTCGGGTAAGGGCAAGGGAAAAATTGAGAATCATCTATCCGCTACAAACGACATCTATGATATGATTCCCGACCAGATTTAATTTTGAAGGTTTTTTCCACAATGAAAATTGTGGATATTCCACTACAAAGAATCCGAATCTTTAAAATGAGCAATTTCAAGAAAGAAATGAAGAGCAATGAGCAAGAGCAACAGAGCAAAAATTGTTAAGAAAGAACAAGACAAAGTTTCGACATATTCTCCTTCATTTCGCAAACAAAAAAGTTCCAAAAGTGAAAAATGTACGATGTAATTGCAATATTGTGGAAAATCTTAAATAAATTTAAAACAAGCGGGCGGCTTATGGCATGTTTGGGAAGCATTGGAGCAAAAACAATCCAAACAAAATAGGAGTTGATACGTCTCAACAAGCAAAATTTTCCGGGTACGCTCTCCTTTCTTTATTTAAAAATATTCTGATAAAATACAAAAAGAAGATTAGAAAAATGATTTTCTATGGAACTTTATCTTTTAGTTTTGGTTGAAAAATTAAGGTTTTAATAATTAATTGTCAAAAGCTTTATAATCCTTGTGCTAAAAGAGGTAACCAAGAAATACTGTAGAACGAACTATTATTTCTTTTAATATAAACCAAAGGAAAAAAAAAGAGTTAGAACTTTTTATTCTTTTCTCATTTGAAATTTCGTGTTTCAATTTGTTGTGATGTTTGGCAGTGATCATTGGCAAAATGGCAATTCTTATATGGGTATTACATGTCATTGATTGGATGATGAATTTGGAAAATTCAAAAAAGAATTATGGTTTTCGTGTTTTTGATGATAAACATAACTGCAATTAAATATTTTTAGAGTAATGTGTTTCAAATTTTAGATGAAATATAGGTTGACAAAAAAAATTTTTTCTATTGTTCAATTTGAAATAATTGCTGTCTGCAAAATACTAGATCAATTATTGAACCCTTAAAAAATTTGTGAACCAAATATTGGGGGTAAATGTTTTTCATATAAGATGTGCATGGCATGTTTTAAAATTTATGTGTACAAGATGGTTTGAAAATTCTTGATTCTTTATTCTCTCCATTCAAAAAAGCTATTTCAATATTTATGGACACCATCCCCCAAAAAGTTGGGCTAAATTTTGTAAAGAAAATAATAAAAGACCAAAACGTTTTCCAAGGGATGTCCCAACTCGTTGGAATTCGTTGGAATTCAACATATGAATTATTAAACGAGTCTTTTTCATATAAAGAATTATTGTGCACTTTTGTTACTAACAATATTGAAGAAATTAATTTTTATATATAAAATTGGGATATTTATGCAAAAATTTTGGATATTTTAAAAATTTTTAATCTTGCTACATATAAATTTAGTGGGGTTTAGTATCCCACATCTCATTTATTTTTACCTACATGCATTAATATTGTTAGTGCACTTCAAGAATTTGAAAATGATATTTTATTACAAAATTGTATTTTATCAATTAAAAAAAATTGTTATCTTATTTTAAAAACATACCACCTCTTTATCTTGTTGCTTGTGTATTTGATCCTACATGTAAATTTGAAGTTTTATCTGAATATTTGACTTTTTACTGTAAAATATTAAATCTTGATATAGAAGATAATGTTAATATAAATAAATTTGTTCAATATTTTAGTTCATCTACTTCTTCTAATTCTTCTCAATTCAATTTCTAGTTCATCTACTTCTATTTCTACTTCTTCTCAATCTAATATTCCACAATTTTCAACATAAAGGGTAAGTGGTGTTGGTGTTGCTCAATAAGTTTCATTGCAAAGACAAAAAAGAACAAGGGAATCCAGTTCTATTTCTGAATTTGATAATTATCTAACAACTTCTTTTGAGTTTGGTGATGATTATGCTGATGCAGATTTTCCAATTTTAGATTGGTGGAGTCGTCACGCAAATACTTTTTCAATTCTTTCTTTACTTGCAAAACAAATTTTAGTAGCTCCGGTCTCCACTGTTGTTCCCGGTCTCTCCACTGTTGCGGTTGACACAAGCTTTTTAGTCAAGGAGTAAGCATACTTGATGAAACACGATCTCGTAATGACATCCGATTCATTAGAAATACAAGCGTGCGTGCGATGTGATTGGACCAAAGCCGAACTAAGAGCCAAGAAAATCCAAAGAAATGAAGATTTATTTTGATTTATACGATGTGGTCCTCACGGGAACATCAACCGGTGGTGCAAAATTAGCGAATTAAGGTAAAAATGGGGGGATGAATTGATATAAGGTAAGTAAGAACTACTGGGGCTTTGATTCTCTAAACCCAAGAAGGAATACGTAGGCGCATATCTCTTAAATTCTTTTTTTAAACAAAAAAAAAATTAAGTCAAGGCCCATTTTTTTTTTTAATTTGTGTTCAAACTTAAAAAAAAAAAAATTTCCAGTTCAAAAATTTTGGGTTAAAAAAATCATTATGTTCAACAACTCCAACAATTCAAGTTTTAAAAAATAATTTTAATTGAACAGTTTTTTAAATTTTTTTAGGTTGTAATTTTTTAATTTTTATGTTCAAATAATATTTTTTTAAAACCGATCCTCAAAATTTAAAAAATTTTTCTAGGTGTAATTTTAAATTTTTCCATGTCAATAATTTTTTTTTTAACCCGTCTTCATATTTAAAAATTTTTTTAACTGTATTTTTTAATTTTTATGTTCACATAAAATTTTTTTTAAACCGGTATCCAAAATTTAAAATTTAAAAATTATGCGATTCGCCGGAAAAGCCCAAACGGAACCGTCGTTTTGTAATCGCGGTATCGGAACCGGAAACCGAACCGGAACCGAACGGTTTTCGGACCGGAACCGGAACCGACCATTTCGGTTGGTTCCGGAACCCGTGGGCCAATGCCTGGCTAAGATTGCCATAAAACCAAGGTTTTAGTAAAGGAATAATTCCATCGAGAAAATGGGGCTTAGATTTGATGATATGAACTGAGGTTTTATTTTGGATGTATTGGGATTTAGTATGGTCATTAGATGGATCGAAGCTTGGGTGCGGAGGGGAGGAGGCGAGTTGGATTAGGGTTGAAAAAAGTAAACTAGATTTAGACGGTAGGAAGGCAAGTCGGTCGCAAAGGAGTAGGCGATCAGTTGCTTAAAGAAAAAAATAAAAAAAAAATAAAGATACAAAAAAAAAAAAAATAAAGAATAAGGATAAAAAAAAAAATAATAAAAAAGAAAAAAAAAATAATAAGAAAAATTAATTAGAATATTAAAAAATTAAACAGAAAAAAAGAAAATAATTAAGAAAAGATTAAATTCAAAAAAAACTAAAAAGAAAAATATAAAAAAAAAAAGATAAATAAAAAATAAAAAAAGGATTAAAAAAAAAAAAAGTTTTTTAAGAAAGAAATAAAAAAAAATAAAAAGAAAAAAAAAATTTTAAAAAAATACATATATAAAAAAAAAAAAAATAAAAACAAAAAAAATATAGAAATAAAAGAAAAAAATTTAACTTTAAAGATTAAAAAAACAAATTAAAAAAAATAAAATAAAAAAGAAAATATTAAAAAAGATAATAAGAAGACTTTTACAATACAATATATATTAGTATTTTATATAATAGATTTTTTTTTTTTTTACTAATATTTTTTTTTTTTCTATCAAGAAAAACTAAATTTGGATCATGGGTGGGGGAGTTTATAGGAATGAGCAATGAGGCAATTATTTTGTTTAAAGACTCACTGAAAAATTCCATTAATCTACAAAAAAAATTTAAAAGATAATTCAAGTTGCGATCGTGGAGTTCATAAGGAAAGGTTTTTCCTTTTGTCTTTTTTAAGGTTCAACTTTACAATTACAATATGATTATAAAAAAATATCATTTTAGTCCCTCTAATTTTTTACAATTTCTTTTTCGGTCCCTTAATTTAAAGTCCTGCTCCATCTCAAATATGAAAAGATAACTCATCCCCTTATAAAAAATTTATATAGATAATTCCAAGAAGAATCAAATTTCGACACTTCAAGAAATGCTATGCTTATATATATACTTCATCAAGCCCTCATTCCTTGGACTAACTCCACCACTTATTACCAAACACCCAAAACCAATTAAACAGCATATGGATTTAACATCAACCATCGTAGCTTTGGTTGCACTTGCCTTTTTCCTCCAAGCATGGCTAAGGGTTAGAAGCACAAGTAAGAAAAATTATAAACTACCTCCTGGTCCGAGAGGCTTTCCTATATTTGGCAATCTTCATTTATTAGGAAAATTTCCTCACCGTGCTCTACATCAACTAGCACAAAAATATGGCCCTATTACGCACTTGCGCTTAGGCTTAGTCACAACCATTGTCGTCTCCTCTCCTAATGCTGCCGAATCATTTCTCAAGACAAACGACATCGTTTTCGCTAGCAGGCCACCCCACGAGTCAGCCAAATACATTTCTTACCAGCAAAAAAATTTATCGTTTGCTTCATACGGCCCTTATTGGCGTAACGTGCGAAAAATGTGCACCCTTGAGTTACTAAGCAACCATAAAATTAATTCTTTCAAGTTCATTAGAAAAGAAGAGTTAGACCTTTTGATCAAGTATATTAAAGAGGCTTCCTTTCAACGAGAGGCGGTCGATCTTAGCGCTAAGGTGGCGTCCCTGAGTGCCGATATGTCGTGTAGGATGGTGTTTGGGAAGAAATATATGGATGATGAGTTTGATGCAAGAGGGTTTAAAGTTGTGATTCAAGAGGGTATGAAATTAGCAGCAGCCCCCAATTTAGGTGACTATATTCCTCAAATTGCTTGGCTTGATCTTCAAGGTCTTACTAAGAGAATGAAGGCTGTTAGTAAGGTGTTTGATGGTTTTTTTGAGAAAATTATTGATGAACATATTCAGTTTAAGGATGAAAGTAGAACTAAGGATTTTGTTGATGTCATGTTGGAATTTGTGGGATCTGAAGTATCTGAATATCATATTGGTAGAGATCACATCAAGGCTATAATCTTGGTAAGTAATTAAATTAGTATTCATTTAAATAAGTATAGGTTTATATGCCAATTTTCTATTTGCCTGAAATTATTTATATTTATAAGATAAAATTTATAGGGGAAAGCTCAAAACTGGGTTAGCTTTTATACAAATTATCAATTTACCTGTTCTCTTTTTCTTTTTTTTTTTTTTTTTTTTTTTTTTTTGGTACTATTAAGGTTTTTTTTTTTTTTTTTTTTTTTGGTACTATTAAGGTTATCTTTCAATCATATTTAACGGTTAGATGAGAGCCCTTTAAACCCGAGAGCAATTACCTCTACACCCAAATTTCTCCTTAATTTTATAAATTTTATCACTAATTTTCAAATTGGCATCAATTTTACACATCTCACCTTAATTAAAAAAATTTCCAGTTTTCTTATTTAAAAAAAAAAAAAATAAAGTTTTGACTTCCTAGATAATTGATTGTAATTTGAAAGACTCATTCTTTATTATTACATCTATCCCTAAATAATTGTTATATTTGTGATTTTACGTCTTTTAATAAAATTTATTAAATTTACAATAAATTATTGAATAAATTGATTATATTATCTTTAAATTAATACATAGAAACACTAAATATTTGAGAAATTGAAAAAATAATTGTTGGTCATGTGTAATTTGTAAATAGTAACATGATAAAAAATTTATTACTTATTGAAAACCAATAATGTGACAAGTATTTTTAAACATAGTATTTTTCTAATGCAACCAGTATTTAAGAAAATATTGTTTTTCTCTGTTTTTTTTTTAAGAAAAGATATTTGACTTTTATTTACGCCTAATTACAATTTAATAGATGAATTAGGCCTATGAGCCTTTTCCAACCAACTAATATAATTTTGTTACAGGACATGCTGGCAGGGTCAATGGACACATCAGCTGCCGTAATTGAGTGGGCACTCTCTGAACTACTGAAACACCCAAGAATAATGAAAAAAGTCCAAAAAGAACTTGAACTGAAGGTAGGCTTAAACAAAATGGTAGAAGAATCAGACTTAGAAAACTTAGAATACTTAGAAATGGTTATAAAAGAAACATTTAGACTGCACCCAGTTGCACCATTACTAATCCCTCACCAGGCAACACAAGACACCATTGTTGATGGCTATCTCATACCAAAAAATTCACACATAGTTATAAACACATGGGCAATTGGGCGAGACCCAAGTGCTTGGACTGATCCAGAAAGGTTCCTGCCGGAGAGATTTGCTGGAAACAACGTAGATTTTCGCGGCCGAGATTTTCAGCTTTTGCCGTTTGGGTCTGGGCGTAGAGGGTGCCCTGGAATTCAATTAGGAGTAACTGTGGTTCGGCTTGTGTTGGCGCAGCTAGTGCATTGCTTTGATTGGGAGCTGCCAAATGATATGTTGCCTAATGAGTTGGATATGAGTGAGGAGTTCAGTTTAGTTACACCAAGGGCTAAGCATTTACTTGCCTTACCAACTTATCGTCTTCTTGTTTGATTTTATCTTTTATGGCATATGTAATGTTTTGTTATGGATCTTGATTTTAAGTTTATTATGCCCTCTAGAAACTAATCTTCCTTAATTTTTTTTTGGGAGAATTACTGTTTGTCGTTATAGATTGGTCAAATACACTAGTAATTCAATGCTTTTGTTAATATACATGATTATGTCTTTATGTTTTGATTATGTATGACACTTTAGTCCTTCGGCCTAATGTAAACTTTCAACATCAATTTTACAGAATGTTGCAATTTCACCGTAAAATCACATTTGTCCCACACACACTTTAATCATGAACTTTGGATATAATTGCACTCTAAATGACAAATAGAGTTAATTTTCTCAATATAAAATTGTAAATGGTGGGACCCAAATAACCCCTACACTCAAATTTCTTTGGTGATAATTGCCACTTATCGCTTTGGTGATAATTAAGGGTGCAATTATCATCCAAGTTCATAATTAAGGTGTGTATGGAACAAAGGTAGTTTAAGAGAAATTGAAACGTTTTGTGGTAAAACCACAACATTCTGTAAAGTTGTTGATGAAATTGTACATTAGCCCTTAGTCCTTCTATCCATTTTCTTATGTATTTAGCCGTGAATCAGACCTTTAAAAGATGTCATGCGTGAGAGAAAATTAATTTCTTTGTGAAGTAGAAACAAGAGAATTAATTTTTGAGATGACAACTTCACCTGAAGTGCGATCGGAATAGAGTTGAGTAATCGTAAACACAGAAACTAGGTTTTCAATCCTCGGTTGGTCTAGGTTTTTGGCTAGAGCAATTTTTAACTCATTGATTTTTCAAATTAAATCAGACCGAATTAGTTATTGATTTGTAAGTTAATCACTCTACTCCAGTTGTGAAAACATTATAGGTATTCTCTTTCCTCCATCTTCTTTTTTGCCAAAGCCACAAATCATCATCTCTTTTTCTTTTTCTTTTTTTTTTTTTTTTTTTTTTTTTTTTTTTTTTTTTTTTTTTTTTTTTTTTTTTTTTTTTTTTTTTTTTTTTTTTTTTTTTTTTTTTTTTTTTGCCATAGCCACTTATCGCTTTGATTCACCAAAAAATAAATGTTATATAGAGCCCTTCCAGTATTTGGTGTTTCGGTCTACGTTAGGATTAAAATGGAATGATTCTTGCCTCGTTCAACTTTTTTCATCTCATCATTATTTCTTCTTTTAACTGTTAAAAAGTTAAAATAAAAAATCCGGTTCTATCAGTTTTGTGTAGTTTTTGAGTTACCAGATTTTATTAGACCAATCCGATTTTTTATTTTTTGACTTTTAAAATTAAATCATATCAATTAAAGTTAACCGGTTCAATGAATAAACCAGTCTAGTCTTGAAAAAAGCATCCACTTGCAAGTCATTTTCTATTATTTCGGGTTCGGGTCTCTTTCAGATAAGTGAGTGGCTAGAATTTTGTAATTCCTGTCTGGTTGTTAGGTAGCAGAAAATTAGACCATTGACCAAAACTTTTACTTATGATAAAAAAATCTAATTTTAGATCTCTCTCACACACATTTCTCATTTTATCCAACTTCAGTTCTAATATAGAGATTGAAGAAATGTTGAGACATTCATCATCATCGTCATCACCATCTTCAGTTCTAATATGTGTTCTATATGTTTTCTGCTTAATTGTTTATGCACAGAATGAAGCTCAACCTACTACAGAACCTAATGAAGGTAAGTCCCCCATCTTTTTATCTCATACAGATGTTTTTTGTTGACTTGGTCTCTGCTCATTTTTTTTTTTCGCTTGCAAATTAGATTTTGTAAAGAACACCTAATTCCTAAATTATGTTTGGAAAATTTCAAAACAGAGCCTTTTTTTTAAAAGAAAACAATAATAATGGTAAATTGTTTTGCTTTAATTACTAGAAATTAGAAACCGAAACTCAAACTTGATAACAAAACTCTTTAATTGATAATTACCAATTTATCAATTTAAATTATAATTAATTTCATAAAATTAAGAATATAGAATTTAAATAATTTTTTATTATGAAGACACAACCTTTATGACTTTATAGGTAATGAGTTGTAATGAAATTTTTCCTTTTATTAGAATAAAAAAATGTTAAAAGAGAAGGGAACAGAGACTAGGGCAAATAAAGAAAATGAAAAGCCTTAAATAGTAAATGGTGCTTAATTATAAAGAGAAAATAATTATTTTGCCGAATAATAGAAATGTGATGGTAATTTTGCATTAACATAGTTAATTATCTCTTTTATATTATTTGTATATATTATATGGTTTTTAGTTGTACTTCTGTATAAATATGAACTAATAAAAATTATGCTTACTTAATTTTAATAAATTAAATGAAAAGTATCAAATTTTGTCTTTTTAAATAAATTTAAAAAATTTCAAATCTTGTTTGTATTTATTAAAAATAAAAGGCTGGTCAATAAGTTGAATTTGCACTGGGTATTTGCTAATTGGTAAAAAGCATGTTAATGGAATGGTGTTAAAAAATTCAATTGAGCTTGTTGGCTAAATATGAAAGTTTATATAGCCTAGTAGCAAGGGTGATGTCTTGGAATCAAGAGTTACTAAGGCAGCCGAGTAGAGCGTAAAAATTTCATTGTATATAGGTTTCATTTTGTCTGGGAATAGAAGTCAGATGGGTAGGATATCCGCTCTGATTTGTTTAGTGAGAGTACGGATAGTTATAAATGAGTTTTACACGGATACGGATAGTGAAATTACTATCCGTAATGGATTAATGGATACGGATAGGATATGAGTATTAGATTCTAGGTACCTGCTACCTATTATCCGCTATAATAAACGGCTTTAGCCATGAGTATTCGCAGTTGCCCTATCCATTTATTAGTAAAAAATGCATTTAAAATAAGTTTGGGTTTGGATAGTTTAAGCTGAATGGATACTCGAACCATTTAAAGGTATTTTAAACGGGTTCGAATACTAATACTTAAATGAATATTTAAATGGGTTTAGAATGGAAACGGGTAGTAAAATTCTAAACGGATATGGTTACAGATAATTCAAAATTCGCGGGTACCCATCCCGCTTCCATCCCTTATCCTGTCATGAGGATCAAGTGGATATTTTTTTTTTTTTTAAATTTTGGCCTACACCTTCTCCATCATTTTATACCAAAATTGTGATTTTCATATGGTTGCTATTTCAATTCAATTAATACTCCGATTGTTTTCGTAAAATAACTTGTTAAAAAATAGTTGCATGAAAAACATTTTCCTTGAATAATATTTTTCAAATGACTTATTTTCTGTTTTTTGATTGTAATATTAAAAATTAGTTAAAAATATTAAAGTTTTTATCTCATAAAACCATAAAAATATTAATAATAATAGAAATTTTAATTTATTCTCATAAAACCATAAAAATATTATAATTTAATAGAATTTAAAATTATTGTTAAACGAGAAGAATTGAAAAAAAAAATGTGTAAATGATTAAAAGTCAACGGTTGGTGTGGGTTGCAAAAATATTAAAGTTTTTATCTCATAAAACCATAAAAATATTAATAATAATAGAAATTTTAAAATTTTATTGTTAAATACGAGAAGAATGAAAAAAAAATGTGTAAATGATAAAAGTCAACGGTGGCTGTGGGTTGCCGGTGGTGGTGGCCGGTGGTAAATAGTGATTAGTGGTAGTGACTATGATGAATAATAAATTAAAAAAATATAGATTTATAAAGTTTGTTAATATCCAGAAATGTTTTACTCTCTTGAAAATGAGAAGTCATTTTTCTTAAAAAATGACTTAATTTTCTTTTGACTAGCAAAATATTTTCGGTTGTTTTATTTTCCTAAATGTCCTAAATAATGAAAAATTGTGGAAAACATTTTCTTTCAAGTTATTTTATGAAAACAAATGACTCTATTCCTCCTATTTTATTTGTATGGTTTGACAAAATATGTATATTAAGAATTAAGTCAACAAAAGTTATTTTGTCATTCTTTACCTTTAACTTATTAAAATATTAATAAAAGTCTTTCATTTAATGAACAATTATAAATATTATTATGAGAAAAATAATTATTTACATGTCTAAATTTAGAAATCTTATAAATATTTTGGAACATTAAAAAAAAAACAAGTAAATAAAATAGGACGGAATGAGTATTCATTTATTAAAATTGATTAGAAAACATATTTTTACAACTTATCAAAAACTTAATTCCTTTATAGCAATATTTTAAAATTCAAGGCCAAGTAGCTAATCCACCCAATACGGAAGATTGAGTTTTTTTTTTTTTTTAGAATACAATTAATTTGTCATTCAGTATTGACATATTGCCATTATACAAGGTCTATATTAATTAATTTTAACGGCCACGTCAATTGAAACTGCAGTCGTCCAGCAAGCTAGTTGTTTACAAAAAATCTATTTGGTGCTTGAAATCACAATTATAAAAAAATATTCTTTCCGTTTAATTTTATTTATATAGTTAGATAAATACTTATATTAAGAATTTAAATAATAAAAATTATTTTCTTTTTTTTTCTCTTAATTTATTAAAATATTAATAAAAAATTTTTTATTTAATGAACAATTATAAATATTATTATTGAAAAGTAATAATTTAAATATATAAATTTAAAAACATTATAAATATTTTAAAACATAAAAAAGAAATAACAAATAAAATGGGATAGAGGGATTAATTTTTTGTGTGATATTTAACTGTTTAGCTTGAAATTACATTGAAACAACATATCATTTTCCTCTTTTGTTTGTGTTGGATGGAAATGAAGCTAAAAAGGAGAACAAAAGATAATTATAAATTCGTACCTTTTATAATTATAGTAAAGAAAATTATAGTTCTATAGTTAAAAATGACAAGTAACGAAAAAGAAAAAAAACATTCAAACTAACTCAATAAATAAGTTTTTATTAAATTTTAATGAATACTATTTGATAATATCAATTAATATTTAAAATTATTTTTTAAAAATTTTTAATGGCCCTCATTTATATGACGTTCAAAAAGTTAAAATTTAATGAAAAATAATATGAATTTTTAGCTTAATATTCTAATGATAGTTGAAATACCTTTACAACTAGAAAGTTTTTTGTATATTGTTTTCTTAAAAAATTAAAAATAAAAAATTGTGAATTTCTAGGTGAACTCATGACTTTTTGAAATTTACCTTTATGCCTTAATCACTTAATCCCTTAGTTTATAATAAAAAATTAATTTTTTTTCAAAATTAATTCTGTCCAGTTTGCAGTAGAAAATCAAATCATGTCAAACCAAACTAACAACCAATTCACAAGTTAACCTATCTAATCTATCGGTTTGATCAAATTTTCAAAACATTAATTTATCTATGCAACACTAGAAAGATGAAAAGACGTCTTCTAATTTAAATGAAAACAAAAAAAATTGTACATAAAAATTTTTCCACACAATATTGTCACCACTTCGGTTTGAATCAAAAAATTGAATTGAAATCAAATTGTATTGTACATAAACTTAAATCAAATTGATAACGTCGGTTCAAGATTTTAAACTAGAACCTATGGTTCATAGGTTGTTAATGTTCATGTAATGTTAAAAAATGAATTTAAATAGATTTGTAACTAGCTTAATTGGCAGTTTCAATCTGAATAAAACCAAAATTCTATTTTTATGTTAAAAAAATTTATAATCACTTAGTCTATCTTATGCGCCTTTGAAAAGTCTATCAACATTTTGACAACAATTTTTCCTTCTAAATTTTTTTTACTTAGCCCAAAATTACATTTTTAAAAATATTTTTCAAAATTTTCTAACAGTTTATTTAATTCATAACTTTTAAACAAAAAAAAATTATAATTTGTTTCATAATTTTATAGTTATTTATAAAGTTAATGAATTTTATTTCTCATTTGAGTATGAACAGTTTTAAAAATTATTTAAAATAAATTTATTAATATTTTTTAAATTTATATTAATTTTTATAGAAAAAAAGACATAACCTTATAAATGAATTTCTTTTTTTTTTTTTTAAACAAAATAATAAGTTGATTGCTGGAACTGTGACTAGAAGTGTGTCTAGATTCGTCGGTTCATCAGAACTACGTTGAAATAGGAAGGAATTAAAATCAGACTGAAATTGATGATTCATAAAAATTTTGAACCGGTCAACAGAAACCACCGGTTCAATGAACCGGGCATGCCATCACCATCACCCCTCCCCTGTAACTTTGAAGTAAAAAAACATAAAAATAAAATATTGACATGTAAAAAATTGGGTACCGTAGCAAGAGCGTTGAACTCCATCTTTCAACAATGGGGAATTTCAGCCGATCAAAGTCAATGGAACATAACCGGAGAGGTGTGCAGTGGAGCAGCCGTCCTTGCCTCTATCTCCATCGACGATGGGAAGCACAATCCCTTTGTCAAATGCGATTGCGCTGATAATAATGGCACCACTTGTCACATCACTGCGCTGTACGTTTTCTCATTATTACCTTCTCAAGCTCTGTAGGTATCTGTCATTTTCCTTTCACTTTCCTTTATGTGTTATGTAAAATAATAATCGTTTAGAAAACTATTTATCTGAATAATGTAATTTTGAAACTAATTCCAGAGGTTATCACTGTTTGAACTCTGTTTAAATTAATTGGTTAACTATTTTATTTTAATAGGAAACAAATTACCTTGAAAATTAATTAACTTATTTAAACCATCTGTAAGGAGGTTGTTAGACAGTCGCTTGAACGAGCAACTGCAGTTGGCATTTCTCAATATTTTATAGGCAATGTCCAAAAATATTAATATTGTTTATTATGGTACTTTTGTAAATATAAATTATATTAACGTCTTTTTGGTAAGTTCATATGTTTCCTCATGTCGATAAATTTGAAAATATTATTGATATGTGTCTAGACATATGCTTGATTGATATGATTATAATTTGCAGGAAAGTTTATGAAATGGATATTGTGGGTGATATGCCGGCCGAGCTATGGACTTTGACTTATCTTACCAATTTGTATGGTTTTATATTCCAGTATATATATTTACTTGAACAGTCATACACCATTACTTGGTGCTTTCTTCTACATGAAGGGAAAGTTTAGGTATTTAGCAACTGGTGGGATTTGAATTCCATAACAGCAATGCTTGTTATCAACACCGTTATGCTGTTCAACACGACCTTGTTTTTTTGTTTTCCCATGAGTATTTTCATACCCTTTTTGGGTACGAGGCTAATCTCATTTCCGGAACTGTATTTTGAATCATAGTGCATTTGCCTGTAAATACTTCATTTTCGAGCAAAATAATCCAAAAGAATATATGAAAAAGCACATTATTCGAAAAAATTATAAAAAAACTGAATAAAAAAAAAGTAGTAAACTGCTTGCATTGTTTCTCATTTTCTCAACAAAATCTGTTTTCACCCTTTTCCATTCTATACCAAGCATTTTTCATTCTATAATAGGAATCATTAAATACATTCTATACTACATTTCACATTGGTCTAGTTGCATATATAGTATACTGCCAAATTTAAAGGCATTTTGATTTCATACAGGAACTTGGCTCATAATTACTTGACTGGTAACCTGTCTCCATTCATTGGCAATTTAACTCGCATGCAATATCTGTAAGCCAATCAAAATTCTAATGTTCCACATTAAACTTGTGAATATATTTCTCCCTTGCTGACATTAAAGTTATATTTTGGTTAGGTACCTTAGTGTTAACTCACTGTCAGGGGAACTTCCTAAGGAACTTGGGTTGCTTGCTGATTTAAGATCACTGTAAGCCTAGTGACTTTCTATTCAAATGAAATCAGTATCTATCTACTGCATTTTATGATATTTAGCTAGTTAATAAAGTTTAAAAAGTGGCAGGAGGGAATGTGCTTAGACATGTGAGATTCAAAGTTTTTTTTTCTTCACTTTTTTTTTCTCTTGGTTTCTATGCTTCATTCTGTTAAGTAGTCCATTACTTATGTAAATTAAATAAATTCATTTGAAAATGACCTTTGTTTGCGGAACATGGGGCTATTTATAAAATAATTTAGATATCATCTATTTTTTTGTAATGTCTCAATTCACAAGGGATTAAAGAATTCTGAGTACAAATTCTAGTCGTCTATAAGTTCTTTTATCAACATATCACATAAGTTGAGATAATTATAAAATTATTGAATAAATTCTGTTTGTTTTGTAGTTTTCTGTTGAAATTTTAGAACTGTGTGTTTTTATGTTTTTAGAACAAAATACTAACATGGATATAAAATATGGAGGATTCCAAGGCGTGTAGCACTGCCACTTTCCTTAAGATGATTTTCGCCCCTAATATATGTACAACAGATTATACAGAAATGTCTACAAGATACAATAAATCCCACTGTTTGATTCTGTTTTGCACTTGACAGAATCAAACGTTGAGCAACTAAGGTGCTACACATGATTGTCTAACTTTGAATGTGTTTTCTGCAGTAAACAAATTCAAAAGTGGAATGTAGATTTTGCTATTGTTGGAGGAGAAGAAGTTTGTCTTTTGATAACTTCTCTAGTTAGGCTATAAATAGGATCTACTAGGTTAAGTAGTTATTGGTAGTTATTTAGACACATATTTTGATATTTAGACATAACCTTTCAATAGTTAATTACTTTTAACTTCCATAATTTTGATATTTTCAAACTTAAAAGTTCAAAATTCAGCAACCGTCTCAATTTTGAGAATAACTTCAACATATGTAACTTGAATAGCTTCACAATAGGGGTGCCATTGATTGTGTAACCAAACCTTTTCGCTTTTTTTATAATAACTTTAACAATCAATCTCAATTAACAATATTGATTAATTGCAAAAGGTCCAAACCACATTGATTAACTGTGAAAACATATAACCAATGTTAATGTTTCAGTTAACTTATTTTGCTATAATTTTTAAAAAAATTAGAACTCACTATTCAAACTGTGAAGAAGAAGAATGAGAGGAAATATTAACTTGATTATTCCCTCAAGAATTGGGGATATAAATAGTACTACATATGTACAATATAGGTAACTAATCAAGGATACCAAATAATCTGCTAAGATCCCAAATAATCTGCTAATGATCTGCTATAATCTGCTAGTGATCTGCTAATTATAGCTCCTAATCTCAGCAGCTAATTACAACTAATTACAGCTGTAATACAGCTAAATACAGCAGCTAATCATAAATTATGCTACCTAATTCTCAGCAGCTATAATCTGCTAGTGATCTGCTAATTATAGCTCCTAATCTCAGCAGCTAATTACAACTAATTACAGCTGTAATACAGCTAAATACAGCAGCTAATCATAACACAAACCATTACCTGCTCAAATAATAAAAGTGCTTAAGAGCTAAAATCAATTTCATAATACTAATAACTATTGATTTGGTATCTAAAAAGCCCAACTTTTGTTTATGCTTAAGTTGAGTTCTAAACCTTGAGTTTGTAATCTAGTGGAGTTTGATCTCAACACTATATCAACTTGAATTAACTTGGTTACAGTTTCGAGTCAAAACTCAATATCTTAAAGTGTAGCTGAGATGATGGTAGACCGCAACCTTTTTATATGATCATGTATGCAGCCTTCATTATCTGAAATAAGACAGTTCATTGTTGATGTACTTCTTAATATGGCAGTGGTTTTGGTACAAACAACTTCTCTGGTCCTCTACCATCTGAGCTTGCCAATTGTACAAAGCTAGAACAAATGTGAGTTCTCTTATACCATTGTCAATGAAATTCTGTACACTTGTATGCGTATACTCTTTATTTCTATATTTGTATTCTTCACATTGAGAAAGAGTAAAAAATGGTAAGACTTTTGACTAGGTGGCACTGCATCTCGAAGCCTACCAGTCTTTTAAGATCCATATGAGGGGTATTCATGCATAGATTCACGATTATGTATGCCGTACTAGCGAACTTGAAATGACTTCCTATGATTTAGTGACAAGAAAATTGCACTTTCTGGCCACAGATCCTTGATCCCTTGGACATGAAGACTCATTGGATACAAAACTATCCAATTCATGCAAACTTAATGTTGTGTATGCAATTATTGTTTTCCTCATGCTCGAGTGAATAGTGAGGAGGAGAATTAATGTGTATTCAGAGACATATGCAGCCACAACGAGTGATTGTTTCAGCAATTTCCTTTTCTTTAAAATTTTTATGCAGATACCTATAATAGGGATTATCGAAAGTGTAGTATCACAATTGTAAAGTTGTCTGCAGACTATATCTGTTACTTCCCGATTAAAGTTATATGCTAGAAACTGCTTTTATCTCCTTCAATGCCATTGAGGGACATTGGAATCCTATTGAGACATCAAAATTATTGTGGAATATTCAAATACATGGTGGTTAACTGGTAGCAAAAGAACCTCTTCAAACTTCAGGTTGATTATTCATGACTTTGACACTTTCGCATAAATTGATTTCACAGTGTGATGAACATACGGATTCCATTTTAAATGTGCCAATCTTTATGATTTGCCAATCTTTATGATTAAGATAACTCAATTCAGTGCTTTGATTCTTCTTCTTGTTTGATTATTCATGCAAGAACAGTTTATTCACCCAGTGAAATGGCAAATGTACTTGCACATTGAATTGAGCATTTCTAATGCATTTCATGATAAAATAAATATTAAGTGTTTGTAGTGACCTTGGCGCTTGTACTTGCACATTTGATTGAGCATTTCTAGTGCATTTATGAATAATTAGACTTTTACATGTACTTTGATAGCTCTGATTGTAGTGCAACTGATGAAATTGTTCACCTTGACAGTTATTTTGATAGCTCTGGAGTTAGTGGTGAGATTCCTTTGGAATTTGCTAACTTACAGAACATAGTTATTATGTAAGAACATTTTTACAACATTTTGCTGATACAATGTTTTCTGGAAAGATGTTGAGAAAATACCTATGCTGATAATTTGTTTGTGACATATTACTACTATTGGTCTCAGGTGGGGATCAGATAATGATCTTACTGGCAGGATACCTAACTTTATATGGAATTGGTCAAAACTTGCCACCTTGTAAGACAATTCATCAAATATTTTCTCTCAATTTTCTTCAGATCAAGCTTAAGTTAATAAAAGCTTGAGCTAGAATTTCACTTGAGCTTAACATTCAAAATTCTATTTAAGTTTAGAGAATATTTAGTTGTTAACTATATGTTACTGCTTTAAATGCCAAATCTGCACTGTTGCCAGAAGTTACTCATAAATGTTCTTGCAGAAGATTTGAAGGGAACCGCTTTGAAGGTCCAATACCATCGGCATTATCCAGCTTAACTTCTTTGACAGAGCTGTGAGTGTCTGTATCTTTGTTTGGTTTTATTTATATATTACCAGACCTGTAATACTAAAAACCTACTGTAATTTTATGAATTTAGGAGAATTAGTGATTTATCAAATGGAAGCTCTTCACTAGAATTTCTTGAGAACATGAAGTCTCTGGCTGTATTGTAAGGCAATCTAATTCTGTTTTCCTATTCACTATGTCTTAGCATCAAACATGCATCTTTTATGTTTTCCTCTAGTAATCTTCTGACGAGTAATAAGAGAACTCAGTTCATTTCTTGCAGGGTGCTAAGAAATGACAATATTGCAGATGCAATTCCATCTAGCTTCAGGGAATATCAATATTTGACACTGTTGTATGTTATTTTTATTATTAGGTCTTCATGGATGTAAATTTAAATTGAGTTGGCTTTAATATTCTATAACTCATCTGATGATTATAATTTGGTTGCTTCACTTTTTTTGTGGTGGGGAACTGTAAAATATTCTAAAATTGTTATGAAGTAATCACATTTAATGTTTTGTTTGTGCATTCATAATTAATTGGGTTATCAATCACATTAAAGTAATTACAAAGAAAAAACATTACCCTCTTTGCAATGGGTAAGGTATAAGGTTTAAATTCTGCACCTATGTGGATCATTGCATTCTTTTTATCGCTATTTGTTCAGCAAATTTATTTTTCTTAACCTTATGCTTGAAATGATTTCTTTTCCTAGGGATTTGAGTTTCAACAATATAGCTGGGCGGATACCTGACTCACTTTTCCAGTTGAACAGTCTCACCACCTTGTAGTATCTCATCCTGCTAATTATATAATATATCTTAAATATAGATTGTATTGAAACATGTACTGCTCCCTTCATGCTCAGGTTTCTTGGAAGTAATAATTTAGATGGTCCACTTCCTGCACAAAAGAGCCCATCACTTCGAATTATGTATGTATACATGACATAAACACTAATCATGAACTGTATGTTTATTACTTGCTTTGTTTGTTTGCTTAAAGTTTTTTTCACAACTTTCAAATCAGATAGTTGGTATTGGCATTACTGATTCCTGCCAATGTTTTTTCATGAGTTAGCAGGAACATTTACTTATTATTTTCTTTTCAATTTGTAACTATAGAGATGTCTCTTACAATAATTTAGTTGGGAGCTTGCCTACCTGGGTTAATGGTCAAAACTTACAAGTGTAGGTTCCTAGTTCCACTATTATTTATTTCCTGAATGATATTTTTCAACAAATCTGAGTTCTTCATGGACTTCTTTATGGAAGAAATACTGAGATCTGTAATTTGTTATGGTTTCATTTCAGTAATTTAGTTGCCAACAACTTCACATTAGACCTTTCAGAAAACAGGTAATTCTTTTGATTTTATATTCAGTTTTAATGCTTTTATACATTTCAGTAATGAGTCTGGTGCTTAAACAATATCATTCTTTTTATAATCTAACCATTAGCTTCTCATCTATCTTAGGATATGAACACAGTAATATGTCCTCTAGAATAGTTAAAAAGAACAATATTTCATATAGAATAATTACTGCAGTGTTTGCCTATTATGAATATTAGAGCATTTTATGTGCAACTGGAAAGGAAATTGCTTCAATGTGTTTTAATTATGAATGATAGTGAAGAAAGACAGATTGAGAGAGAAAGTTGTCTCTCTTGAATTTCTTGTTGATTTCATTTGTACACAAAGCAATCTATTTATATACGTTAACTTAACCTATTAGGAAACTAGATACAAAAAGAAGAAAACTACCATGGAAATACATCCCTATTCAAGAGGATGTAATAGCTTTATAACCCTAGAACAAATGTTAATAGATGCCTAAATAACAGAAAAATGACTTTTGAAAGGAAAAACGACGGAAGAATGTAATATTGAGGGAAATAATGGAGTAGATATATGAAGATAATAATATTTATGGGGGTAAAATATTCCATTTTAATACTGTGGCTAGTTCAGACACTGAAAAGAGAGAAAATTTTGGACACCAATGATATAATTAACCCCAGATTAAATAATGCAGGAAATTTAGTACACATTTGTTCTATGAATTTTTTTTAGCATCTCACTTCATCTGTGGAAAATATAATGAAAAAAAGTTAGTCCTATGTTTTATGTGCAGCTGCTATATGTACCATAACCCATTTTACCCTCCTTTTTGGAACTTTGAGAATTGCAAGGAAATCCTTGGTTTTCTTTATCATGTGATTAGTCCTCAACAGGAGAACCAGATCAATCCCATAACATATTGTACTCGTTTCAATTATCAGTTTAAATAACCAGCATTAATGTTTGAGTCTTTGGCTTCCAGTGGTTTGACATTACGCCTGAACTGTCTTCAACGTAATTTTCCTTGCAATCGAGACCGTCCAATCTGTAAGTAAAATTGAAATGTTCTCCTTCTTTGTGCTTTTTTCTAGTTGGGATGTTTTTATTTTGGCAGTAGCCAGTAAGGGCCAAGGGAGGATTGTATAGAGTATAAGTATGAACCAAATTTAATTTTCAGACGGCTAGATTAAGTATTTTATGCATATAATTCAATTTATATTGATGACTAGTAATTGATTTTGTTGACTTTAAACCTTATGTTATACACTTCAAAAAAAGTATTGACTTTGGAGGTAAGGTAGTTTGCTCAAGAGGTTTCAATCTCATCTTTCAAATCTATCTTTCAATGTCTAAAATATTCTTGATGCCAATTAAGATGGGTGTGCCATAGGTCTTGGGATGCCCAATTTATATAACTATATATACCTGAAGTTCAATTAATATCCATGAAAAAAAAAAAAAATTCATATGAAAATATTAGAGATATCACCATGCATGTATAGTAAGAAAGTGATAGTCTGTTCTTTTGTTAGAAAAGAATTTTTTTTGGGACCATTCTCAATTTTGACTGTTATTTAAAAATGCAGACTTTTATATATGATGAAGGTATTTGGAAAGGCAGTTTTGTTCTTTTTGTACCTTTTTTGTCTAAAATTTCTGATGAAGTTTGGAACATTTAATAATTAGTGTTGCTTGTGTCTCCCTTATTTTATTTTAATTTTATTTGATAATTGGTTTGAACATTTGATGAAATTCATTTGCTTATGGATCAACTTATTGCAAAAAATTTTCATGGGCTAAAAATCATGTCCAGATCTTTAGGGCCACAAATTAGATAGTTGGGGTGAAAGTGATGTTATTTTTCTGGCTACTGTATCCGAATGCATGGTGAGAACAGAAGTTTGGTGGATAACTGGATATCATTCTGAAACATCTGAAAGGATGTATATATTGCAATTTTTAATTGTTAAAGAAATTCTCTCATTGTCTTTTCTAGAGAATTCTGCAGCTGTACCTGCCCTATAAAAAAAAGTCATTCAATTTTCAATTAAAAGAAAAGAACAGAAAAGGAAGAGGGGAGAAGAATATACTTGCGTCTTAAGATGTTCACACTCTATGTATAAGATGTCGATTTTTGTTCTTAGACTTAGGGTGAGATTGTGGGGTCAAAGAATCTCCTGTCATTTAATGCCTAAAAGCCACTCAGGAATTTATAGAATGCTAAATTTTGGAATCAAGATAGTTTTTGAACTTTTCATGATAATGCCTAATTTGTATTGGAGAACAGATTCTCAATTTGCAATAAAATGTGGCGGTCCACAAATAATGTCCTCTAATGGGATTGTATATGAGAGCGACACTATGAATCTTGATTCAGCAACATATTATGTTACTGATACAAGCAGGTGGGGTGTCAGTAATGTTGGACTTTTCACAGGAAGATATTCCTCTGAGTTTACAGATACTCTATTTCAGACAGGACGGCTCTCTGCTTCATCACTAAGATACTATGGTTTGGGGCTGGAGAATGGCAATTACAGTGTCATACTTCAATTTGCTGAAACAGCAATTGAGAATGGTAGGACATGGAAGAGTCTTGGGAGGCGCGTTTTTGATATTTATATACAGGTCTGTCTCATACTATGAATTTTGTTAGAGATCTTTTAGTGTTGTCCTCTAAGCTAAAGTTTTTATTACCAAAAGAAAGTGTTTTACCTTGGTTTTATGTTAGGATTGACTACTACATCACATGTTTAGGAATTGGGGTTATGAGGAGAAAGTTCACCATATCTGTCTGAAGTTTGAAAGTGGATACAATAATTTGATGAAGTAGATTTAAGATGAAGTTTGTGTGTAATTCAATTGTTTTAAGTTCTGTTATCAAGAATAACTACCAAAATTTTCTGATAAGGTACCACTTTTCTGAAATCTTAGTGTAGAAATTAAAGGAAAGAATATGTTTTATTTCTTTCAATTGTGTTATATTTTTCAACCTCTACTCCACTATATATATACAAAAAAATTGTTCCAATATAGGAAGTTTCATTGTGTTTAATATTTTTCAACCTCTTACTCCACTATATATATACAAAAAAAATTGTTCCAATATAGGAAGCAATTCTAAAATAGAATAAACCTAAACTAAGGAAAACACAATCTTTACACTAATTTAGGAATAAAACCTAAACTATGAAACACAAATATTTACTTTAATCAACAAGATTTCAACACTCTCCCTCAGTTGGTGCATAGATGTTACTCATGCCCCCAACTTGCAAACTAAAGGATGAAACAACTTGCTATGCAAACCCTTTGTGAAAACATCAGCTAGTTGCTCTTTTGAAGCTATGTAGGAGACACTTAGAAAACCTTCAACTATCTTCTCTTTTATAAAGTAACGATCAATCTCTATTTGCTTAGTTCGATCATGCTGGACTAGATTGTTCATAATACTGATGGCTGCTTTACTATCACAAAATAAGGATATATTTGTTGTTTCGACCAACTTTAACTCTTCCATTAATCTGCGCAACCATAGAAATTCACAGATTCCCTGTGCCATAGCTCTATATTCAGCTTCTGCACTAGACCTTGCAACAATAGCCTGCTTCTTGCTTCTCCATGTGACCAGGTTTCCTCCACCAACAAAAAACCACAATAAACCTTGAGGTTAAAAACACAATAACTTGAGGTTGATCTCCTGTCATCAAGGAACTAGCTCAATCTGCATTTGTATAGCCTGTTATTGTCAAATGGCCATGTTTAGAAAATAAAAGTCCTCTACCTAAAGCTGATTTTAGATATCTTAGAATCTGATGCACAACTTCAAAGTGAGACTCCCGAGGGTCATGCATCTACTGACTCACTAAACTTACAGCATAGGCAATATCTGGTTAGGCAATATCTGGTCTAGTATGGGCAAGGTAAATCAACCTCCCGACCAATTTCTGATACCTGCCAACATCAATTGAACTTCTCACTCCAGTTTGAAGCTTATGATTGGCTTTAATAGGTGATTCTGCAGGTTTACATCCCAACATACCAGTTTCTTTAAGGAGATCAAGGATGTATTTTCTCTGAGAAATAAAAATCCATTTTCCTGACCTAGCAACTTCTATCCTAAGGAAATATCTCAACTTTCCCAAATCCTTAATATCAAACTCTCTAGCTAACAAATTTCTCAAGTGAGTCATTTCTTATTTCCAGTCATCACTATATCATCGACATAAACACTAAGCAATAGTGATCTTACCCTTCATGATGTTTAATGAACCCAAAGTTATGATCAGCATTGCTCTTGAATTATACCCAAAAAGAAAGCATAGCTTTACTAACCTTTCGAACCATTGGCTCTTGGTGATTGTTTCAGCCATATTAATGACTTCTTCAGCTTGCAAATTTTCCTCTGCGTTTGTCATCATCAAAATCAGGCAGGAATCTTCCATATACACCTCTTCTTTCAATCACCATGTAGAAAATCATTTTACCATTCAAATTGATGTAACTCCCATGTCATGTAACTCCCAGTCAAGATTGACTGCACAAGACAACAAAATTCTTATTGTGTTCATCTTGGCTACAGGGGCAAATGTTTCTTGATAATCAACTCCATAGTTCTGACTGAATCCTCTGGCGACCAATCTAGCCTTGTACCTCTCAATTGAACCATCTGCCCTATGTTTAACTATGACCACCCATTTACATCTAACTGGCTTCTTTCCTGGTGGAGGATTTACAATATCCCATGTCTCGTTTTTTGCCAAAGCTTTCATCTCTTCAACCATTGCAGCCTTGAGTCCTGTAATGCCTCTTGCCAATCCTGCGGTATATTGCCAATCCTGCGGTATAGAAACAGAAGAAACAGACAAAACAAAGGCTCTATAGGAAGGGGACAGAGCATTATAGGAGATAAAATGGGAGATGGGATGCTTAGTGCATGTTCTAATTCCTTTTCTAAAAGCAATAGGAATATCAAGGTCATTGTCAGAAGGACTCAAATCAAGATTAGGGTCAGAATCAACAGGAATTAAAGAAGACTCACCAAGTTATTATTCTTCTATATCTTCAGGGACTGAAATTGGAGAGTACGGTTGATCAAAGGTCTCATGCTCCATGGTTGTATCTGTATTAGTCCGCCGTGTGTAGGTTTTCAAATCAGGTCTATCCAATCTTCCTAGAGTTGGGCGGTTGCTTCCTCTCTTACTATCTATGTGCTACTGGGAATCTCCCCCTGGAAGGAATATCATCCATTACCTCTTCCATCTGATATTTCTCCCCTTTGAAGAGCGTGACTTGGAAGGAAAATTCAGAATCAAACTCCCGAAAGGTACATCCCATACTCACCCAAATATTTCCTAGAAGAAGGTATGATTAACACTTTGTATTCCTTTTTTGAGTAGTAGAGTAACCAACAAACACACACTTCAAGGCTCTAGGATTTAATTTGTCTCTAGAGCCCATTTATGATGAACAAAGCAAACATTTAACCAAGACTTTAGGGAGGTACAATATAGAGGTTTTTTCCTTGAAGAACCTCTTATGGAGTTTTAAATTTAAAGTACGGAGAGGCATTACGATTGCATAAAGGTAAGCAGCAATCAAAAAATAGCATCCCCCAATATGTTCGGGAAGATTCATTTAGTGAACATAATGGGACCTACTACTTCCAATAAATGTCTATTTTTTTCCTTTCCGCTGCTCCATTTGAGCACTAGTATTGACATAACTAGTCTGATGTATTAATACCATATAGGAATCTAAATAGGTACGCAAAAATTGCATTTGTGATTCAGTTACCATTATCAGTTCTTAGGATTTTAACATGGCGCATCGAACTGAGTCACAAATCATTTGTGGAAGTTTCTAAAAAACATGAAAAAAACTTCATTTTTTTGTTTTTCATCTAAATTTAAACCCAAGTTCACTTCTAGTGCAACCAATCAATAAAAGGGTCACAAACCATCTATAACCAGGAAAGAGAGACAGTAGTAGGACTCCCAAAACAAATGAATTAATAGTAGCAAAAGGTAATCAAAATTTTCTTTATTTATAATTTGGAGAAATAAGGAATGCCCTGAGGTGGGCAATTCACAACATCACAACTAAGAAAAAACACATTTTAGCAAACAAAGTGATATAACCCAAACTAAAGAGGGATGTCCTAATCTCTTTTGCCATGAAAAACCAGTAAACTAGAAGTTTCCTACAAAGCTTGACTTGGTACTTCCCGAATTTTTGAAAAACTATAAACATCATCCAACAGATACTAGCCTATCGCGCAACCACCACTGCCAATCGCCCTTCGTGTCAGTTCCTGAAAATTATACATATGAGTAGGGGTAAAAAAGTTACTACAATAAGTGGCTTTTGTGAACAAACAGATAACAGATAATAGGAAATCTAGGAACATGAAGTACAGAGTGAAGTGAATATGGAAGTTACAAGTCAATAGAACCTGTGCAGCAATCGGTACTAAAGGAGCCATTCCGCCAATGCGAATTTTATCCGTGCCTTGATACTGTAGAATTATGTTGAGGAAAAGTGATGGCCGGAGTTTTATTTGCTCCTGAACATACCCAAGAGGGTTGCAATTGCAAGAAGGTAAGGAAAGCATTACCTGGAATAACAAAATAAGCTGCGTCTTGGGTTGGAGGACGAATCAATCTCGTGACAACCACGTTTCAGGGATGATCTCCTTACCAGAAATAGCTTCTCAAGAGGTTCCTCAGATAAACCCACCGAAGTGCCTAGAAAACTGACCCGGCTCCCCACCCCACCCAGTAATTTCCAGCAGAACTCCTTAGTGTGCCTTATTTCTTACCGGCATAGTCAACAAAATAATTGATCTTCTATCTGAAGAATTGCTCTTTTCTCTTGGCGGAATTAGCAATTAAACCTGCTTGTCAATGGTAGATCTTGTGAACCATAATAGCGTTCCTCCTAGTCTCCTCTTGCTGTACAAATGAGTATGCTTTTCGTAACGGAAAAGGAACTCGTCCAAGAACTTGGACTCGAATCTGATCACACCCGTTATTTAGGCCAGCTAGAAAATCATACACACGTTCTACTTCAATCAACTTCTGAACTTGAGTTGCATCATCAATACATCTTGCTTGAAAGGCTTGATAATAATTCAGTTCCTACCATAACCCACTAAGTTCAGCAAAATACTGAGCGATAGTCAGATCTCCCTGCTTGGTTTTATGAACTTTCTGTCACAATTCATACCTCTGAGCATAATTTCCAGTTTGTGAATATGTCTATGAAGCAGCATCCTATATCTTCTTAGCTGTATCAAGAAGCAAATATTCTCGAGAAATAGTTGGCTGCATGGAATTTATTAACCAGGACATAATAAGAGAATTTTCGGATTTCCACTTATTAAAAGCCGGATCTGTCGAAACTGGTTTAGTTGCTCCACAATTAAGGTATCCCTGCAAACCTCTAGCTTCAATGAATAATAATAAACAAGACCGAGACCAAGCCAGGTAGTTTGTTCCATCTAACTTCAGCGGACTAATCTGAAGTGAGGGGTTCTCTGAGTGAAAAACCATATCTACCTTCTTTCTGTCAACCATATCTTAAAAAAAATTTAAACGGCAGCAGTGATAAAAAAGGCAGCAGCAGTGGTGGAAAGGGAAAAAATTCCAAAAAAGGCAAAAACTGGTGCTGAAGAACCAGTAGGTCTGAGTTGCCACACCGAGTCGAGGTCGCCGGAACAAGAATGGTCGACGGAGCTCGCCAGAAACAGCTGCAGGCGCCGGTCTCAGACCACTTTGCAAACTGGAACTGTTGCCGAAAAATTCACGGCAACGGCTCTGATACCATGTAGAAATTAAAGGAAAGAATATGTTTTATTTCTTTCAATTGTGTTATGTTTTTCAACCTCTACTCCACTATATATATTTTATTTCTTTCAATTGTGTTATGGTTTTATACCATGTAGAAATTAAAGGAAAGAATATGTTTTATTTCTTTCAATTGTGTTATGTTTTTCAACCTCTACTCCACTATATATATACAAAAAAATTGTTCTAATATAGGAAGCAATCTAAATAGGAATAAACCTAAACTAGAAAACACAATATTTACGTTAATCACAAAGATTTCAACACTTGGTGATGTTGATTATGGAAAGCTGTGGCGAAACCCTACTCTGGCTTTCTTGCAAAAGTTATTACATTTTCTTTATTTTTTTATTGAACCCCCAAGTTGTTACTCCAGGGGAATCCTGTTCTAAAGGATTTTGACATAAGGAAGGAAGCTGGTGGAGTCTCTAAGCGAGCTGTTAGAAAGAACTTCACAGCTCAGGTATCTGAAAATTACCTTGAAATCCATTTGTTTTGGGCTGGAAAGGGGACTTGCTGCATCCCTTCTCAAGATACATATGGACCTTCTATTTCAGCAATCAGCGCTATTCCAGGTACCATGACTATTTTAACTACCGAATTTATTGATTTTTCACTTGTACAAATATCAGGTTATTAAGCTCTGATATTCTTTATGCAGATTTCATACCAACTGTAAGTAACAATCCTCCAACCATTGAGAAAGATAATGATAGGACTGGTGTATTCGTCGGAGTTGTTGTTGGGGTTGGAATGATAAGCTGTCTGCTTGTTTTTGCGGTTTTTGTATCCATCCGAAGAAGAAAAAGGCAAACCACCTGTGATGGTGAAGGTGAACTAAAAATCATGTTGCATATGTAATATCTGAATAATTATGCAGTCTTCATATGTATAGTACACGATGTTATTGGCCAATGTATGTTTACCTGTTTATCGATGTTAGCATGTAAGTACCGTATTGTTTCAATCCACAAAAGGGGATAACTAAGGTTATAACCTTCTCCTTATCTTCCATATTCCCGTGTGGAATTTTACTAGAGCCTTTTCTGCCAATACTATTTCAATGACAGTGTAAATGGTTTCTCAAATCTCCTCTTTTTGTGTTGGAATTCAGATCTCCTAGGTGATGCTAGACCACACATTTTCAGTTATGCTGAACTGAAGGCTGCTACAGAGGACTTTAGTCCCTTCAATAAGCTTGGAGAGGGAGGATTCGGACCAGTTTATAAGGTAACTATTTAGATAAAAAATTGTTGATTGCGAATTGCAGACTAATATTCATTTATCCCTATCTAGTGTTTCTCCTATGAGCAATAGTGTGGAATAAATTGAGGTTGCTAATTTACTAGATAGACTACCGTCAGTCGGCTGTAAACCTGAGGATCTTTTGTATTTTGATTTAGATCCTCAAGATTGAACCTATGTTCCTACTTCTTCTTCCTTTTCTTGTTGTTGTTGCTGTTGCATTATGTACATAGGTAAGCTGTCTGCAAGTGAACCTTGTGGTGAGAGTAAGAGTGCTCTGTTATGACCATAACCTGCCTACAATGCAACAGAAAGGATGCATGCATCTGACTCTCCCCAGCACCCACAATGTGGGAAGCCTTGTAACTAGGACACCATTTTTACCTGTTCTAAAAATATAAATCCTTTTTTGCTAAACTCAATGCATATGAAACTCTTTATCTTGTATCCACAGCAATAGAGAAAACTTAATGATGGGAGAATGATTCCATTTTTACCTGTTCCAAAAATATAAATCCTTTTTTGCTAAACCAAGGAAATAGTGAATTTGCTACAGAGATCGCTATTATATCTGCAGCAATAGGAGCAATCTTGTGTCCACAGCAATAGGAAAATTACATAATTAAATGAGAATTTTTTTTGTTAATTCAGGATTTGTCCTTTTTCTTTATTGTCTTTGTTTAAACTGTCCTTCATAGAGAAAACTTAATGATGGGAGAATAATTGCTGTTAAGACACTTTCTGCGCGATCCCACCAAGGAAATAGTGAATTTGCTACAGAGATCGCTATTATATCTGCAGCAATAGGAGCAATCTTGTGTCCACAGCAATAGGAAAATTACATAATTAAATGAGAATTTTTTTTGTTAATTCAGGATTTGTCCTTTTTCTTTATTGTCTTTGTTTAAACTGTCCTTCATAGGGAAAACTTAGTGATGGGAGAATAATTGCTGTTAAGACACTTTCTGTGCGATCCCACCAAGGAAATAGTGAATTTGCTACAGAGATTGCTATTATATCTGCAGTGCAACAGCGCAATCTTGTGAAATTGTATGGATGCTGCATTGAAGAATATAATCGTCTCCTTGTGTATGAGTATCTTCAGAACAAGAGTCTTGATAAAGCGTTATTTGGTATGACACTTCTGATATATGCGTATCTATGTGCACATGCACTAACACGCATTCACACATTCTTACTGTATAGAACACGATAGAATTACAGTTACAAGTGGATTGAATAATGCAGGAGAAAGAAGTTTGAATCTTGACTGGTCAACACGTTATGCAATATGCTTGGGAGTAGCTAGAGGTCTAGCTTATCTTCACGAGGAGTCGAGGCTTCGAATTGTACATAGAGATGTGAAGGCTAGCAATATCCTTCTCGATTCTGATCTCATCCCCAAGATTTCAGATTTTGGTTTGGCCAAACTTTATGATGATAAGAAAACCCATATAAGTACCCGTGTTGCTGGGACATTGTAAGATCTTATGACAGAAGCTTTGTATTTTGTTTTTACTTGGATAATTTTCGATGTCATGGCTGGAGGCAATAAACTGTGCTGTTCTATTCATGACTGGAGGCAACAAACTGTGCTTGTGCTATTAACTTATCTTGTGACTTCATTTCTAATATAGTGGGTATCTTGCACCTGAGTATGCTATGCATGGACACCTTACAGAAAAAGCTGATATATTTGCCTTTGGAGTTGTGGCTCTTGAAGTTGTGAGTGGGAGGCCAAATTCAGACCCAAGCCTGGGACAAGAAATGATCTACCTTCTTGATTGGGTATGATATAATGTCTGTGTAGTGCTTCTTTAAATTCATTCCTCTTTTTGTTCTGAATGGACCTTTTATTTATTTTTTTCTCCCTTTGTTTGGAAAGTTTCAATTCATTTATTTTTAACCTTGATTTTTTTTTTTTTTTTTTTTTTTTGGAAATTTTAAATGTTTTGAAACTCCTGATTTTCTTGCCACTATGAGTTTTTTTTTTTTTTTTTTTTTTTGGGTACATTGGAAAATTTTAAATGTTTGAACTCCTGATTTCTTGCACTATGAGACATGCTGAACCACCGAGCTACTAGTCCAGTTACTATAATCTAGCTATTATAGAATTACCGCATTTGTGTATTGTACCTTTCCAAAAGTTGAAGCATCAATCATGAAACTTGAGTGCAAGTTAATGACTTTTAGGAGTTGCCTATATTTCTTGTACGTTGCAATTGGAATATGTTCTTATATTTTTTTTATGATTGTGTGTGTGTGTGTGTTCTTTTTTTTTTTTTTGGTTCCTATGATGACCCAAAAACAAGGGCTTTTTTTCATTCATTTCTTTATTTTTTAGAATCTTGAAAATGTTTGTAAACTGTCAAAGGAATTTATTAAGTTCTTTTAAGCATGTTATGAAAGACCAATTGGACTCAGATATGCTCCTAGCCACCAACTTTGAATGTCATTTTCTATTCATTAGGAGGCTGCATGAGTAACCCATCTTCCAAAACTCATGAAAACTCATGTCATGATGATATGTAGCATTCAATATGAAATCCCCCACTTCTCACATATTTAAAAGGCATGAGAAGTCCAACTAGAATATTCCTGGATAACGACATTGAATATGTTATGCATCTATAATCTTGGCATTCAATGCTGTTTATTGATGGATATCGTACTTTCTATCTTTTTAGGCCTGGCATCTATATGAAAACAATTGTACAATGGAACTAGTCGACTACAGACTATCAGAATTCAGTGAGGAGGAAGTAAAACGCTTGATAGGAGTTGCTCTTTTGTGCACCCAAACTTCACCAAATCTCCGTCCATCAATGTCACGTGTGGTGGCAATGCTATCTGGTGATATTGAAGTAAGCAGTGTAACTTCAAGACCCAAATACATGCTTCACTGGAAATTTGACGATATAAGCAGCTTTATGATTGATGATGTAAGCAGCAGAACTGACTATTACAATTCATCTACAAATACAAGGATGATAATTGATGCAGAGGATCCTCACATAATTGCCAAACCAATACTCCATGAGACTATTGAAGAGGACAGATGAGGAACGTTCTTTTCTGCTGTGCATTCTTTTGTTGGTGAGCTTTGTATAACTAATTTTTTGAAGGATCATGTATGAAGTATATTTTTTTTCCCAAAAAAAAAAGGGCTCTGAAGATTGTGAGGAATCAGGTATAGAATATATATTCTTTTTTAAACATAAACTACTCGTTACTATAAAATTAATATAGCAGACATTGCAAGTATCCTTGTTAGATGTCTTCATATGTTAGGGCTTTGTTATTAATATAGTTTTTGAATAAGAATTAGGGCTTTGTTATTTTCCCGAGAATGGCCTCTTAAAGAAATTTAAAGTTCTGTTTGCTTGACACTTCTTTTTTAACTATTTCTCTGTGCATTAGTTTTCTTATTTCTGTAATTCGTAAAGGAAAGAAACTAGTTATGGTTTTCCTATGGTTTGATTAGCAACTATTTTTCTTTTCTTTTTTCCTCCTAATAGGTCCTTCTGTCCTATTTGCTATTAGCAATAGAAAGGCCAAACTGGCACTATATCTATTTCTCTAAGGTTTAAGTGTTGGATCAATAATAAAACTGCAAGTTGTGAGCCAAAATAGAAATTAAATTAAATGTGAATCTGTAACCAATGTAGTCTGCTTTAAAATGTTGTACTGCAACCACGTTTGTTCTGTTTCAGTAAATTTCTATTGTATGATTATTGATTTGTTACTCTTGTAGAAAGTTTAGAGCCACAGAGAATATATGCCTACCATTATTAGCAAAAACTCAATGTCAAAAATATAATCTCTTTTTTTTTCTTTTTCTGAATATCACCCACATACAAATGACTCGTCAAGAATCCTTTACATGTATCTTTCTGGAAATGCTTACTACATCAGAACCAATGTCCTAAACCAGATCAATGTCCTACTAAATCAGTAAATTTTTACATAATAGGTAAGAATCAGAAAAAAGAGAAAAAAAAAAAAAAAAAGGTTTAAGATTATCAGAAAAAAAGAGAAAAAAAAAAAAAAAAAAAAAAAAAAAAAGACTAATGATTGCTGTTAAAAGAAGTCAGTGGGAGAACTTTGCATCCACAGCTTCATTTTATGCCGTTCATTCACTGCATATAGAAAGAGTATTGATTCATACCGCTGAATGACATATAAAAAGGGTTAAACCCATAACCCATTCCCACCTGCATACCACCCCAATATGGGCTGTATGCATAAGAGCTAATGGGCATCATGTAGCTCTCAGCATCAACATCTTCAAAATTTCTCTTCCTTTTTGAAACCACCTTTTGCTGCATTTCTCCTTTGTTCTCTGGCTCTTCCTTATTGACCCAGTAGTCACTTCAGATACATCAGCTGCTCTTGCAGTCTTCGCTTTCTTGGCCAATGGGTGTGGAACATCAACAGCTTTTCCATTATTTGACTTGTCTTCAATCTTAGCAAGTGATGGTGATTGCTTCTGCTCTTTCTCAGATGATGAGGAGATATGAGTCTCTGATTTTGTAACTTTAACAGAGTTGCTTTGAACATTTATACCACTGCTGCTACTACCACTACCAGACTCCAAAATGCGATTAATTGTATCCCTTAATGTCATATTTGGAATAAGATAATCCGTAAGCACATCAGTTGCTCCACACACACACTTCAACTTGCAACTGGTTAGATAATCCCTAATACATTTGTCACAAAAGCTACTGAAACAGCATTTACTAGTCATCACAGCATTTTTCATTGCTTGCTTACACAGAGGGCAGAGAAGTTCTGGTGGAAGATCACTTGCATCATGATGATGACTTCTTTGCAGGGAAGCACCCAAAAATTTCCTTCTCAAAAGCAGCATCATTTGCCTTCAAAACAGTAGAAGGCCTCATTCTTTTGAAATGATAACCGGGATTGCCATTTGTTGGGCAATGTTGAATAAAATGCCCTGCCACGCTACATCTGTGACATACATAGCCTTCTGGTGGTGTTTTCTTCTCCAATCCGCCATATCCAACCCCAGAACCTCCGTTATTCACACCTCCACCCCCAACTTCTCCCCTAAAAGAATCTGGTCCGCTCCCAACAGAAGCAACAATAGATTTCACACTAACAGAACCGGTACTAGCTCCAGTATCAAAGCCTTCGCCAACAGAATCAGTATTTGTGGATGCAGGTTTGCTACTGACAGAAGCACCAGTAGCGGAACTGGATGAACCAGTGCTACCAATAGTTTTAGACCTGCTCCGCGGAATTTGCCGTTCAGTAACAGCAATAGTTGCAGTATCAATAGGCTTTTTGCTACCACGCCCGGTTCCTGGAACACGGCGAATCAAGACACCAGTATTTTTAGGAATCAACATATCATCAAGATATTGTTCATTAGTCTGGGCATTAATGATGGCAAGATCAAAATCAGTACCCCTACACAAGCCATTTTTAGATTTATACTTGAATTCAAAAATTTTTCGTTTGCAAGATCAAAATCAGTACCCCTACACAAGCCATTTTTAGATTTATACTTGAATTCAAAAATTTTTCGTTTCAAAGCACTAACAGATATAGCAGGACTATCTACTGCAATTGTATCATAGTCTTTAGCGCTAATAAATTTGAAATAGATAGCCATAGAAGCAGCAACAGTGAAAGAAGCTGAACTGCTATTAAACTGGTAAAAAATACCTTGAGGTTTGAAACCGCGTTACGAATTGCAAATTCGCTGGACTCAAAATATGATTCAGTAGTATATGGAGGAATCGATCTTCAAGAGCATCAAAACCAAGGGTCAGTTTTTCAATTCCCAGTTACAGATTTTCCGATTCGCGGGAATCGGAAACGGCTGCTCTTTGAATTGGAATCTCGCCGCCAAGATTTTTACGACTTTCACAGAAACGAAGATCACAAATGCCGTCGGGCTCTGTTGCCGTCCCGCCGCCGACAATACAAGGAGAATAAAAATGTATAGATAATGATCGGAGAAGAAAGCCTAAAAACGGGGGCCAAAAATTTGATGGAAATGAGGAATTAGCAGCGACAAGTAGAGTGTGCACTGTAGCTATTCAATATTTATAAGGTTTTCAGGTCGGTTGGTTTGCGCGTAATTTTTGAATTTGGTAACTAATTCAATCCGTTCGTTTTTAGGAAGCCGAAGGCTTGGTTGCCACGTATCTACAAGTCTAGTCTTAAATACATTCTTAATGTTAAAATATTAAGAATATGGTCTTAGGCCAATTAAGTTCTTCTGCCATAATTGCCAAGTTGGTTGATATTATATATCTTTTGTTATTTATCAAAACAAAATGGTAAAAACACAATCTATTCAAATTTCAATAGCAATTCTTGCTTTTCCCAAAAAAAAAAAAAAAAAAAAAAAAAAAAAAAAAAAAATCTTTAAAAAAAGAAGAAAAATGGAGAAAAGAAAAAAAAAAATCCCCTCCTAAAAATCAACTCTTGCTTTTCCATTTAATTATAAAATATCAAAACGCATAATTAAAAATTATGTCATTCTACTATTTATAGGTAGAACTATGTATATTTGAATAAGGCAATCCATAAAATATATGAAAGCTTTTGAATTTAAAATTACATATATACATATTTTTTATCTTTATCAGATTATGGATACAATCTATAATTTTGCAGCAAGGCTTATCAAAGAATGAAGAAAGTTTACACTTTATCAGTAGAGAAATCAACAATGTCATCACGTACTTCAGCCAAGCATATATCTTACGGAAGTAATATTATTTACAAACAATCTACACTAATATCAATTGTTGCTGCTGGAGTAGGTTGTAGTATTGTCTTGTTTCCCGAATCTCACTTCCATATATAAATCTGCAGATGACAACATTGCTGATTATGGAGTTTGAATATAAATATTATATATTCTCAAAGATAGTACAAATAATTCTAAAAGCAATGGCTTTCAACTTCACCTTTCATGTCTAGTCAAACATCTTAAATGATACAAAAGGCACATACCTGCAGAAATACATTTTTGGTGAATTCATCCCTATAGACATGTAAAAGTTTGTGTTCATAAATTCAAGTAATTCCCACTGAAAAATAAATATAGTCATAGAATTTATCGATTATCTATAAATATATAAGAGCAAAGGCAAAAGAGCTTATGTGCCACAATTCTAAAATACTAAAATGTTTATGTGCCAAAATGTTAATCTAGTTGGAAAATATTTTTATATTTTAAAAATTATTTTTAATATAATTAATATTAATAGAGAACTTAATTACATATTTTAATATATTTCAGCTTTAACTAATTTATTAAATTATAATATCATTAATATTTTAAAACTTTTCACTTTCTTTTTTAAATAATTAACAAATCTGTAGACACCTAAATTTTATTTAAGTTAATTAAATAAATTAAGTAAATAATATTAAATTAACTTAAATAAAATTTAGGTGTTCTACAGATATTGTTCATTATTTTAAAAAAAGAAAGTGAAAAGTTTTTATATAATTAATAGAGAACTTAATTAATATTATTAATAATATTTTCAGCTTTTAACTAATTATTAAATTATAATATCATTAATATTTTAAAAACTTTTCACTTTCTTTTTTAAAATAATTAACAATATCTGTAGACACCTAAATTTTATTTAAGTTAATTTAATTATTTACTTAATTATTTAATTAGCCAATTAAATTATTGATTAGTTAAATTAAAAAGATTATTGTTACTGTAACGAAGGGTTTATTTTTTTCATCACAATGCCACCTAAATCATAAAATTCATTTTTCACAGTGTTTTTTTTTAATGAAATTAAAATTAAAATTCATTTTCTAATGTCATTATCCGTTAAATAGAGAAATATTTAATGATAAAATGATGTTTATGTTTTCTTTTATGAAGGGAGATGACAATACTTTCTCAACCTATCGCAAATCAAGGTAATTTCGATGAATTTTTTTAAATTTTTAATATTTGTTGGATTTATGCCCATATTTTAGATTATTTATTCAAAGTGAATTCAGTAATTGATATTTAAAAAGACTATTTTAAATCTATTAAAATATTTATAAAAATTAAAAATTTTAAGCTTAATTATAAACTTTATGTATGCATATGTCAATATATTGATCGTCAATATATTGATCCTTTTGCAAGAATTTAGAAAAAAAATTATTTTTTTATTTTATTTTTTTGTATATTAGTAAGTATAACATATTGGATATTTAGATTTTTTTTATTCTTGAAAATAATTATTAATTATAATAAAAATAACATTCTTATTTTTAAATATTATATAATATTTGCACGCGAAGGCAAGAAAATGACTAGTTACTAATTAAAAATAATGCTTTAAAAGCTAAAATGTTAAATTCGTTCAGCAATTTCCTTTGTAGCTTTCCTAATAAAAAGTACCTTGCCTTCAATTTTGGAAAATACCCTTCTCAAATTCATGCAATCTTGAAACCTATAAAATCAATTATTTTATGTAAAGTAGGTATTACGAAATAGCTCTAACCTCTTTGAAATTGTAGAAATATGTATTTTTCTTTGCCGAATTGCTGAATAAAAATCTTAGAGAAACCAATCGATAAACAGAGAGCATTAGAGAAATAGAGAAATAGACGGCTAGGCATTACTAATAAAGGAGTTTTCATAAAATAGAGAAAGGAGAGAAAAAATTGTAGCTATATACTAGCAATTGGCGCTTCTTATGTGATAGACTAAGAGAAGAAAGAAAACATAGAGTTTTCAATTGTCGGCTATATATATCAGAAAAATCCTGGACATCACTATGCTTCTTACGTGATAGTCCAGGAGGAGAAGAAACAAAAAAAATTATACAGAATCTAACTCACCCTTGCCATGCACTGAAATTACTGCCTCAGTTCTTTCTTCCTATGTGCTTGTCGTTCAGCCAAGGAGACATGATGAGCCAAACAATGAGAAAATCCTTTCTTTCCTTGGGCCATAAAGGAAGAGATAGATAGATGGTTTCAGCTCTTAAATTTAAATTTTAAAATGTTGTTTTGTGGTAAATAATAGATAAAATTTTATAATTAATCCAATCAAAATTATAGTAAAAGTTAAAAATAAAAAAAAAGGTAAAAAATGGTTAAGAAAGTTTATTAAGAATTAGAAAATTTGTAAAGAAATAATAATAAAAAAAAAATGTTCAAAGAACAGAGCGCCAACTCAATTTGTTAAGATTATTTTAATATAGATATAGATGGATTGATATGAATAAAACCTACTGAAATCATTTTGAGAGCTATGCTAGTGTGGGCTGTTGATAATTGAACAGGTGCTGATAGCATTTATTCGGATTGCCAACGATTTATCTTTGATCTTTGTTCTTCTACTTATGATTGTTTTACCGTTAAATGAGAAACTAATAATTATATTATATTACTCTCTTTGTCTCAATATATAAGTCATTTTTAGTTTGTTATTTTGTCACAAAATATAAGTCATTTTATATATTTCAAGAACTAATGAATAATATTTTTTCAATATTGCCCTTGTTTACAATAAATACTTTCACAAGTAATTATTGGTTTTAAGATAGAAGATAATTTGATAAAATTATCTATGAATTTGTTATAATATAAGAGAATTAATTATTTCCTTAATCATTATGCAAAAATAATGACTTATATTTTGAGACAGAGAGAGTAAATTCAAAAAACTCTATAGTCAAATTGTTAAGGTATTCAATGACAAAAATGGTTATTTTTAGATGAAAGGACATCATGGTCACATGGTTATAAATGCTCGCAATAATTTCTCTCAATAGTAGGCATAAAAAATATTTCAGTAAAAACTTAGGGACATTAAAGTAATTTACCCTTTAAAATATTTGGTCCTTGAGCTTTAGTAGAAGTTATTATCATAATCCTACTATTTTAACAAATTATTTATTCGTCTATGAGGTTTAATGAGTATCCTTAAACTATTGAGCCCCTCCATTCAAAAGGCACCGATTTTACTATTAAATGGGTGACTAAATTGTAATTATGAATAACAAAGCTTTACATGTTAAATCGGGCTATCAGGCCTCTCCAATATACTTATCCTAGCTTGGAAAATATTAAACGGCAAATGAGAAACATCATTTTGAAAGAAAAGATTAAATAGTTTAGCAATGCTAAACCTCAGAGACAAATATATAATTTTATCAAACATCAAGGTGTGATAATAATTTTAACCAGAATTCAAGGACTAAATAATTAATTACATAGAAATTATGGAGTCTGAGAAAGACTTATATAATCACAATTATGACTTACGATAAATATCTAGAAAATATGACAAATATAATTAATTACATAGAAATTATGGAGTCTGAGAAAGACTTATATAATCACAATTATGACTTACGATAAATATCTAGAAAATATGACAAATATAATTAATTACATAGAAATTATGGAGTCTGAGAAAGACTTATATAATCACAATTATGACTTACGATAAATATCTAGAAAATATGACAAATATAATTAATTACATAGAAATTATGGAGTCTGAGAAAGACTTATATAATCACAATTATGACTTACGATAAATATCTAGAAAATATGACAAATATAATTAATTACATAGAAATTATGGAGTCTGAGAAAGACTTATATAATCACAATTATGACTTACGATAAATATCTAGAAAATATGACAAATATAATTAATTACATAGAAATTATGGAGTCAAAATATAAAAAAGAAAAATAAAAAAGTAAAATAAAAGACAAAAAAAATAAAAAAAAAAAAAAATATACCACCATCACACACACGCGCTCCAGCAGACGTAACCCCCACCCCACCCCCTCCCCCCCATCCTTTCACTCTCCTGCAAACGCGTCCTCTACTACACCCACCCACACACACACCATCACGCCACCACCTTGCTTCTACCTCCGTTTTAAAAACACTGAAACAACCTGCCCCCGCGCCGCTAACACTTACACTCACATCGACACTCATCACAACTAGTACACAGCCACTCTAAATGAAAGCTATAAAACTCTTATTGATTAAGCAAGCGCTTACAATTGTTTTTCATTGGGCTCCTTCAGAAATACTTAACGAAACACACGCGACCATTCCCACGCTCGACGAATTCTTTGAAAAATAGAACAATCCAAATGAAAAAAGAATTTACCAGATACACAAAAGCATATCTAAACAACACAACAGATCTATAATAAAAGGCCAATGGAGGGTAAGCTGAACTTGCCTCTAAAAGAAATAATTAATTACATAGAAATTATGGAGTCTGAGAAAGACTTATATAATCACAATTATGACTTACGATAAATATCTAGAAAATATGACAAATATAATTAATTACATAGAAATTATGGAGTCTGAGAAAGACTTATATAATCACAATTATGACTTACGATAAATATCTAGAAAATATGACAAATATAATTAATTACATAGAAATTATGGAGTCTGAGAAAGACTTATATAATCACAATTATGACTTACGATAAATATCTAGAAAATATGACAAATATAATTAATTACATAGAAATTATGGAGTCTGAGAAAGACTTATATAATCACAATTATGACTTACGATAAATATCTAGAAAATATGACAAATATAATTAATTACATAGAAATTATGGAGTCTGAGAAAGACTTATATAATCACAATTATGACTTACGATAAATATCTAGAAAATATGACAAATATAATTAATTACATAGAAATTATGGAGTCTGAGAAAGACTTATATAATCACAATTATGGCTTACGATAAATATCTAGAAAATATAACAAATATCTAGAAAATTTAATATAGACTTGTCTCGCGCAAGTTTCACATTTCTCATTTTCAACTAAATCAATCTTGGAAGGAAGATATTCAGGCCATGTTGAGACATTCTTCATCATCTTTAGTTCTACTATGCGCTCTATATGTTTTCTGCTTTATTGGTGCGGACAATATTGTTTATGCACAGAATCAAACTCAACCTACTACAGAGCTTAATGAAGGTAGGTACCCATCTTTACCTTTGAAAGGTATATACATAACACAAATACTTTGTTTACTGTTAAATGGTTTTCTGTTTGTAGAACTTAAATGAAAGGATATAAAACTTCTCTATTGATTAGCAAGCGTTACAAATTTGTTTTTCATTGGGTTTAGAAAATAATTAAGGCGACATTCCAACGCTCACGAATTTTTGAAATAGAAATAAAATGAAAAAAGAAATTTACCAGTAAAAGTCTTAACAAAAGAAGTTAATGGCCAATGGAGGGTAAGCTGAACTTGACTCTAAAAAAATGGGATGCCACAGCCAGAGCGTTGAACTCCATCTTTCAACAATGGGGGATTTCAGCTAATCAAAGTCAATGGAACATAAACGGAGAGGTGTGCAGTGGAGCAGCCGTCCTTGCCTCTATCTCCATCGACGACTTCGATTACAATCCCTTTGTCAAATGCGACTGCTCTTACAATAATGGCACCACTTGTCACATCGCTGCCCTGTACGTCTTCTTATTATTACCTTTTCAATTTTCTGTAGGTATCTGTCATTTTCCGTTCACCTTACGTTCTATCTGTTTGATTTATGCCTCCATGGCAAAAATGACCACTTCTTTTGAAGTTGATAGGGACTGACTTGGGTAGACCAAGTATATGGAACCGGACCAAACTAATGAAAAATAAGCATTTATTGAAATGAGAATATTTCCGAGCATAGTGCAAAAATATTTAAAAGAGACTTTATTTTTGATTAATTTGATCCATGGACGAGTACATAGATTGAGTCGAGGCAAGTCCAATCCTTTTAGTTTAACTAGCATTTTTAGTACTTGTGTTGCATTGCATTGCATGGTAGGATACAAAACTTGGCTTCCTGGTCTATGTGCTCACTCTTCGAATAAACTAATGAAAATAGAAATTTACATTTATTCTTTTCTTTTCTAGTGAATGGTTAGAATTACTCTGTTGGAAATTTTTTTTTTTATTAGTTTAATCTATAGGTGGACCCATAAATTGGATTTAGACAAATCATTCTCTTACATTGCATATGTGTGTATTTCCATATTAGTAAGTTCTAATAAAATTAAATATTAAAAATTTTATAGATTAAAATTGTTGAGTTTTTTTTCGCGTATATGCGAAAATTGGTCATTGTTAAATGAAAAACATTAATACTATTAAAATAGTCCAATATATGAGCAATCAAAATGGTAAAAAAAAGAGAGAAAAGTCTCGTAGCATAACTTCACTTATGTTCTGAAAACTTATGAAGTTAATTAATATTAAATAAACATAAAACACAAATTAGTTTGCTTGAAAAATATGTTTGTGATATTTGTATGTAGATAGAATAAATAAAATGATTTTATATGTCTTTTCTTTTAATGCTAAGGAGGGATTTAACCCAAAGAAACAATTACACAATATCTCTGGACCATACAGCCTTACACAATCAATAATAAGAAAACTTTGAATCAAATAAAGAGGTTGCTCAAGAATATGGAGTTCCTTGCTCATAGTTAAATCATTATTAGACAGAGCATTCACCATTGTATTTGCTTCTCTAAAAATCTTTTGAATATTAAAATCTCCAATCTCTCTCCAACAACCTTCTACAAGAAGAAAGGATGTTTCAAACTGCAATGAAGGGAAAAAATTGAAACAATAAGTAAAAAATTGCATATATTTACCTTTATTATATGAAATTAAATAGCAAGGACTAGAAAACATATTACTTAGGTAGTGAATTAGGGAATCAACGAACTTACATAGAAAGAAATAGAAAATATATTCATTTGAAAGAATTTATATTGATTAGGAAGTAAAATATATTATACGCATGCCTAGAATGGAGAAGCAAGTTTAGTTATGCCTCTGTAAATAAATTCAATTATTAGATATGTTTATTATGGTAGTTTTGTAAATATGAATTATATCAATGTCCTCTTTGGTAATGTTCATATGTTTCCTCATATCTGTAAAAACTTACATATATTATAGATATTTGTCTAGGTCTGTGCTTGATTGAAATGTTGATAATTTACAGGAAAGTTTATGCAATGGATGTTCAGGGTGCAATTCCGGATGAGCTATGGACTTTGACTTATCTTACCAATTTGTATGGTTTTATATTCCAGTATATACATATACTTGATCAGCCTTTTACCATCATTTATTGCTTTCCTTTACGTGAAAAAAAAAAAATTTAGGTTTTTAGCATTTATTGGGATTTGAATTGTTATTTGAATTTCATAACAGTGATGCTTGTCATCAACACCACTATGCTATCCACCCACGGCCATGTTTTTTACCATTGAAAATGTTTTGAATACAGTTTAGTTTAATTATAGTGCATTTGCTTGTAAAATATTTCATTTCTAATAAATTATATATAGTCCTAAAGGATATATATTGTTAAGAATCTCACATTGTTAAACTACCAAATTCATAAAGAGCGTATAAGGATGGAAAACTATCTAGCTAGTTGGTTAGTATTAACTCTGGATTCTAACATCTTACCCAATCATTCACCTCTACCCTGTGTTAAAGGTAAGTCAAACTCATTTACGTAGATTATCAAGCATTTTTTGATGCTACATTTCACAATGGTATAGTAGCAAATATAATATGCTGCCAAATGTACTAAAGGCATTTTCATTTCATAAAGGAATTTGGCTCAGAATTACTTGACTGGTAACCTGTCTCCATTCATTGGCAACTTAACTCGCATAGAATATCTGTAAGCAATCTAAATTCTAATTTACACATTGAACTTGTGCATATGTATTGTTTCTACCATGTGACATTTTAAAGTTATATTTTGGTTAGGACCATTGGCATTAACTCACTGTCAGGGGAACTTCCTAAGGAACTGGGGTTGCTAACTGATTTAAGATCAATGTAAGCGTACTGATTTTTCTATTCAACAGATGTCAGCAGCTATCTACTGCATTTTATGACATTTACTCACTGTCAGGGGAACTTCCTAAGGAACTGGGGTTGCTAACTGATTTAAGATCAATGTAAGCGTACTGATTTTTCTATTCAACAGATGTCAGCAGCTATCTACTGCATTTTATGACATTTAGCCAGTTAATAAAGTTTTAAAGTAGCATGCAGGCATGTGCTTAGACATGTGAGTGACCAAGGTTTTACTTTTTCACAATTTTTTCCTTTCGTATGGTGTCGATGCTTTATTTTGTTTAATCCATTAGTTAAACTTCATTGAAAAATGACCACCCTTGTTCACAAAACACGGAGCATATTTATAAATAATGAGGATATAAAATTACCTTGTAATGTCTTAGTTTATTAGGGCTTACAGAATTACAATTACAAAGTCTGATAGTCTGAGTTCTTTATTTTTTACAATATCATATAAATTGAGGTACTTATGAAATAATTGAATATATTCTGTTTGCAGCTTTCTGTTGAAATTTTTTTTTGATAATGAAGAGAGGAAGAAAAATCTGAGAGAATTTTATATTTCTGTATATTATTGAAGTTCACATCAACCCTATTTATAGACACAAGCCTATCTTTAAGTAGGAAAGCTGGAGAAAAGGGAAGAACAAGAAATCTTCCTGAATAGGATATACAAAATTTCTATAATCACATTAAGTCAACATTTTCTAACTGTGTGTTTCTAGTTAAATAAAATAACTTTGCAATGGCTAATAGGGGTGGTACTGATTGGATATCCAAACAATTGGAAATTTTGTTTATCTGATGTGAAGCTGTTTGATAATAATTTTGACAATCAATCTCAATTCAAAATATTGACCAATTGCAAAACATCCAAAAAAACATTGATTAACTGTAAAAACATATGACCACTGTTAATGATTCAGTTAGCTCATTTTTCCAGATTTTTTGAAAAAAATTAGAATTCACTATTCAAATCATTACCTGCTCCAGTAATAAAGAGCTTAAAAGCTAAAATAGCTAAACTCAATCTCAGAATAATAACAACAATGAATTTAGTATCTAAAAGCCCAATTTTTGTTTATGCTTGAGTTGAGTTTCAAATTGAGTTTTCTAATCTAATCAAGTTCGCACTCAACACTGTATCAACTTGAATTAGCTTGATAACAGTTTCGAGTCAAAGCTCAATTAAAGTGTGGTTGAAATGATAGTAGAACACACCCTTTTTATATGATAATTTACTTAGGCTTCATTATGAAAAATAAAACTGTTCATTTGTTGATTTACTTGGTAATCTTGCAGTGCTTTTGGTACAAACAACTTCTCTGGTCCTCTACCATCTGAGCTTGGGAATTGTACAAAGCTGGAACAAATGTAAGTGCTCTTATGTTGTTTTCAATACAATTCTGTTCTGTTTTAAGTGCATACTCTTGACTTCCATAGTTTGTATCTTCACATTGAGAAAGAATGAAAATGATAAGACTTTTTCGCTAGCTCACACCACATCTTTAAAGTGAATTAATCTTTTGAAATCCTTCTATGAGGGGTGTTAACTTATGTGACTATGGAGTATTTTGTATATCCTATTTAGAAGGATCTCTTGGTTTTACCTTTCCTGTTACTTTCCCATTTAGGAATAGGCTTGCGTATGCAAATAGGATTTGGTGTAAACTTCAAAAAACACAAAAATATAAAATCTCTCAAATTTTTCTTCCTGTCTTTATTATCAACATGGTATCAGAGCCTCACCAACATCTTTTGGCTTGTTTTTGAAACAAATTGAATTAGATCGGGAAAATCTCTCAAGTCAGTTTAGGCTACTTTCCGGTAACCCTTGCAGGAGAGAGAGTATCAACACAAGATGTTCGATGGAGAATACCATTTTGTGACATATAGGATTGGAAGGAACTAGATAGGTATTTTTTAGCATTATCACTGTGCAATATGCGAACAGAGGTATTAAATTGAGTTTTAATTTCAGCACAAAAGGAACGGAAAATAGAGAATATCTCAAAATAAGTTTTCATTAAAAATAACCAAGTAACACGAGAATAATCATCCACAAAAGTTACAAAATACCGAAAGCCAGTTTTAGAAATAACAGGACATGGACCCCTCAACAGTGACATGACCCAAACATCAGAATGACACTAACTCAAAAAGGAAATGAAACCCGTTTATTGACTCCGACGGAACTAAAGGTAAACGATGAAGTTGGGAAATTGAACTGAGCATCACCTTCTAAATGATAAAGACTTAAACGCACTGACCCGACCACGACGTTCCGTTTAAAGTAGACACGATAAGGATGACCTAATACTAACAATGAACCAAGAGGAGATAGAGCACTAGCACTAAGCAAGCTAATGAAACTTTCATTAGAAGACTAAAGGCCCACCAGACCCCGTCCGCTACCACGAATCCCCGCTTCGCTCAAGAGAATCCTCAAACACCCAGCCACATAATCGTTGATATGCCAAAGTTGACACACAAATCTCATGCATATGAAGTAAGTTTACTGTAACAGATGACATCAGATTTAAACGAAAAACGACCGTAACGCAAAACAGACAGACAATGGCAGAATGGATGGGTATTGGCGTGCCATCACACTTGATCAGGAGAATGTGGACCATCACTAGACGTAAAATACGATTAAATTTGTTCAGTCGTTCCTTTTACAATGAGTGATAAGCGGACAGGGTTACCCTTTCATGTGCTTCCCCGCGCAAGACAGCAAACTCCAACTGACCACACTCTGATGAGGTAGTGACAAACAGACATGAAGGAAGAGTCCTGAACTTGGCAACAACAACAATTGAGAGATTCAGTACGACCTTAAAGAATATAGCGGTATCCTTAGAGAGCTAGCATACATTTGCATAGCAAATTCGCTTACATGTGTCAGAAGAAGTAATTGCATACTTGAGTGACCATATTTACCTTGTGGCTTATTTATCAGTTTCGTCCAATACCGGGTTAGTGTGCCCAGTTCCCCATGAGCAGATAGATTGGCAGACTAACGCGTAATGCTCTGCACTCCGCACGATTCGATTGGTCCATTATTAGCGGTTTATATCTCGCGTCCTACTTCTGCTATTTCCTGGCTGTCTAGCACGTATTAACGCTCACAGGCACTATATTATCAGAAGGGGAAGGCTGTATGGAGATCTTCAGTACGTAGCAATCTAGCAAAAGTCTCACTGACAGAGCAGTTAACATCACTTATATGCTGAAAGGTACTTGTGATGGCAGTTTCAAAACTGAGCACATGACTACAAGAAAAACTCATCACAGGTTTCTGATGCATTGTTCTCGTGCATTTGTTTGAAGCCTTAACACAGGGACTAAAAGGCGAATAAAACATACGGCCCAATAAAAGTCCTTTGGCAGCCTCATACACGACGAGACAGATTATATTCCATTAATTCTTTAACAAACTCACAATGATTGATTAACCCAACCACTTCACTGTCAATAGAATTGCGAATCAGTAGAAATAACTTAGCATCTTCCTTGAGCCAACGTTGCCTAGTGTCAACAGTTGGTGGATCATCAATTAGATGATCATCTTTTTTAACACTTTGCGAATAAATTCAAATTGTCTTACTCCAATCTAAATAATTAGTTCCTTTCAATTTATGTTCTGTGATTTTATTCATTGCTGGCATTAATTCAGTAATAGTACTTTTAGAATCTGTAGGTTCAGGATCCATTATTAATAAAAACTAAACACCCTACCAGCAACACAGAAAGAGACACACAAAAAAAAAAAGTCTTTCAATGCAAACAGAAGCGAAAGGTAACCTGAAACGCCAAATTGACAGAACTGAGAACGCTTCTACCAGAACTTCGCTGGATCGGAAAACAACTACCTGAGTAGACTGCTGACATAAAAATGAAGCCAAAAAGCAATTTTCGATTGCCGGAAACAGCAGAAACTTGTATCGGCGCATGGTACTGTAGCAGAAACTTGTATCGGCGCGTGAGGCCCACATGCAGGGAATCCGGTGACCGGATTTTGAGGGAACGCCGGTCGGCAACTGGAGCAGCTGCTGGAGTAGGCGATGAGGCAAAACAGTGACCCTAGAATGGTCACCAACACTGACAGCCACCACGCGCAGGGTATCCGGTGACCGGATTTTGATGGAACACCGAAATTTTCTATGCAAACGGGAAAAATCAAGTTTAAAGAGTCACAGGCTCTGATACCAAGTAAATTTAATGTGGAAAAATATTTTTTTCTATTTGATTCATCAATAGGGACACATATATATACACATACAGGATACTATAAACCTACTAGGAATCTAACTCCTAATAAAATTCTATTTACAACTAATCCTTAACACTATTAAAGTTAACCATAAGTTACAAGCAGGGATGGGAGAATCAATTGACCTGGGTCAATATCAAATATTGGTTGGAAAATAAATTTATTTCTCACACATTAAACCAAACATAGTATATGTTGTGAATCTATTTAGCCAGCATATGCATGATCCTCGTAGTTCACATATTGGAGCTGTTTTTCGCATTTTAAGATATTTAAAATCTTCACCTGGAAAAGGCTTAGTCCTTTCTAAGCATGATCACCTCAAAATTGAAGCCTTTACTGATGCCTAGATGATAGGAGATCAGCTTTTGGTTATTGTACTTTTGTTGGAGGAAACTTAGTTACTTGGAGAAGTAAAAACCATAATGCAATGGCACATTCGAGTGCGAAAGCATAATATACAGTTATAGCCCAAGGGGTTTGCGAACTGCTATGGGTAAGGAAGATAATGGAAGAGTTGCAAATGCCGAAAGGAGAGGATTAAACCTTTGTTTTGTGATAACAAGGCAGCCATTATATTGTTCTGAATCTAGTTCAATATGATCGGACAAAGCACATAGAGATTGACCGACATTTCATAAAAGAAAAAATTATCCGAGGTGCTTTAAAACTTACACATGTGGCCTCGGGTAATCAGCTTGCAGATGTTCTTACTAAAGGCTTAATAGTGAGTAATTTCATAATTTGATTTACAAGTTGGGCATATTCAATATCCATGCTCCAACTTGAGGGGGAGTATTGACTTATGTGATTATAGAATATTTTGTATATCCTATTTCAGAGGATTTCTTGTCCTTATCTTTTCTATAACTTTCCTACTTAGAGATAGGCTTGTGTATATAAATAGGATTTGGTGTAAACTTCATGATACACAGAAATATAAAATCTCTCAGATTTTTCTTCCTATCTTCATTATCAACATTTGCGCTTAGATTCACGACTACAGAGGCCTTACTTTTGAACTGACTTCCAATAGTTTAGCAACACGAGATAAATGTACTTTCTGGCTACAAATCCTCGGTCCCTCGGACATGAAGGTTCATTGGATATAAAACTATATAATTCAAATAGAAACATAATTTGGTGTATGCAATTATTCTTTTCCTCATGCTAGAGTGAATCGCGAGCAGGAGAGGTATTGTGTATTCAGATGACAAATGCAGCCACGGTGAGTGATCGTTTTTGCGGTTTCCTTTTCTTTAAAAATTTTGTGCAGATACCTACAATATGAATTCTAAAAAGTGCTGTCCACATACTACGTTGTTTGCTTCCTGATTCTAGTTATATGCTAGAAAAACTTTTATTTCCTCCAAAGCCATTGTGGTGCATTGAAATTTAATTGAGACTTCAAATTATATACTTAATATCCAAATATATGGTGGTTAATTGGTGAACCTCTTTACATTTTAGGTTGATTATTCATGACTTTGACACTTTTACATAAATTGATTTCATGGTATGGTCAACATCAGGATTCGATTTTAACTGTGCCAATCTTTATAAGATTACTCAATTCAATGCTTTAATTCTGCATCTTGTTTGATTATTGATGCAAGAACTGTTTGTGTACTTAGTTAAATGGAAAACATGCATACCCATTGAATTGAGCATATCTAATGCATTTCATGGTAAAATAAATGATAGGTGTGTGCATTGACCTTGGCCCTTATAGTGTTTTGTTGTTTTGTTACTAAATTCCTAGAGAGGGCCAAGTTAGATATTAAAAGAACAAATTCCCAGAAAATGTAAAGAAGCAGAACAATGTATGAAAATTAGACGGTGGGTTAGTGAAAGTAAATTGAGTTCGTTTTTTCCTGTAGCTGAACTAGATTGTAACCAGTATAACTGCATGTGCAACTATGGAACTTGTGAATAGTTTCTAAAGCATACTAAAAATAACTACTCGATGACAAGCTTATGTCATTTTGACCTACCTATTTTTCTTTTCATATGTTAACCAGGCACAAGTTATGAATAATTAGACTTTTACATGTATTTTGATAGCTCTGATTTGTGACACAACTGATGAAAATTGTTCACTTTGACAGGTATTTTGATAGCTCTGGGGTTAGTGGTGAGATTCCTTTAGAATTTGCTAACCTACAGAACATGGTTATTATGTAAGAACATTTTTACAACTGAATGTTTTCTGAAAATATGTTATCCTGATTTTTGTTTATAAGGAATTAATACTATTGGTCTCAGGTGGGCATCAGATAATGACCTTACTGGCAGCATACCTAGCTTCATAGGGAATTGGTCGAAACTTTCCGTCTTGTAAGACAACTCATCAGATATTTTCTCTCAATTTTCTTCAAATCAAGCTTATACAAGCTTGAGCTAGAATTTCACTTGAGCTTGCTTAACATCCAAACTGCTATTCTAGGTTTAGGGAATATTTAGTAGTTGTTAACCGTATGTTATTGCTTTAAATGCCAAATATGCACAGTTTATGGGAATTACTCATAAATGTTACTGCAGAAGATTTGAAGGGAACTCCTTTGAAGGTCCAATACCATCAGCATTATCAAGCTTGACTTCTCTGGTAGAGTTGTGAGTGTCTGTATCTGGTCTTTTTTGTTATATTAATGGACCTATAACACTAATAATCTCATGTAATATATGAATTTAGGAGAATTAGTGATTTATCAAATGGAAGCTCTTCACTTGCGTTTCTTAAGGACATGAAGTCTCTAACTGGCTTGTAAGGCAATTTAATTCTGTCTTCTGATTCAGTTTGTCTGACAGTCAAATATGCTTTATTTATTTTTTTTCCTCTAGTGATCTTTTGACAAGTTGTAATAAGAAAACTCAATTCATGTCTTGCAGGGTGCTAAGAAATGACAATATTTCAGATTCAGTTCCATCTAGTTTTGGAGAATATCAGAATTTGACACTGTTGTATGTTATTTCTATTATTAGTTCTTTATGGATGTAAATTTAGCTGTCAATATCTTAGGTTGAACTTGGGTTAGCTTTAATATCCTGTAACTCATCTGATGATAAATGGTTTGGCTGATAATTTTGTAGTGGAGCACTATAAAATATTCCTTAAAATTTTGGTTATCAAGTTCAATGCGTTATTGTGCATTCATTGTTAATTGGGTTAACAATCACATTAAAAAGTAATTATAAAGACAAACTATCACTCTCTTTGGGATGGGGTAATCGAAATGATTTAAATTCTGCACCTCCAGTTGAATGGAGATTATTGTATTTATTTTATTACTATTTGTTCATCAAATTTATTTTTCTTAACCTTATGCTTGAAATAATTTCTTTTCCTAGGGATTTGAGTTTCAACAATATAGCTGGACGGATACCTGACTCACTTTTCAATTTGAACGCTCTCACTACCTTGTAATATCTCATCCTGCTAATTATGTCTTATATCTTAAATACAGTTCGTATTGAACCATGTATTGCTCCCTGCATGCTCAGGTTTCTTGGAAGTAACAAATTAGATGGTCCACTTCCTGCACAAAAAAGTCCATCACTTCAAATTATGTATGTATACAAGACATAAATATAAACATTAAGAACTATATGTTTATTACTAGTTTGTTTATGTGCTTAAAGTTTTTCCTCAACTCCCAAATCAGATAGTTGATATTGGCTTAGCTGCTTCCTCACCATGTTATTTCATGCATCAGCTGGAACATATACTTATCATTTGCTTGTCAATTTGTAATTATAGAGATGTCTCTTACAATAATTTAGTAGGGAGCTTTCCTACCTGGGTTAATGATCAAAATTTACAAGTGTAAGTTCTTGCTTCCACCGTTATTTACTCTCCTGATATTTCTCACTAAACCTGTGTTCTTCATGGACTTCTTGATGGAAGAAATACTGAGATCTTTAATTTGTCATGGTTTTATTTCAGTAATTTAGTTGCCAACAACTTTACAATAGACCTAGAAAGCAGGTACTTCTTCTGATTTTATGTTCACCCTTAATGCTTATACATTTTAGTAATGAGGCGGATGCTTAAACAATATCATTCTCTGTTGTAATCTAAGCATTAGGTCATCTATATAAGGAAGGGCAATATGTCCCCTAGAATAGATTAAAAATAATATTATTTCATATAAAATAATAACTGCAGTGTCCGCCTGCTATGTAATGAAATTGTTCTTGATTATCCTCTTCCTATTGCAGTTGCATGCATTTGAGAATATCTAATGCCTTCTGACTATCTTTCTACTTTTCTTTTATCTTTTTGTTTTCTGTGGTAAAATATGAATTATAAAAAAAATGGTCCAACAGCAGAACTTTTGCATGTATTCCTTTATCTGTATTTTCACTCTTTATAAGAAATATTATTTGTTGACGCAAAGTGCAGTATGGCTACATGAATTAGAGTGGTCGGCGGTACTGGGTAGGAAAAAAAGGTGGTGAGTGGTGACTAGAAATTAGCTAACTTTGATTACGTGGAGAGCAAGGGTATTTGTTGGGGACAATCCCAAATGACTATAATTAAAGGAATAGTTAAGTATATGTGTAGTGTTTAAACTTTTTCAGTTTTTGTAGAAGTGTCTAAACTTTTTTCATGCAAATCAAGTGTCTAAATGGACTTCTTTTTTCCAGAATCAAGTGCATGGCTTTAATCCTCATCGGAATATTTAAAATGGGCCATTTTATCTCTTAAAAAATATCATCTCACTTTTCCATGTTATTTTTTCTCATTCACTTCCTCTTTTGCCTATTATATCCTTTATATAATAATTTTTTTTTTCTCGATAGAAACTTCAATTTTTTTTTTTTTTTTTCTTCACATTTCTACTAATCTTTTGAGACTTCTTTTTATCGTCTTGCATTTTCTAGGTAATCAAACAAGAGTTCTTTCGTGTTTTTTATTGAGAAACGAACTTTTTTTTTAAACATTTTCTTGGGAAACAAACAAGTAAAAAATAGTGGTTTTTCTTTGTGTATGCATATAAGAGAAATTAGTGAAAATGTTATGATTTATTTGTGGAGATTGAGGTTCGAATTTTTAAATAAAATTGGGTAGTTATGGTTTCTTTTGATGTTAATAGGTATCAGAATAGCAGAAAAATAATTTTTGAAAGGAAGAAGGAAATATGTAATGAAGAGAGAAGTAAGGAAAGTTAAGAATATTAGTGGAGTAGAGATATGAATATCATAGTATTATTTATGAGGGTAAAATAGTCCATTTTAATACTGTGGCTAGTTCAAACACTGAAATAACAAAAATAGAAAAAGTTTAGACACTAATAATATATTAACCTCAAATTAAAAGGAATTTAGTACACATTTGTTCTGTGAAATTCTTTTAAGCATCTAAGTTTTTCTGTGGAAAATATAATGTAAAAAAAAAAAAAGTCATAGGTTTTATGTGTAACTATTTATGCTTCTTCATGGACTTTCCAGCATGTAGTGGTTGAAATCATTCTCAACTAAATAAGTCTTTTTCTTTTTGCTTCCTCCATTATGGGAAGGAGGGATTACAATGCAAATAAATGTAACCTGTGATAACCCTATCTTAACCTCCTTTATGGGTGAGCAATATTTGGGTCTGAACCCAAAACCGAACAGAACTGACCCATTTTGACCTGGTTCGATCAGATGCTTTAGAATTCAGTCACCAATCAGTTTGGTAAACAAAAAACCATTCAGTTTCGGAATACCCAAACTGAACTGGTTTGGCATTATTTGGGTTTAGGTTTGGTTATAATGAAAAAGCGTTCAGTCAGACCGAACTGAGCTGGCCCAGTTTGGTTAAACCGAATGCTCATCCCACCCTCCTTGCGTGGAACTTCAAAAGTTGGAAGGAATTACTTGTTGTCTTTATCATGTAATTAGTCCTCAATTGGTGAACTAGATCAATCTCATAACATATTGTATCAATTTCAATTATCTGTTTAAATGACCAGAATTAGGTTTCTGGCTGCCAATGAATGCTCCTGAATCTATTCATAAGTTCCTTATTAGACCTGTTACATTCCTCTTTGGCTTTCAGTGGTTTGCCATCAGGCCTGAACTGTCTTCAACGTGACTTTTCTTGCAACCGAGCCTTTCCAATCTGTAAGTACAATTAAAATATTCTCCATCTTTGTTATTTTTTTTCTAGTTGAGATGTTTCTATTTTGGCAGTAACCAGTAAGGGCCAAGGAAGAAGGGAGGATTAGTTTACTTAAAAAGGATCCTACTGTTCATACTATAAACTTTTACCAGCTATTGAATTGGCAAGGGCACAACTATGAAACATTTTTAATTTTCAGAGGGCTAGACTGTAATGATCCGTACTTTATTTTGTTGATTTTAAACCATATATCACACACTTCCAAAAAAAGTACTCGACTTCGGAGGCAAGGACATTACTCAAGTTGGACACCATGTATAACATGTCAATTTGGATATTAGACTTGGAGTGACATTGTGGGGTAAAAGAATGTCCTGTCATTTAATGCCTAAAAACCTCTGAGGAATTTATAGGATGTTAAATTGGAATCAAGATGGTTTCTGAAATTTTCCTAACAACTGCCTATTTTGTTTTTGGAGAACAGATTCTCAATTTGCGATAAAATGTGGCGGTCCCCAAATTACGCCTTCTAGTGGGATTGTATATGAGAGGGATACTGAGGCCCTTGGTTCAGCAACATATTATGTTACTGATACAAGAAGATGGGGTGTCAGTAACGTTGGAAATTTCACAGGAAGTTATTCATCTGAATTTACATATACTCTAGACTCTGAGTTGTTCCAGACAGGACGGCTCTCTGCTTCATCACTAAGATACTATGGTTTGGGGCTTCAGAATGGCAATTACAACATCAAACTTGAATTTGCAGAAACAGCATTCGAGGATGGTAGGACATGGAGGAGTCTTGGTAGGCGTGTTTTTGATATTTACATCCAGGTCTGTCTCATACTATGAATTTTCTAGAGACCCCTTAGTGTTGTACTCAAATTTGGAAGTTTTTAGAGACCTTTGTTCGATGTTAGGATTGGTTATCAAAGGTTTAGGAGTTGGGATTATGATGACAAAGTTCTCCATATTTTTTCTGAAGTTCGAAAATGGACATAATATTTTGATGAATTCGATTTAAGATGAATTATGTTTGTAATTCAATTGTTTTAAGTACCGTTGTCAAGAATAACTACCAAGATTTTCTGCAATAATGCTCAAGGAACATGAATATATCTTTTAAAATTATTTTTTCACGCTTATTTTCTAATTGGAGTTCAGAAACTAATTTCAAGTGCCTTACTGGAAACTATAGGGTATTATCCAAAAGAAATTGGTAAAATTGTAAATAAATCTGGGTATAATATACTGGTAATGTGAAATATTATTGATGTTGATTTTAGAAGCTTTGGTGAAATCCAACTCTGGCTTTCTTTCAAAAGTTATTACGTTTTTCTTTATTCTTTTATTGAACCCCAAGATGTTACTCAGGGCAATCGTGTTGTAAAGGATTTTGACATAAGAAAGGCAGCTGGTGGAATCTCTAAGCGAGCTGTTGGACAGAACTTCACTGCTCAGGTATCTGAAAATTACCTTGAAATCCATTTGTTCTGGGCTGGAAAGGGTACTTGCTGCATTCCTTATCAAGGTACATATGGACCTTCTATTTCAGCAATCAGTGCTACTTCAGGTATCACAACTATTCAACTAGTGAATTTATTGATTTTTCACTTGTATAGATATCAGGTTATTGAGTTCTGAGATTTTATGCAGATTTCATACCAACTATTATTAACAATCCTCCAACCATTGGAAAAAATAAGGATAGGACCGGTGTCATTGTGGGAGTTGTTGTTGGGATTGGAATAACAAGCTTTCTGCTTGTTTACGCGGTTTATTTATTCATCCAAAGAAGAAAAAGGAAAACCACCTACGACGATGAAGGTGAACTAAAGATTATGTTGTATATGTAATATCTGAATAATTATGCTATTCTTCATATGTGTAGTAAATGCTGTTATTGTTCAACGTAATTTTACATGTATATCGTTGTTAGCATATTAGGAATCACATTGTGCCAAAACACAAAAGGGGATAACTAAGCTTGCAAGCTTCTACTTATCTTCCCTATTTGAATGTGGAACTTTATTGGAGCCTTTTCAGCCTAAGATACCATTCCATATGACTAGCAAATGGTTCCTCAAATCTCATCTTTTTGTGTTGAAATTCAGTGCTCGTAGGTACGAATGCTAGACCTTACATTTTCAGTTATGCTGAATTGAAGGCTGCTACGAACGACTTTAGTCCCAGCAATAAGATTGGAGAGGGAGGATTTGGGCCGGTTTATAAGGTATATGGCTATTTAGAGAATCACAAATTGCTGACTGATATTCATTTATCCCCATCTAATTTTTCTTGTACAGGAAATAATGTGCAATAAATCAAGATTGCTAATCAACTAGATAGACTACCATCTATCAGCTGTAAACCTGAGGATCTTATGTATTTTGATTTAGGTCCTCAAGATTGAAGCTAAGTTTATCATTTTTCTGCATTATATATTGGTGAGCAATGAAGGTGGCTTTAGTGTAACAGTAAAGCTACTCCACTTGTAACCTGGAGGTCCTGAGTTTGAGCTATGAGCGCCCGCAATGCGGGAAATGTTGTAGACTAAGACACTTTATTATATAGTTGCCTTGTCTAAAATATGTAATTCCTTTTTGGCTAAACTCAACGCATATGAAACTCTCATCTTCTGTTCAAAGCAATAGGAAAACTAGATAATTAAATTGTTAAAGTTACAGCTACAGCTATTGATGCAAGTGTTGTTGACAATTTTTGGAGGTATTTTGTTAAAGTCATTTAGATTTTGTTGTATTATTTTTTTAAACATAAAAGCAAACAAAGAAAAAAAATTTTTTGTTATAGAATTGGGTAGGGTTTCTTCCCACTGCCCACTAATAAATCGTGGCAGGCGAACTTATCGTTTCTTTTCTGTCATGGTTGAAACATTCTCTTCTTAATTTTCTGACTCTCCTAGAGACCAACAAGTGGTTATCAGAGCTAAGCCTTGATGCTCAAAGGCGTGTGGTGTTATCGAGGTGAAAGTCATAAGGAAAGCACCAAATAAACCAGAATTTGTTGAAGTTTTGTCATGTTCTAGGAATGTGCTTTGCCTCAAATGGCTTAGTCGCGCATGTCGTCTTCATCTCACTTCATTTATAAGGGAAAACTATCAGTTTGGCAGCTGTGAAATGAGAGCTTATTTCAAGGGGGCTTTGCATTAGGCAGTATGTGGATGGAAAACGAGTACTCTCAGCCCTGTAAATATCAAAATCCATACCCTTCAGTAACTTAGACAATCATGAAAGAAGAGGTTGCAAGGCTCCAAGCTTCTGTCTATATTCCATGGACGCGTTGCACTGATCTATCTTCACCAAGATTTTAAAGGAACAATGTGAGACACAAGCACATGAAAGCTTGGAGAAGTTAAAATTTGAGTATCATGGATCTGAAAAAACTAGGATCATGATGCAGATAGTTGTCAAATTAAAGAGAAGAATTTGAGAATGTTTGAAAATGGAAAGGAAATGAAAAAAATGTGAAAGATTTATGTTGATAGACTGTGTTATGAAATTGTAAACCAAAGTTCGATGTTGTTGGGTAGAAAGAGGTTGAAGATGAAAGATTGTGGAGAAAGTTATGGTGACTCTCCTGGAAAATTGAGCCAAAGAATCTCTCTTGGCAGAAATTGGGACAACATGTCACAAATATCCTGAATGTGCGTATCAAAATGCGCTATTCAGATTCTGTAGAACAAAGAAAAGCCTATCATAGGGAAGGAAAAACATTGGAGAGAAGGCTTCTGTGTGAGCTATAAAACAAAAATGCAAGAAGGAGGTCAAGAGGACCAGCAAACTGACAGAGAGACTCAAAAAATGAAGAGATTGTCAGAAAAATTGGAGGAAGGGACAGAATTCCACCTGTCCATAATTGCAGAGAAAACATGAACACTTCTCTAGAATACTCTGCTGGTTGCAGGACTCTGGAGCTCAATTTGTATGAGGTTTGTGATAAGCAATTTGGTCCACACCGGAGAATGTTTGTTCTACAAACAGGACCGTGCAAACACAACCATCTATGCACAAGCACCGAAAAATTCTGACAAAAGTAGAAGAAACTATTTGCAGTAAATCAAATTTGAAAAATGTGGTTCACAAATGAAGCTAAATAAAGCAGTTGCTGTCGATATGGGCTGCACTAACCACTGACACCAACTGGTGAATTCGATAGCTGGATACGAACGATTATTCAAAAGTCAGACTTGAGAGATGTAGGGGCTTGTTGATTGTCAAATGGCAAAGAGATTTATTTGTACACACGCTTCCAGGACAATTAAAGCTTGTTTCCGATGTTTTACGACCGGTAACTAATCAAAGCTTTGTTTCGTTGTCATTTGCTGGATAAGATACAGTTGCTAATTAAAGATAAAACTTTGAGAAATAAGGATCCTTATACAGGTCAGAAGTATTTGCTATTAAAATGAAACGGAGAACTTTCCCTCTAAATTTAAGAAAGCTTCAAAGAAAGATCTTGCGTCGAGTCAGTAAAGAAGGAATCTGATGTGGCATAGAGAAGACTTGGTCACACAATCTCAATTCTCATTAAATTGGTCTTACAGTATTGCCAAGAAGTAGTTGCTGATATTGCATCTATAGTTATAAGAAGACAACAGTATAGATGTGAAATATAGTTCAGTATATGTCAGTTAGGCAAACTCAGCCAAACACCATTTCCATCTGATCAAGCATGGAGAGCTTCTATGAAACTTGAATTAATACACACTGATGTGTGTGGCTCTATGAGTGTCTCATCTTACAATGACAGCAAGTATTTTCTATTGTTTATTGATGACTACACCAGATTATGCTGGGTATATTTCCTCCAATTCAAATCTGAAGTTTTCAAAATGTTCTTGAAGTTTAAATCAATGGTAGAGAATCAAGTTGGCTCCCCAATCAAGATTTTAAGATCTGATAATGGGGCTGAATTTACATCCAATCAAATCAAGCAATATTTGCAAGAAGCTGGCATTCACCATCAATTAACAGTAGCTTACACACACCTCCAACAAAATGGTGTAAGTGAAAGAAAGAATCAGATCAATGTGATGAATATTGGGCGAATGTCTCTGTTTGAGAAAATCTAAGCCCAAAGTTCTTTGCTGAAGCTGTAAACACTGCTGAATATTCAAAATGCGTCTTCCAACCAAGCTATGATGAAAAAACTCCTTTCGAAAGTCTGGTTTGGAAGTTACACCAACTCGTTGTCATTCTCAAAACATTATATGGAAGCATATTTATTCAATTTATTCAAAAGCGAAAAAGAGGGAAATCTGAATAACGAGCCTGAAACAAGGAATTTTTAGTAGGGTCAAATACAGCAGTGAATCCAAAGCCACAGAAATTTGAATCTGTACTAAACAGTGTATGTTCAAGAGAGTGTCAAATTCGACAGAAAAGTGAATGGAATTGTGATAAAATGGAACCAGAAAATTCTAAATCAATTCTTGATTTCAGCAGGAGCAAAACTTTCCAGTTAGACAATGAAGAAGAATATCAGATGAAGATGATTATGCAATTAGAGGAACCAGATCCCTAGAGGAAATTTACAGCAGATGTAATGTTGTCTCACTTGAACCAACTCAGGTGGATGAAGCCTTAAAATTGCCTGAGTGGAGAGCTACCATGGAGGAGGAGTTGAAGATGATTATGAAGAACGAAACATGGATTTTAGTTCCTAGACCATTGAATAAGCATGTAATTGGAACTAAATAGGTATTCAAATTGAAATTAAATTCTGATGGCTCCATCAATAAGCACAAAGCAAGATATGTTGTTAAAGGCTATGCTCAATAGCAAGGGGTTGATTTTACAGAAACCTTCGCACCAGTTGCAAGATTTAACACTATCAAATTGATTTTGGCACTAGCAGCAAGTGAAGGGTTGCAAGTCTTTCAATTGGATGTGAAATCAGCTTTCTTAAATGGTTCTTTGAAGGAAGAAGTGTATATTGAGTAGCCTGAAGGTTTTAATGATGAAAGCAATAGAGTGTGTTTATTGAAGAAAGCACTCTATGGTTTAAAACAGGCCCCAATGGCCTGGTATGCCAAGATTAATCATTACTTGAAGAATTTGGGTTTTAAACGCAGCTTGAATGAGGCAACACTTTATGTAACTCAACAAGGAAGTGATGTGCTTATCGTTTCTGTGTATGTTGACGATCTACTTTGTCAACAGGTACCAATTTACAATTAATTCAAGAATTCAGATTGAAGATGCAGCAGTTTTTGAGATGAATGATTCTTGCTTAATGGCTATTTCCTTGGGATTGGAATGGCTTCAAGATGACAAGGGATTTTATATTCCAAAAGAAATTTGCATTGGGAGCTGAAGAAATTTGCTTAAAAGGCTTTGGGTTATGGTGAACTTAGCGAGACTTAAATGCAGGATTGAAACAGTCGTAGTAGCAAATTGCAACACACTACCAACAAGGTGCCACAGTTACACTGGCATAACATAGACACATCTGTCAGAAGGAGATAATAGGTTATGTGCTATACAATGCGACTCATATAGTAGATGGTTTCATGCTCATCTCTAACCATTAAGATGAGGCCATGCTCAATAGTGTTGGTTCTTTTGCTGTATTTATCTGTAAACAAGACAGATATCCATGTTTGCTAACATTAGGAAGTCATGACGTTGGTTTCGAGATTTCATGTTATAGATTCTTTCTGCCAACTTTGTATAAACCATCTTTATTCTAAGCAGGTAACCAAACCGAAGTGTACTGAGATCATGTGCGGAGATGATCATACTGCTTGATATGTGGCTCATTAAGTTCATTATAGAAAGATTAATAAATGTGTTGAAGTTGTTGGAGTTCTCAGGACCGGAGTGATTGGGGCATGGTTCATTGGACGATATGAAGAGGCAAACTACTGGTTTTTGTTAAATTTCACATTGGTCTTGCATGATATCATGCCTGGGGAACAAGAAACATCAGGCTCAATCAAACGCAGAAGCAAGATGTATGTTGCAGGCATTCTGGCTGCTGTAAACCAAAGCTATATGGTGAGAAAGTCAATATAGTTGATTCTGAATTTTCAAGCAAGAAAATCCAACGTAAAATACTTTGTGACAACAAATCAGCTGTTTTGCTATTTGGTTAAAAATCAAAATCTTCCATTGAAACAACCAAGCAATATTCAAAATCAAGTATCATGCAAATTCGTGAAGCTGAAAAGGAAAATGAAATTTCAGATTATTCAATTGCAATTCTGAAGACCCAAACAGCAGATATTTTCACCAAGGCGTTTGCAAAAACCAAGATTTGAATTTCTTAGGAATTAAGGACTTGGTGTTTGTCTCAAACTCTTGAATCAAGGGAGGAGTGTTAAAGTTACAGCTACAGAATATTGATGCAAAGTGGTTGTTGACAATTTTTTGGAGGTATTTTTGTTAAAGTCATTTAGTTTTGTTGTATTTTTGTTGAAATCAAGAGGTAGGTGAACTACCTGCTTTTAGGTAGGTTTGGTTGAACAACCTTCCTTGACTTTGGAAGGTTTGGTGAACAAACTTTAGACTAGCTCTTACTATAAATGTTTACATTTATGCTGTAATGGATTAACAAGAAATTAATTGTTTCTTCACACTCAACAAAATCTGCCAGCTTTTTCTTTTTCTGCAGAATTTTCCTTATGTTTACATTATGCTGTAATGGAATTAACAAGAAATTAATTGTTTCTTCACACTCACAAAATCTGCAGCTTTTTCTTTTTCTGCAGAATTTCCTTCTCTTTTTAAATAAATATTCAGGATGTTGTTCTTTTTCTTTATTGTCTTTGTTTTTGAATTATCTATTATAGGGAAAACTTAATGATGGGAGAGTGATTGCTGTTAAGACACTTTCTGTGGGATCTCACCAAGGAAAGGTTGAATTTGCTACAGAGATTGCTATTATATCTGCAGTGCAACAGCGGAATCTTGTGAAATTGTATGGATGCTGCATTGAAGGATACAATCGTCTCCTCGTGTATGAGTATCTTGAGAACAAGAGTCTTGACAAAGCATTATTTGGTATGACATTTCCAATATAAATGTGTGAATCTGTATTCACACGCACTCGCACACATGCACACTTTCTTTTGTATAGAATTTGGTAGAAAAATGATAATGCATGAATGGAATAAGACAGGAGAAAGAAGTTTGAAACTTGACTGGTCAAAGCGTTATGCGATATGCATGGGAGTAGCCAGAGGTCTAGCTTATCTTCATGAGGAGTCGAGGCTTCGAATTGTACATAGAGATGTGAAGGCCAGCAATATACTTCTTGATTCTGATCTCATTCCCAAGATTTCAGATTTTGGTTTGGCGAAACTTTATGATGATAAGAAGACCCATATAAGCACCCGTGTTGCAGGGACATTGTAAGATCATATGACAGAAGCTTTTGTTTTTCGTTTTTACTTAGGTAATTCTTAATGCGATGAATTAAGGCAATAAACTGTGCGGTGCTAGTAACTTTATCTTGTGAATCCATTTTTAATATAGTGGGTATCTTGCACCGGAGTACGCTATGCGTGGACACCTCACGGAAAAGGCCGATATCTTTGCCTTTGGAGTTGTGGCTCTTGAAGTCGTGAGTGGGAGACCAAATTCTGACCCAAGCCTGGAAAAAGAAATGATATACCTTCTTGAATGGGTATGATATAATGCTTGTGAAGTGCTTCTTTTAATTCATCCCTATTTTCATTTGTATGGAACCTTTCTTTCCTTTTCTTTTTCTGCATCTGAGAAGTTACAATTGCCTTTATCTCTAATCTAGCTTTTTTTTTTTTTTTCCTTTTCTTTTTCCTTTTTTGGTACATTGGGAATTTTAAATCTACGAACTCTTGATTTCTTGCACTATGAGGCAAACACTCAATCCAGTGGCTATAATTTAGCTATTTATTGCATTCACATAGTTTACCTTTGCAAAAGTTAAAGCATTAATCATAATGACTTTAGGAGTTGTCTATGTTTCTCGTACCTTGCAATTGGAATATGTTCATTTTTACTCAAAAACTATAAGATGGGTTTCTTCCTATTTTAAAATCAAAATATAACATAAATTTCAGTTCCTTTTTCCTTCTTGCTGCTACAATGATCTGAAAATGAGTTTTTCTTTTCTTGTTTTTTTCTTTAGAATCTTGAAAATGTTAGTGAAGTGTCAAAGGATCAAGTCCTTTCAAGCATATTCTGAAAGACCAAATGGACTCAAAGTTACTCCCATCCACCAAATGTGAATATGTTTTTATATTCATTAGGAGGCTGCATGAGTAATCATTTCCAATGCTTACTATATTGATGAAAACTCGTCATAACATTTGGTGGAGCCCTCGAATCTGAGACCCTCCCCCACTTCTCACATATTCAGAAGGCATAAGACGAACTAGGATATGCCTGGATAACAAATTTGAATTTGTCATGCACCTATAATCCTGGCATTCAAAGTTGTTTGTTAACAGATCTTGTAACTTCTTATCTTCTTAGGCCTGGCACCTGCATGAAAACAACCGTGCAATAGAATTAATAGACAACAGACTATCAGAATTCAATGAGGAGGAAGTAAGACGCTTGATAGGAGTTGCTCTTTTGTGCACCCAAACTTCACCAACTCTTCGTCCTTCAATGTCGCGTGTGGTGGCTATGCTATCTGGTGATATTGAAGTAAGCAGTGTAACTTCAAGACCCAGATACATTCCTGATTGGACATTTGATGATATAAGCAGCATTATTTGCGAAGATGTAAGCAGCAGAACTGACTACTACAATTCATCAGCAAGTACAAGCATGCCAATTGATGCTGAGGAGTCGCACATTATTGCCAAACCAATACTACACCAGATCATTGGAGGATAAATAGGGAACATTTTTTTCTTCTATTCATTCTTTTGTTGGTGAGGTCTATATAATTGATTTTTTTAGGGATCATGTATGAAGTATATATTTTTTTTTTCCAGAAAAAAATAATTATGGCCGAGAAGATTGTGAGGGATCAAGTGCATAATATATATTCTCTTTAAACAGAAGCTGCTTGTTTTTGTGAAATTAATATAGCTGAAGAGAGTTTGTATTGCAAGTATTCTTGGTAGGTGTCTTAATATATTTGTTTTTGAAGATGAATCAGGGCTTTGTTATTTTCCCCAGAATGGCCTCTTGTTACGTGTCTTCGTAACTATTTCTCTGTGGATTAGTTTCCTTACTTCTGTACTTCCTAAGGAGAAGAAATTAGTTTTGGTTCCTATGGTTTGATTGGAAACTGTTTTTCTTTTCCTTTTTCCTCCTACAAAAACCGTATTATGAAAAATCAAGTTTGACTCAACAAAAAAACCGTATTATGAAAAATTATCTGTATTCATTGGGCTAATATGATAGGTCGAAAATTTGCTATTAGCAATAAAAACGCCAAACTGGCACTATACCTAATCACTAAGGTTTAACTGTTTGATCAATAATAAATCTGCAAGTTGTGAGCTAATTGATTGTGTGCCAAAAGAGATTAAATTAAATGTGGATCTGTAACTAATGTATTCTGCTTTAAAATGTTGTACCACAATCACATTTTGTTCCATAACTAGATATCTATTGTATGATTATTGATTTGTTACTCTTTTACAAAAAAAAAAAACAAGGCTAATGATTGCTGTTAAAAGAAGTCAGTGGGAGAACTTTGCACCCACAGCTTCATTTTATGCCATTCATTCACTGCATATAGAAAGAGTATTGATTCATACCGCTGAATGACATATAAAAAGGGTTAAACCCATAACCCATTCCCACCTGCATACCACCCCAATATGGGCTGTATGCATAAGAGCTAATGGGCATCATGTAGCTCTCAGCATCAACATCTTCAAAATTTCTCTTCCTCTTTGAAACCACCTTTTGCCGCATTTCTCCTTTGTTCCCTGGCTCTTCCTTTCTTATTGACCCAGTAGTCACTTCAGATACATCAGCTGCTCTTGCAGTCGTCGCTTTCTTGGCCAATGGGTGTGGAACATCAACAGCTTTTCCATTATTTGACTTGTCTTCGATCTTAGCAAGTGATGGTGATTGCTTCTGCTCTTTCTCAGATGATGAAGAGGTTTGAGACTCTGATTTTGTAACTTTAACAGAGTTGCTTTGAACATTTGTGCCGCTACTGCTACTGCCACTACCAGACTCCAAAATGCGATTAATTGTATCCCTTAATGTCATATTTGGAATAAGATGATCCGTAAGCACATCAGTTGCTCCACACACACACTTCAACTTGCAACCGATTAGATAATCCCTAATACACTTGTCACAAAAGCTACTAAAACAGCATTTACTAGTCATCACAGCATTTTTCATTCCTTGCTTACACAGAGGGCAGAGAAGTTCTGGTGGAAGATCACTTGCAAGCCATAATGATGACTTCTTTGCAGGGAAGCACCCAAAAATTTCCTTCTCAAAAGCAGCATCATTTGCCTTCAAAACAGTAGGAGGCCTCATTCTTTTGAAATCATAACCAGGATTGCCATTTGTTGGGCAATGTTGAATAAAATGCCCTGCCATGCTACATCTGTGACATACATAGCCTTCTGGTGGTGTTTTCTTCTCCAATCCGCCATATCCAACCCCAGAACCTCTGCCATTCACACGTCCACCCCCAACTTCTCCCCTAAAAGAACCTGGTCCGCTCCCAACAGAAGCAACACTAGATTTCACACTAACAGAACCGGTAGTAGCTCCATTATCAAAACCTTCGCCAACAGAATCAGTATTTGTGGATGCAGGTTTGCTACTAACAGAGGCACCAGTAGCGGAACTGGATGAACCAGTGCTACCAATAGTTTTAGACCTGCTCCGCGGAATTTGCCGTTCAGTAACAGCAATAGTTGCAGTATCAATAGGCTTTTTGCTACCACGCCCGGTTCCTGGAACACGGCGAATCAAGACACCAGTATTTTTAGGAATCAACATATCATCAAGATATTGTTCATTAGTCTGGGCATTAATGATGGCAAGATCAAAATCAGTACCCCTACACAAGCCATTTTTAGATTTATACTTGAATTCAAAAATTTTTCGTTTAAGATCAAAATCAGTACCCCTACACAAGCCATTTTTTTAGATCATTAATGATGGCAAGATCAAAATCAGTACCCCTACACAAGCCATTTTTAGATTTATACTTGAATTCAAAAATTTTTCGTTTTAAAGCACTAACAGATATAGCAGGACTATCTACTGCAATTGCATCATAGTCTTTAGCGCTAATAAATTTGAAATAGATAGCCATAGAAGCAGCAACAGATGAAAGAAACTGAACCGCTATTAAACTGATAAAAAAATACCTTGAAGTTTGAAACCGCGTTACGAATTACAAATTCGCTGGACTCAAAATATGATTCGGTAGTATATGGAGTAATCGATCTTCAAGAGCATCAAAACCAAGGGTCGGTTTTTCAATTCCCGGCTACAGATTTTCCGATTTGCGGGAATCGGAAACGGCTGCTCTTTGAATTGGAATCTCGCCGCCAAGATTTTTACGACTTTCACAGAAACGAAGATCACAAATGCCGTCGGGCTCTGTTGCCGTCTCGCCGCCGACAATACAAGGAGAATAAAAATGTATAGATAATGATCGGAGAAGAAAGCCTAAAAACGAGGGCTAAAAATTTGATCGAAATGAGGAATTAGCAGCGACGAGTAGAGTGTGCACTGTAGCTATTCAATATTTATAAGGTTTTCAGGTCGGTTGGTTTGCGCGTAATATTTGAATTTGCTAACTAATTCAATCCGTTCGTTTTTTAGGAAGCCGAAGGCTTGGTTGCCACGTATTCATAGAAAATATTAATTTAAAAAAATTTTTTTAAAATTTTTGATTTGATTAGATTTTAGGGTCTGAAATATAAATAGAAGAATTATTTACAAATCAATCCTCAAATCTCATCGGATCGAATCTAATTGTGAAAAAATTTCAGTAACATTCTCTTTCAGTCAAGCATAAAAAAAAAAAAATCAAAATGTAAAACGCAGGAGTAAAATATATTTTTATATGAAATCAAAACGTAAGAGCGAGATGATATTTTCCTTAACCGTTGAATGTTAATGTTTTTTTTTTTTGGTCTGTTTTAGTGGTATAAGAATTTTCGTGAATATCCAACGTTAATCTAGCAAGCTTTTCTATTTGTCCAAATTTTTTCTTGAATTGGGAGTTTATAATTGAAAGCTTCCATAGATTTGAGGGGGCTTGATGTGCTTTTTTTTTTCTTTTTTTTTAAGTAACTCAAGCGATCTGTATTTTGTTTCATTAATACTGGATAAGCATGCTTAATAGTTTTTTTTTACCTTACTGATTATTGCATAGAATTTCATTTTTTCAGTCATTATAGAAGTAGTTCTTCCTCATAAGTCATTCCTCCTCCTTCCTCCATTGCCAAGTTGCTACTTTTATTCCTTCTTAAATTCTCCATTGCTAACAATTTTATGGTTCTTCATGGGCAAATTTGATTTAAATATAGCACAAGTTTTGTTCAAATTTCAAAGTCGGCAAATTTGATTTGATTCCTTTTTTTTTTTTTAGCATGAATTTGTTTACCTAATCCTGAGCAGGTAGAACAAACTTTTATGCCAATTTCATTTAATTAATTTTATAAAAAACATTGCAATTTCATCAAAATCAATCAAAATCTATAAATAATAAAATCTCCCAAATTATACTAAACTCTACATAGAATTCCAGTGGAATATGTTGAAATCTTAAAAAATCTTTTAATTCTATCAAACTCAATAATTTTTTTAATATCTAACATAATCTTTCTATAATTAACCCAACTCGCTAGTATAAAGCCAATTGAAACGGGAACGGAAAGCATAAGCTAATGGGCCATGGCCCAATAGGCTTGCTTCAACAAAGCATAATGGGCTCCCTTCGGCCCAAACAAAACCCATCAAGTCACACTCTCAATATGGTTTATTACTTTATAGGCCCAATTGTGCAAAACTATTTAGCCTATGGTTACACTTGTTTCTACAAATCTATCAGAAATTACTTTTTGGAAATTTAGACTATTGTTAAAATTATTTAATTATGATAAAAAGATATATAAGAATGATAAATTATGATTGTCATATAATTAGTGGTAGCTTTTTAATTGGATTTTCACTTTTAATTTGTCAAAATATAGAAAATGTCTTGTTGAAGGGAATTGTCATCTTCTTTTAGAATCACTTAATTTTCAATTAAATTAAATTAAATTTTTAAATAAATATCACAAGTGCAAGAAAATACATAAGATTTCTTCAAAAAATATATTTCTTGCCAAATTTGGTTGAGCTAGGCTAACTTCTTAATTTAAGATTGCAAGTAAGACTTAGGCCCAAAAACCAAAAAGATTATTTGACTTTAGCATTTTTGATTACGTGTTAAGCCAGATTAACTATGTTTCTTACCAAGTCCTCAATTTTCTCTTAAGAACTATCACTTTAAGTTCAATATAGGTTTAGTAAAGTCAATACCAATTCCTAATTGATAGAGTAAGGGAGGGGGAAAGCAATAGAATTACAGCGTGTTAGATCAAATAACGAAATGAAATACAAAGTTTAAAAATAAAAGCATCATACTAAGAAATTGAAAAAAAAAAATGTTATTGGAAGTGGGAGCTTTTATTATTATTATTATAATTATTATTATTATTTTAGTTCCTATCAAGAGTATCATCTCATTTCTATTTAACAGTTAGACGAGAGACTAATTCCTTTTAGTAAAAAAGCGATTATGTTAAAAGTTTTGACTTCACGACTTAATCCTGCAATTATCAAAATAGAATTTAGTATACTTTAACTATTACACCAAACTATTTTCAGCTGATACCAACTTTATGACAACTAACCATAAAAAATTGGTATAATTCATAAATTTGACCCTGAATTTTATCGATTTTTCTTGTGATCCTTTGCACTTTGTGGAAGTTCAATCATAACCAAACTTTCGCATTTTAATAATAATTATGCCCCTCAGCACAATAAAATAAGTTTGCGTGAGTTCAACTATGACCTTGCAATTTCACATTTTATATTGGTGAGATGTATAGTTATTACTGAAATTTGAATTTATAAGATTATGATGGATCCGGGAAAATTCAAGAGGTTACAAAAATAACCACTGAAAATATAAGATCAAATTTATGCATCGTGCCCAATGAATTACAAAGAAAAAGCATAAGGCTGAACTCATAAATTCATCCTTGTACTTTTCACAAAAAAAATTGTGGCACCCTCAACTTTTGTTTTGACTCATCAAACACTTCAATTTATAAAATTGTATCTATTAAATATTTTGTTTGACCCATTGAATGCTTCAACTTATAAAATTAGATCGGTTAAACACTTATTGAAAAAACTAAAAAATGTAAAATTATTGTTCCAAAAGTTGTATTAACAACATATCAAATCAATATTTTGCATATAAAAGCCAAAAAAGCCTTAAAATTTATTATTTTTAGTGTAAGGAGGTGTGAAACTATTATAGAAAATAAAATTCATGGTACCACAAGGTCGATTTTATAATTTAAGGTGCCACAAAATTTTTTTTTTTTTTTTCAAAGTTCAAGAGTTTGAATCATGTATTCGGTCAAGAGTATAGCAAAGTTGAAATTGAACCCAGTAATCATTCTTCTTCTTTCTCATTTCTTCTGTTCACAAGCAAAGCCTGACCATACTGTTTTAAAATCCAAATTCTAATTCTTCAACTTCATATCAAAGACTTCAACACAAAATTTAATATATGTACAGCAAATTTAAACTTCAACCTGCTAATGCTAATGATGTCGACAGTGACTGCCATTTTTGACATAGTAAGCTAAATTCTGTTTTGTGCTATTGCTTGACTAAAGTCTTCTTTGTGTTTGATATTTATTTCATTAATCAAAATGTTTTTTACTTATCCACATTCTAGAAACTCTAGTGAGAATTCAGTGATTCCAAGTGAGAAAATATTTGCTTTTTATTTTTTTCTATTTCTTATTGAAGTATTAAAAAACATTTAACACAAGTTGAAAGAGTTTACGTAATTCAATGAGGTTAGTTGGGTTGGTAAGAATTGAAAATTCCCAATTCTCATTAACTAGAATTCTATTGTATTAGAGAGCACTCAAAAAATATTGTAGAAATAAAATCAATCATCTATTGGGCTAATGTGAGAGATTAAAAATAAATAAATAAATAAATAAACCTTAAATTCTATTGGATAACAATGTTTTTTTTAGTACTCGGCGCGCGAGGGCCTTGATTATGAAATGTTACTCCTTTTAACATTTAATAAAACACTAGTAAAACAGTTGATAGCTGTTAAAATAGCTGATAACTGCTAAAATGATTAATTTTCTCGAACAGAAACTTAATCTCAATATCTCAATATATAGACGTAAAACTGATATGAGAATGTCAATGATTTTTAATATCACTCAGTAAAAAGATTTAATCTTGAACAGGTGAGTGAACTTTTATTAAATCAACTAAAATCAAATTAATGTTGTTCAATTTCAACAAATGAAGTTCATTCACAAAAAAAATTAAAATATTTTGAATTCAATTTGATTTGATTTTCATAAAAAGAAATAAGTTTAAAAAACTCTCAAACATAGCTTGAAGTAAAACCAAACCAATCGAACCTTTTTTTTTTTTTTTCCGAAATGGTTTGGTTGGATTTTTATACACTTTAAAATTCGGTTCAATTTCATTTCAAAAGATTTTGATTTATTTGCTTTAGTTCAGGTTGGTGAAATTCAAGTGATTGACTAAATTTATATTCCACAAATGTAATATTTTTTCCATAGCATTCAACTTAATCAAATAAGTTACACCTTTTTCCACTTATATGACTTTATTTCTAATATGTAATGACTATATAGACATAGAGAAACATATGATTAATTGATTAAAAATAATATTGGTATACTTTATATTTATAAAAAAATTATTAATAATTTTTAAATAATTAAATTGACTTATATTGCCAAAATTGACTCTAACCATTTTTGTAATACTACTGTATGTTGCTTTCTAATTAGTAAAAAAAAAAAGCACTTTTTAATAAATATTTTCTAAACTTTCCTATTTATTTTCATTGATTCCTTAATTAATATATATATTTTCAATATTTCATTCTTTTTATTCAATTTTATTAAATCCCTATAAATAGAATAGTGCATCTATTTTCAATATTATAATTACATAAAAAGCAAGTATGTTTGAAGAATATGTAGTTTTTTTCCTTTCCTTATTATTTTAATACATGTTCTTTTATTTTAAAACACTTAATTTTATTTTAAAAATTCTCCTAATATCCACAAATTTGATTTTCCAACCAAATATTGTGACGTGGATTTTACAATCTATGAAATTTAAATTTCATAAATTCTAAAAGATCCATAGATTTTATTTTAAATGTTTGATATGTATATCATTAATCTAATATTATATTTATATTATATATGTCACATTATATATTGGGGCAACATAGTTTCAAACTAATAATTATTTATTAATTTAAATGTGAATCCCATCAAAGTCTTAATATGAAATCAACAAAGGAAGTATCTTTTGAATAAAAAGTAGAATGAGCATTAGAAATTAATTAATATTCTAATTTCTCAATAGTCTTTGACGTTGTCTTCTTCGTCACTTATCGAAGCTCGTATAAATTATGAATTACTTTAATTTTTTATTGAAGATATTATTTATAATTTCTTCTGATAAATACAACTCAACTACAAATGGGCTATTAGGGCTGTGCATGGTTACGGGGATGTGAATCGAATTAAGGAACTGTACTGAATCGAATTGGAACTGAAAAAGAATTAAGATAGCAGGAACTGAACTGTACCGAACTGAATATAATTTATTATTTTGGTTTTGATTTCAGTTCCTATAAAGAAATATATGGGACCATACCGAAATCATACCAAAATCGAGCTGAACCAAACCAAATTGAAAAATCAATTTGTCCATTTTTTTTTTTAATGTTTCAGCGTATTATGTTATTTATAGGATACCTTAAATTTTATTATTTGAAAACAAAATCTTTATTAATTGATACTCTTTAATTAATAATACAAATGGAATATAAACAAAATTACTTCTTTATTTTTTAATGTATATACTACTACAGTATGATTCTCTCTTTTTTTAATTAGCATATATTGTATATTTTATTTTGATATTAAAATATTTTTATATAAAGGAATCTTGTAATGTATTTTAAAAATATAATAATTTTTAATAAAGGAACTGGAACTAGAACCGGAACAGAATAAAAAAACTGAAATCAAAAACTGAAAAACTGCATTAAAATTTTGGTTTTGTTTGGTTCCAGTGATTTAATCCTCGATTCTAATTCTAGTTCTTAAAAATGACAAACTATATTTTTATTTGATTCCAGTTCTTTTTAAGAACCGTACCAGAACCGGATTCACACAGCCCTTTGAGCTATATATATATATATATATATATATAGAAGTTGATAAGGTTGATGACATCATTTCTTAATTGAATTTCTTTTTTTTTTTTTATGTTGAACTCCCATTGGAGCTAGGTGCGGTGGAAAGAGGAGAACATCGTAATTGGAGCTAGCTAGGTGACAAGAAGACTATGTTAGGACTTTATTATTTATTTGTTTAATGAAAATGGAGTTTTACGTACTGATATTACCAAACTTCAAAACATTACAGAGGAGTGAAAGGGGGTGAGAAACCCATTCATCCTCAGCAGACCAGAAAAAAAATTTTTTTGTTAAGACATGAATTAATCGGTTGTCTGATTTCTTAACAAAACAGTATTAAAACACTTATTTAGAAAAAAAAAAATGAATATATACATTAAAAACAGACACTTGTAGTCAAAATTTGAAATCTTTACCGCAAAAATAAAATGTATTAGAAAGAGTTAATGGAAGTGGAGGTTGGAAAAAGAGAATGGGAGAAAGAGAGGATGAGACATATTGGTTATTTTTTTTTTTTTTTTTTTTTTATTTTTTTTTTTTTTTTTTTTTTTTTTTAACGGACAGATGTTTTAATTCGTCAAAAATTAAATTCGGAACATCTTAATTGGTCGTTCAAAATAGACAATACCTCGTAGACTAAACATTACTCGCTTGTCCTAAAAAAATAATTCATATTTATTTTTAATTTGTTTTAAAATATAGTTCACTTTCCTTTCTAACATTATAATTAATTTTTAAATTGTCTATTATATGTTTATTAAATTTTATTTTATTTTCAATGACTTTCATTAATTCTTACTTATTATTTTAATATAATAATTGTTCATGTATTATTTAAGATGGGCATAATAAAAAAGTTATATAAATAAAATTGTTTTTTAACTATAATAATTACTATTTCTTAATATATGTGAAAATAAAAAGTGAATTATCGGTTCGGGACTGAGGGAGTGTTTACCCAATATATATTTTTGTTCAATAAATCTACTGAGTTAAGGAGGACAGTGGCCCTTCACTCATTAAAATGTAAAAAATTTACTTTCCTTAAATTGAAATAAATTGATCAAACAATACCAAGATTAAGATATGCACTAATATGAATACTATATTTGCTTAGGATGTCCACAGCAGAGCATCAATGTGCACTAAAATAACCAAATAAAAATTGGTCCTAAGCAAATAATTTCAGCAAGATCAAGAAAGACACTAGAATAAAGACAAGACGCATCTTTCTAGTCTTCCACTCACTTGTTTTATTCGAAAAAAACAAACTTAACTCAACTAATTTAAACAAAAATAAATAATATATATATATATATATAATATATATATAATATATATATATATATATATAATGATAAATCCTTAAAAAAACTTGTTATAATTAAATTGCATTAAACTTAATTTTTTATTGCCTAAAATTTTTTCACATAATTTCATTGTGAATACGTGCAATTATGTCTCTTTCAACGTCACTTAGAGGTGCCAAAATTGCAAGTTAGGTGATTACTTGCAATTTAGGTAGTGGACCTTGACCAGTTACCTTATCAGGACAAGAGAAGTCTACTGGCTATTGCACACAAGTTTGCTTCATATGGCAAAATTATGATTTTTAATAATAATTAAATTGCTTTCAGGGTCATAATATAATTTCATTGCAAAATCTTATCCATATAAGTTTTAAAATTTAAAGACAAATCAGTAATTTTGCCTAATAATATGGATATAATGATAATTTTAACTATAACTCAGGGACTAAATAATTAATTACCCTTCATATGTTCTTTCTTATTTAGTATAGAGATTAAACCTATAAATTTGAATAATATTTTTGAAAATAAAAATAAATTTATTAAAATCTCATGAAGGATTTGACAAAATTGTTGTCATGTGGGTGAGAATAATGATAATTAAGGATTTGACGCGTTAAAAGCGCTCATCCTCTCTAATTTTTTCTCGATGCAAACGTGTGGGGATTCTATACGTTTGAATCTATTTTTTTCTTTGAGCAACGAAAAAAAGTGTTTGTTGTTTTTTTATTCTTTTTCAAATGTATGTGGGTTCCACATGTCAGAGGAATCCCACAATAATTTTTGATATTTCATAAGCATTTAACGGAAAAATTAACCATTGGAGCTTATAGTAGCATAACGGAATTATAATGGAAGAACTAAAAGTGTAATTTTGAAACCGAAGGTCCTTAAAAATGTATTTGATAAAAACTTAGGTACAATATAGTAATTACCCAAGAAAACCACGTCTATATGAAAGAGCTGATCGTAAAAACAAAACTAAAATATATACTTTGATTGATTGTTGATGGGAATGGAAAAATTATTATAACCGAAGGGTTTGTTGTGACTTAGCTTTCCTATTCTAACAAATGAGAGGACCAAGTCTCAAAGATACCTTCTCTATGAATTTGTCTGTATAGCTGTAGCATGTTGCATTTTTTTTTTTTTTAATAAAAATTCGCTAATTAAATCAATAATCAAATGCAAATAGATCGTAAAGAAAAAAGCTCCTCTCTTGAAGACCGAACACGAAATAAGCTATCATAAAAAACAGCACCAATAGGATTTGTTAATTTTATTGAAATCAGACAATAAAAAATTATGGTGAACTTAGAAAATAAATAGATTTTTAAAATGTTTCACTGGATAAATTATTAAAAGACATTTCAAAAATTTCACTCCATAAAAATTTAAATTTTAAAATTCGTATTATTAAAAAAATTTAGGTTGGTTTTCATCAGGTGCTAATTAATAAGCTTGATTACATTTGGATTATTAGTCTAATTAATCAAAAAGAAATCATCTACTTTTAAATACTTATTCTGATGAATAATCTTTAATATAGCCTAGATCTATTATTCATAAAATTTGTTTAATAGATATACACAATGAGCAGGAGTGTACCTTGATCCATAACAGTAGATCTATGTTATAGATTACCTCGTTGCGACAATTCGATTCTCACCGTAACAGCAGATATGTGTTTCTTCACTCTAGCCTTTTTGTCCGTAAGTTTTCTCATAATGTTCAGAGAATTATCAACAGTTACGGGAGTTTTTTTTCACACTCTTTCAAACAACCTATCACCGTACGTGTTTGATGTAACTGTCACACTCTTTTTTTTTTTTTTTTTTTTTTCAAACTACCTATCACCTACGTGTTGATGTAACTGTTCACACTTCTTTTTTTTTTTTTTTTCTTTTTACACTAAGCTTTGATTCTCTTTATCTTTTATAAAGCAGAGCAAGGGTTATTAAATCCCTAACTGATCCCTTATCCATGTAAACTCAATAACTATTATTTTTGGGTCACCTTAGTTAAAACAACCTTTAACCATATGGGTTACTTATAGATTATTAAATAATCTAAACAACTTTTTTTTTTTTTTTTTCTTTACACTAAGCTGTTGATTTCTTTATCTTTTATAAAGCAGAGCAAGGGTATTAAATCCCTAACTGATCCTTATCCATTAAACCCAATAACTATTATTTTGGGTCACCTTAATTAAAACCAACCCTTTAACCATATGGGTTACATATAGATTATTAAATAATCTAACATATTCATCTATTAATCCATGCTGCAACCCATATCAATAATGTGAAATCTACATCTTCATTTGATCTCATCTATTATAATTTTGAATTTTTAATAATTAAATTCAGTACCTTCAACTACTACCTACAATTAAAAAATAATTCCATCAAATTGCATTATAATGAAAATCCTTGCACACTTCAAAGCAAATTCCATTAATTAATTATTACAACTACATCAAAAAAACAAAAATTAAACATGTTAATTTAACTACATTAATTAATTAACAATCTAGCTGTCCAACTTAAATTTTTGTTCAACGTAGTCCAACTTGAAGGGCTTAAAAAAATTGGAAGCCTCAGTCTCCAAAAATTCAAGTTGCTTTCTAAATAGATGCATATACAATATCCAATCACCATTCTCCAATGGACTAGGCATAGGCATTATATATCCTGCATTGCCACCCCAAGGAAAATGATATGACCCAAAAATTGGCTTTCCCCATCCAAAATCAACCTTGCAAACTGGAAATCTTTGCCCTGAAGACACCACAAATGCTGGTCCATCATCTTTACCATTTGCATATACTTTTGCCACACATTTTACTGGCCTATTAGCCTCCACCCAATCAATTAACCCTAGAAAATGCTCCTTTGTCACTGCTTTTTTTAAAAAATCATGGACGATATCCGCCATCGAACTTAAATTATGATTAACAAGTTCGTCAATTCTCTCACTGTGGTAGGGAATTGAAAGTACGTTTCCGAAATATCTTCCCATCTTCGTATCATTCAACTTGGACCTTCCATCCACAATTATTCCTATCTTTGACATTTTTACTTTACCATTGCTCGGATTACTTTTATTTGCGTATTTCGCGATTAATTGCCACAAAAATGCGCTGAATGACTCGAGTTTAGTACATTTGAATCCACTTGAGCTAGCAATGTACTGTAAATTGGTGAGCTCCTCAGCTTTTACGTAATATATTCGACTTACAATACGATCATGATCATCATTATTAAGTTCAGGTTCTTCTGGAGATATAAATGAGGAAATCGGTACGTATAAATCGTCCATAGAAGTATCAATACAGCGAATTGGACGTCTAGGGTTCAGAAGTGATCGTCTAAAAGAAGGCAGAATAGAAATTGGTTTAGATTGAGCAGTCTCTGCCCATGACACAAGGAACATGTTGGTTGAATAGGCATCTGCAATGCGATGATCAAATGTACATCCCACCACTATGCCCCCACATTTCAGTTCTGTTGCCTGAAAAAATTAGATTAATTATATTAATTAGTAAGGTCAATGTCAATAATTGATTGATTTGTAAACAAATTTAATTTGTCTACACGCTTTATATGTGTGGGGTAGGGACTTTATTAGTACACTATATAGAGATTAGTGTACTAATTAATAATTTTCAATCTTGCATATCTAATTCACATATGTCAAAAAATGATTCCATATTGTCATTTTTTTAATATTGGGAGGATTAAAACATGATCATTATTGTTGGCTAATCAAAACTCAGATATAGACATTTTCAAATCAGTATGAATAAACATTTTCAAGGCATTATGGACAATTTGATCAGACTGTGCCACGTATGTAAATTTAACAACACTCTTTTATTTATTTATTTTAATAAATAGAAAGGTTACCTGAAATGAGTTGACTTTGTAACGCAAGTAAAGAGAGAGAACACGACACTCATAAACAACTCTATAAAATATTTATATATATGCTGATTAAGATTAATTTTGGTTTACTTGAATATATAAATTATAGATAATAGTTTAAAAAAATTTAAACTGTCTCCTTTTCTTATACCATAATACAATTTTTTTGTAATCCAATCAAAAAGAGCTAGGATTTGAAGATTCTTAAATGGATGGAACGTTCTTACTTGTTGTCTGATGCAAAATTAGGTAGGTAGCAAACCCACTTGGAAAAATTGAACTAACTTTTGAAATTAGTGATATTAATTATAATAAATATGAAAAAGAAAATGAATTCCATCCATCCCACATTTTTATATAGATTAAGAAAATTAATTAATGTATTTAAATAATTTTTTTGAGTATTGGAAGAAGAGGTTTCGAACCTTGATCTATAGTCAGTCTCATATGCATTTACCATTGAGCGATGTTTTGGAGTGCAATATACTTAAATAATTAATTGTATGAAAACTTTTTCTAATATATCTTTATATTAATATTAGATGTTATTGCTGATAAAGAATTGAATAAATAAATTATTAACAATTTAATAATTTAAAAATTAGTGTACTTTTGAAAACTAAAGTAACCTATAATTTGTGATAAATGGAAAAAGATATCAAGTCCATCTTTATAGGACTGTGTAAGTATTCATTATTTTATTAGTTTAAAAATAATAATTCCACTTTCAGGCTCCAATTACAAATATCTAATTTTCATTAAAAAGCCAACCCTAAAATTAAAAATTTTATCAGAACAAATTTTGTTTGTTTGTTTTTTATTTTTTTTATTTTTTTAATTAATAAAAGAATTACAAATATATTTTAATGATCATATACTGAAAACAAGAAAATTCTAAATAATAAAATATAAAAAGAGGTAATTAATCAAGTTACCTGAATAGCAAGTACACCATCTTTCTTCTTAGGAACAAGTTTACCTTCAACACTATGATCAGGATTATACAAGTCAAGATCTTTAAGCTCAATATCAGCAAAACCCTCAAAAAAGTCAACACCACGGTTGTTACAGAGCAGCTCAGACTCACCCAATGGGTTAGACACAACTTCACCACCGAATCCATAGTATGACACAAGAACTTGAGCCATGGCTTTTTTAAGAACACTAACCATGGACCCAAACGATGCTGTTTCAGGTTTCTTGTAACATAGAAAAACACCAACATCAAGTGGTGGAAGAAGCAAGTCTAAGTTGGAGAGTGGCAGCCAATGTTCTTGCACTGGTAGTACGGCTGCCACCACCTCCTTCTTTGTCACTGTGACGGTGAAATAGCCGTCATCTCCTTTAGAACTCATATCTTTTAGAGCAACTATGCAAATAATGGTTGGTGTGGATTTGTCAGGGAGAGAAATGGATGTCTATTTATAGGCAAAAATTGGTTATTACAGTATATACGCAGTAAGCTTACAGTTTAGTCTACAGTATAAATCAAACTTATAATAATAATAATAATAATAATAATAATAATAATAAAAGAAGCACAGACCAAGACAAGCTATAAATCTAGAATAGAAGGCAAACACATGGTGATAGTTACAGCAGGACAACGTTACTGAAGATGATAATTCTATTCAAAGAAAACAAATTGAATGTAAAAAGCTGTGGTTTGCTAATGGACTGAAACATAACTCGTTTGTTAGTAGCTCTTTTTGAGTTTAAGCCCAGCCCAAAGTAGCCCATCTTTAATTTTCTTTTCTTCTTGGGTATTTTCACACCTGTAATTTTATAAGTTGAAGCAGTAAAAATTGAAACAAAATTTTTCTTGAAAAAGTACAATGGTTAGTGTATATATTATATCTATAATCTAATTTTGAAAAAAAAAATAAAACTCAATAAAAAGGGAATATTCTTTCCAACTTTTAATAAATCAAAATGCTTAAAGGAAAATAAAAATATCTTTTAAATTTTAAATAGTTTTATCAAACTAGCTATTTATTTTAAATTGATTTATAAATTAAAAAAATACTAATCCCTCTTGCCACAAAATTATACTTCGAAATATTTTTTATACAGTCTAAAAATAGTTAGTTAAATTAGTTTAATTATAATTTTTTTTTCTTATTTTTTCATAGCTAAAGATTGTACATTAATAGCTCTTTGAAACTTTCAAAATAAGATGAACAGTTTGTATACCAAGATTTCAAAATTAATTATTTTAAAATTTTTTCCCGCTATCTAGTAAATTTAATTAATATTAGTTATTTACAAAAATTATTATATAAGGTAAAAAAACATTTCTAAAAATGTAAATTGAACTATTATTTTGTAACACCCAATAAGAAAAGCAAGACTATAATTTTGAGAAACAAGGAATATGTTTTAAGTAAAAAAATTAAATTAAATTAACTAAATCCAAATATCCTATAAGTCAATATTCATACATGTGTAATTAATATCTTGATTATAATATCATATATCAGAGATTTTTTCAAAAAAGATTTTAACAAATGGCAACAATATATCTAAGAATGAGATTGACTTGACTAGACTTCATTTATAAATTCACCCACCAATCAAATTAATGAAAAATAATTTTTTTTGATCGAAACAAATGTGTTTCTAACCATTCACTTCGATAACAACATTAAGTTCAAAGTGAATAAATAGAATATATCATCACAATTACAAAATCACCAATTATCAAACTAAAGAAATGAGTGCATTGAGGGGCTATCTAACCCTAATCACCATATTAGGGTTAGCCATGAGCCATTCTGGTGTTACAGCAAGACCCAAATATCACGTTTACATTGTCAATGGCTTGAATGGCAATAACTTACTGGAAATACATTGCCAGTCCGATGGTGATGATTTAGGGCATCATGTCCTTCCAGTTTCTGGTAATTTCGGGTGGAGTTTTAGTAGAAACATTTTTGGAACAACAGTTTTCTGGTGTGAAATGAAGTGGGCTCATGGCCATGGCATCTTCAAAGTCTTTTGGAACGATGAAGAACTTCGAAGGAGCTGCAATATGAATTGTATTTGGTTGGCTACAACGTATGGTTTGTACTTGAAGGACGCGCGCTTAAATCAATTTCAATTCATGTACCAATGGCTTAACTGAAGCTATTATACCTATTAAGATTTTATATGTCAAGACCTTAAAAATATATATATATATATATATATAGTAATAAAAATTTAACAAAGTTTATTATTATTATATCATAAATCAATTACTTTTGAGGCATGCATATCAAATAAGTTCAATTAAAATTAAAAACCGACAAAAAAAAAAAAAAAAAAAAAAAAAAGCTTCCATGTCAATAGTGGGATATGAAATTATATACTAGAAGTTATGAATAAATTTTGTAACTTATGTACTATTCGTTTTGTAAATAAATAGAATGATAAAATAAACTTTTTTATAAAGTGTTTTATTTAATTAAATTATCTATTACTTGATTTTTATAATTTATTTGAGAGTATCTCATGTATTAATTATATATGCATAAAAGCAAATTGGGTATTGTATGATTGGTTTTCTTACCTCATGTAGAAAATGTAAGGAGTGAGAATGGTGAATGTCATTCAAAGGGAGCGCTACCCCCTACTGTATAGCTCACAATATTATTCAGATCCATTTACAGCTCACAATGTTATTCAAATCTATTGGGTCTCCCATATATCCAAAATATATATATATATATAATGGATTATATATTTTTTTGCCTAGAGTTTATCAGTAGCCTTATATAAACGAAAAGAAAATTTTAATTTTGTCATCTAAAATGTTTGAATTATTTATGTTAAAAACCTTGGCGTATGAGGCTTGATATTATGGGCACTTTTTTTATAGCATCTCTTTTTTTTTTTCAATAATTATGTTATTCAAAATCAACCGATCTCCAACTAAATCAGGCTCGAGTAACCTAATATGTCTTATTAATTATAAAGAACGGTGGAGTATTGTTATTATTATTATTTTTTTTAGAAGGAATAAGGGAACATTATTAAAAAGGTATTTTGTTTGATTATAAATCAAGTCAAACCTAACTTTTTAAATAGATAGTAACAAATAGTAAAATAGTATTTGATTTGATTTATAAGTTAAAGAAATGACCTAAAATAAGTCAAAAATTATAAAGTAAGGTATTTATAATAAATCTACTTTGGTTGGTTATAAGAAGGTTGCCTTAATTATAATATTATCTTCTTATTTTACAGCTACTCCTTAATTAAGAAAAATACCATAAATGTAAATATAAGCTACCTTTTTTTAAAAAAAAAAAATTAGACATTTTATTTAATTAATTTACTTATTTAATAATTTTAATACATTAGTATTTATTAAACCAAATACTTTAATTATTTTAAAAGTTTTACATATAAATTCTGTTCAACAACAACTTTGACGTAATATTTTGTATTTTGACCTAATCAAAATACTATCTCTGTTATTTATGGTATTCAGTGTCTTAACATTTATACTACTGTTTAGAGTTTGAGGGAACAGATTATAAAACGTTATTACTATTAACGTTTAATGCAATGCTAATAAAACAACGGATAACTATGAAGATATATAACAACTAATTTTGCCAAAGATTGCCATAGTTTTACGAGCAAACTATTTTATTTTTTTAGTTGACTTATAAATTTAAAAATTCTACATTTTAAGTAAAAATTAAATTGAGTGACAAAACTTAAGACCCTCTAAATCAACACTGATTGGTATCAAATTAATATCTTGATTATAATATCAGAACTCAGGGATTTTCCAGATAACATTTTTTACAAATGACAACAACAAATCTAAGAATAATTTGATAAAAACATTAAATTCTCACTAAATAAATTAATATATCATCACAATTACTAAATCAAAATTATCAAACCAAAACCATGAGTGCTTTGAAGAGCTATGGTACCCTAATCACCATATTAGCTTTAGCTACGAGCCATTCTTGTTTAGCTTTAAGACCCAGATTCTACATTCACATTACAAATGGTTTGAGTGGCAATAACGAATTGAAAGTCCATTGCGAGTCCAAAGATGATGATTTAGGGTCTCATGTCCTACAAGTTTCAGGTCATATGCAATGGAGTTTCAGGAGAAGTATTTTTGGAACTACAGTTTTCGAGTGTGAGATGGAGTGGGCTCATGGACATGGCTCCTTCAAAGTTTTCTGGGAATACAGACCACTTCTGAGAAGATGCGATTTTAAGAATTGTTTTTGGGTGGCGAAAGATGATGGTTTATATTTGAAGCACATTAGATTAAATACATTTGATTTGATGTATCCATGGGTTAAGTGAACCTATACCTAAGCCTTTTTTTTTTTTTTTTTTTTTTTTTTAAATGTGAACAGTCAAATTTTCATTATTCGACAGGCATGCCTATCCAATATACATATAGACTCTGAGCCTTAAAAAATTTGATGAAAACAATAAAACATTTATTTTGTTCATTCAAATTATTGGGAATGTGAATTGATATGCTGGTCTTTTAATGCGATAAATTTTTTATGTTTTTTTTTTTTTTTTTTTTTTTTTAAAATTTTTTATGACAGTCAATTTTCTTTCGAGGCATGCATCAAATCATTAGACTCGACTTAAAAATTGATGAAAAAATAAAATTATTTGTATCAATATTGGAATGTGAAATTGTATGCTGCAAATTATGCATAATTTTTGTATTTTTCATGCATATTCATTCAATTTTTATTAAGGGTGTGAAATTGATTAATTCAAACTGCTAAAGTTGATTGAATAAATGGACTTTACCAAATTTATAAACCAAATGGAATTTTAATTAGTGGGTGATGGAACCAAACTGAAGAGAAGTTTTTCAATTTAATTACTTGGTTAACCATAAAACACTCCCACAGCAGTAATCAGGCAATCAATAGAATTAAAAGGGGCAAAAGAGAGGAAAAAACTCTGAAACAACTTACTTTTCAAATTAGGTTTTGTTCAGTTAAACCAAAAAACCTTTTTTTTTTACCAAAAATCGAACATCTGAAATAATGAAAAATCATAAATTAGTAACTAAATTGAACTGACTAATCTAAAAAACAAACCATTGATTTGGTTTAATTTTTTCATTTTAACCGTTCTTTTGTTCATCCTAATTTTTAATGGATTTTAACTTAATAATACTTGTCTACTTCACTACAAGAAAATCACCGATTAGCAACGAAAAATTTTAAACAGATTGATCCATTCTACTTGGAAATGGATCAGAAGGGGATTGGATTAGAAATAGATTAGCAACGAAAAATTTTAAACAGATTGATCCATTCTACTTGGAAATGGATCAGAAGGGGATTGGATTAGAAATAGATTAGCAACGAAAAATTTTAAACAGATTGATCCATTCTACTTGGAAATGGATCAGAAGGGGATTGGATTAGAAATAGATTAGCAACGAAAAATTTTAAACAGATTGATCCATTCTACTTGGAAATGGATCAGAAGGGGATTGGATTAGAAATAGACGTTGCGAGATTAGTCTTTATAGAAACGGAATTGGGGAATTTGGATTAGCAACGAAAAATTTTAAACAGATTGATCCATTCTACTTGGAAATGGATCAGAAGGGGATTGGATTAGAAATAGATTAGCAACGAAAAATTTTAAACAGATTGATCCATTCTACTTGGAAATGGATCAGAAGGGGATTGGATTAGAAATAGATTAGCAACGAAAAATTTTAAACAGATTGATCCATTCTACTTGGAAATGGATCAGAAGGGGATTGGATTAGAAATAGATTAGCAACGAAAAATTTTAAACAGATTGATCCATTCTACTTGGAAATGGATCAGAAGGGGATTGGATTAGAAATAGATTAGCAACGAAAAATTTTAAACAGATTGATCCATTCTACTTGGAAATGGATCAGAAGGGGATTGGATTAGAAATAGATTAGCAACGAAAAATTTTAAACAGATTGATCCATTCTACTTGGAAATGGATCAGAAGGGGATTGGATTAGAAATAGAAGAGAACCGCTTTTAAGAACGGATTAGAAACATATATTTTAGAAACGGATGGTTCCATTGTTATGTTGACAGGAAACCTGCGAGCATAGTTTAGAAACGGATTGGAAATGGAATTAGACATGAAAAGTGGAAATGGATAACATATCCCTAAAATGATTAGTCAAAAGTTTGACTTATTTTCAAAGGAATAGAAACAGAACATGGAAACGGATTTTGGAGAACGGATCGATTATATTTCTAACAAGTTGAACATGATTAATATTTATGCTCCAACTTGAGAGAAAGAGCATTATGGAAAGTCAAATATTGTATATATAAATAGCTTATGGGATACAAGGAATATACTTTCCTAATATAGGTTAGAGAAACTTATATATACAATTCTTGACCTAAGAAACATGTATAGAACACATTAAAATTCAGTTTACAATGGCAAAACAGTCTTAGCTAACCAATACATACTTTACACCAAGGCAACCAAGCTATATCGTTCTCTACACATGAAGTAAAGACTAGTATTCCAAATCACCTTCTAGAGTTCTATATGAATGACACAAGACACTTCTTCTTTTGATTGCAACATTAAACCATCCAAAACTGCATATATAACTTCCCCATCAAAATGACCTCTATCTTCAACAGTAAATGCATAAGATTTCCCATTGACTTCCACTAGGCTCTGTCCTGGAGACTTCCTCACTCTATTACTTTTCATCATTGTTCTTATCCTTGCAACTCCATCCCACCTTCCAGCTGACGCATATATGTTAGCCATCTCCACATATGGAAAAGACACATTAGGTTCAATCTCAAAAAGATGATGAGCAGCATATTCACCAATCTCAATGTTGCGGTGTATCTTGCAAGCACTAAGCAATACACTCCATATGGCAGTGTCAGGCTTGATAGGCATATCCTGAATAAACTTCAATGCTTCTTTTAGCTTTCCTTTACGTCCAAGAAGATCCACCATACTGGAATAATGATCCAATCCAGGATTTATTTTATAAATTTTGGTCATCATATTGAAACACTTCCATCCTTTCTCAAGAAAACCGCCATGAGTGCAAGCTTGGAGTATGGCAAGAAATGTTATGTGATTTGGTTTCAATTCCAACTCTATCATCCGATAGAAAAGGTTCAAAGCTTCTTCAAATAATCCATTCAAAGCACAACCTGCGATCATGGTTGTCCAGGAGACAACAGTTCCATCAGGCATGGTATTGAACAGATCCCAAGCATCATTTATGCTTCCACATTTTGCATACATGTCTATCAACGCATTGCAAACTACAATATTATGTTTTAAACAATTAGAATTGGCATAAGCATCAATCCATTTTCCAACTTCAAGTAGACCAGTATGGCCACAACCTGAAATAAGAGAAAGTACAGTGACCAAATCAGGTTTCTCACCAGCTGCTTCCATAGCATTAAACAGAGTCAAGGCCTCATCCATATCACCTTTCTCAGCATAACCACTTATCATTGCAGTCCACGTAACACAACTCCTGTTACATGTGCTGTCAAACAAACATCTTGCAGAGTAAACATCTCCACACTTGGAATACATAGATATAAGAGTATTAACCACATGAATATCTGAATCACAACCAAATCTAATTCCATGAGAATGAACTTGCCTACCTTGAAACATCGTCTCTGGCTGTACACATGAAGAAAGCAGGCTAACGATAGTACTAATATCAGGAAAGAATCCATCCCGCAGCATCAATTTGTAAGTATTCAGAGCATCAAAAAATTTCTCAAGATATGCATACCCTGCAATCATAGAATTCCAGGAGACTAGACTTCTTAAACCGACTTCAATTCTATTAAAAATTGACTCAGCCATCTCCAAATCACCACATTTAGCATATAAAGATATCCAAGTATTAGCAACAGAAACATCAAAATCTATTCCAATTCGAATTCCCAGTGAGTGAACACCCTTAGCTAATTCCAAATTGTTAATACAAGATATTGCCTGGCTAGTTGCCATTATTGTAACTGAATCCGGCAAGATCCCAGTAGACCTCATGTCCTGAAAAATATGAAACACTCCATCAAGAATGCCCATTTGCGCAAAACCCATAAGCATCACATTCCAGGAAGCAACATCCTTTTTAGGCATTTCTACAAACAGTTTATAACCGATGTCTGGTTGATGGCATTTCATATACATATCAAGCATTGCTGTTTGTACAAAGATATTGGAGCAAAATGGGGACTTTACTATATGGGTATGGATGATTTTGGAATAATCAAGGTTGGACATATTGGCGCATGCTTTGGATATGAAAGGGAAGGTAAAGTTATTGGGTTTTATGCCATTTTGTTTCATTTGGCGAAAGATGAAAAGGGCTTTTTGGGCATTGTTCTGATTCACAGCTTCTCTTATTTGAGAGTTCCAGATATCAATTGTCATGGACAGATTTGGAAAACGGTTCAGGCACAGTGGAACTGAAGATGTAACCATCTCATATTGCTTTCTTGGCGGAGAACTAACTTGTAATTAAATCAGCTCTGTTTGAAGCTTGGAATGGCAAGCCCTCTTTGTTTAGTTAACAGCAGAACATCAAAAACTTCTTCTCCCTCGTTTAATACTATCATCTTTTTTCAATAATTTTCTTCCTACAACTCGCTTTCTACAATAGCCGTAAATAATGTTTTTTTATAAATAATTGGTTATAATATTGAAATTAGTTAAAAGTATTAAGTTTTGAATTTATATTATGTATTTAAAATTATAAAAAAAAAATTTCTTTTTCAAAAAATTTATTGTTAAATATAAAAAAAGATACATAAAAATGATAAAAATGGTAAGTTATAGTAGTTGTTGATGACCAGTAGTAATGGCAGTCACTAAATGTTTATGATGTTTCGAAAACCAATAAATCATTTTTTTAAAAGATTATATAAAAATTAAAAATGGAAAAAAGGCTTCTTATTGTGTTACAAATAAATAAATATCTATTTCAATCTAATAAGTGCACCTTCTATGATTTTTTTTTTTTTTTTTTTTTTTAAACCAATAATCATTTTTTTGTGAAAAGATTATATGAAAATTAGAATTGAATAAAGGCTTCGTTGGTTGTGTTACAAAATAATAATATATTCGTCATTTCAATTAATAAGTGACTTCTTTTTTTTTTTTTTTTTTTTTTTGTTAAAACGATGCCTCATCAAATAAATAAAACCCAAAAATAAAAAACAGATAGGACTACAAAAATGGAAAAAAAATTGTAAGAAATAATATTATAACCATGCCATGCTCTTCAAAGTCTGCACTGAAACATAATATTTTGTCAGCTGAAAACACAAAGAATTGCAATCCTTTTCATTTGAAGATCAAACTCGAAAACACCGTCAAATAATGAATGGATTGGTTGTTCCTTTACAAGAAAATTTCCCAAAAAAAGAAAAAAGTGATAATTAGCCCCAAATCAGAATGCTAGAAAACAATTAATGAAAAAAATGTGAAAAAAAAATGGACAATTGGGTCAAGGAATGACAAAAATTAATTCCTAGACACATTTACAAAATTTCAAACAGATATAGAACAGAGATGCTCCAAGACTTGTCTGATGTTAGGTCTCTCATTTATAGGGAGAATACACCGTAGTGATAAAGCAAGCAAATCATCCATTGCTTTCGACGGTTCTTCTCCCCCTGAAAGATCTCTGTCAATACAGTCCATTCGTCTACCTTCTTGATCACACAACCGAACCCAATCTGGAAGATCAACTGCTCCAGATTGACCAGATATTATATCACCAGCACTTCTTCTGGTTAACAATTCCATCAAGATCACTCCAAATGCGTACACATCGGCTTTAAATGAAGGGGTTGGTTTAGATGCACTAGCAAGTTCTGGAGCACAGTATCCAAGTGCTCCTAGATTCAGTATTTGTTCTGCAATACCAGCAGGTGTCATCAAGCGGTGAAGACCATAATCAGTAAGACGGACATTATAACCAGAACCTTCTAGAAGTATATTTGATGGCTTCAAATTTCCGTGGAGAATGCCTCTGTCGTGAATGTACAAGAGACACTGAGCAACATCAACAGCGACTTTCAGTCTTTGGCTGAATGATAAAAGTGAGTACCTTCGAGGTGTAGATTCTGTATAACATAAATTGATGAGACACTCATCAGCTAAGGGAGAAAAAAAGCTCGTTGAAAGATTAAAAAAAAGCCTTGCAAACAATTCTACAAGCATGTGCAAGTGATGCGAAGATCTCTCCAGTATCTCCACGATTTTTTCATGGTCAGTACTAGGAAAAATTAGTAACACCATCTAACCTAATTGTATCACGCTAGAACTGATATATTCATTGACTACTAGAATAGCTCCATAAAAGGTTTTGGACACTGTTGAAGATTGTTGTGATTCCCCAAGTCCCCAGTTGAAAAAGGGAATATCAATATGATCTTATAGGTAATGACCTATGTGAACTACTGACAATGAAAACCTAGTTTTGGCCTCTTGGTTAGGCCCAAACCCCGAGTTAGTGACAACTCTATTCTGAAAATAAAGGTTACACCTATTAGATGAAAAGAGAAAGATATAAATAATAAGATATAGAAGCCAATCTGGCAACTTTCCATTTTAGTCATCAACGTAAACTCTAGTCCTACTCCCATAAATCCCATGCCAGTTAAGATCACATACCATGCTGAAGCTAAAATGCAAATCACATGAGACCCCTGAATTTCGAACACACTGGAAACATGTGCGCACAAACAGCCACAAATAGTTATAACCTAGCAATTCAAATCCAAGTTATGGTGCAGTAACTTAACAAAAATCAGACTCTAGGAAATTTTTGTCTGCCCAAAGCTAGATGAAAAAAAAAAACTCATGGCCAAGCGACATCTCAAACCGCAAGCAAAAGCACATTCTCCCAGTTAATAACCAGACAATCTGGCGCAGCCAATCAAATCACAAGGGAACAAGTGCATCATGATCAATTATTTAAACATGTGCAAGTGCAAGGCATATTTCACTTGAGCCATAGACGCCTCAAGGAATTAAAAACTTAACCTTAATGTAAAGTTTTTCAAATTTCTTCCTCACTATTTCAATCTTGGACACTTAAATCCATCCTTTTTTAAAGCCACTGCTGCCGAACAGTCTCTGATTCTCCTCCTGAATTAAGGACTTAAGCAACAAAGCAGCTAACTAGAACTGCACTCTCGCAACATCTACTTCTCATACCCCTTCCCTTTTAAGTGCCAATGGTTTTTTTCTATTTCCAGTTGCAGAACTACTTAAAACCAAACACCTTGTTCTCATTCTAACGTTTACTACATCCATATTCATCTCTCAAGCATATTAGATCAGTTACTATTCATCATTCCAGTATTTCCACCAGAACTTATCCAAATAGATATCGTCGCTGATGATCCTACAAAGATCTATGGAAAGGCACATGTAGGGGGTGAGCAAATGGTAATGTTAACTGAAAACTAAACCAAACTGGTTATATTTCAGTAATTCGGTTTGGTTAGATTTGACTTCAGTTTTTGTTAAATTTCAGTTAAGTTTTAGTAATAAAAAAAATAAAAAAATAAAAACCAAAATTAACCGATTCGAAGATGTATGTTGAAATTTCTGTCATTTTGTGTTTGTTTTTTACTTATTTCTAGAGTTTTGGTTTGGGTTGGGTTTCCCTCTTCGATTTTATGAAAATTCAAACCAAACAGACCAGACCAACCACTCCCTCACCCCAGCAGTAAGGTCTACAAAATCCACTTTAGAGTAACTATGTAAATTGGCTTACTAAATTATTATTAGCATGAAAGGTTACTGTCTACTACACTACGAATGTTCTGCAGATGCAAACACTACACTGACCTTCAATTCCGACATAGCTGCCAAAATTTACAATTTTATGTGATCAACAGAACACTGCTCTCAGATCTATACTAAGACTACAGAGTTCCTAAAGAGGTACTTGTTAACTAATTAGATTATGATAAACCAGTCTACTCTCAGTTTACTCAAACTGGTTACTACTCATTTTCAGAGACTAAAGCTAGGATTTGTGGAACACAAGATTAGGGCTCAAAGATAACGAGGCAGATATTGTCTTCAGGCAAAGGAGAAAAAGTTAAGCAAACAAATTTAAACGTCTAGCTTCATACTAACAGGATCTAGGACTCAAAACCTATCAAGAAATGACACAAGTTCTAGGTGTTAGAAATTGCAGCACAGCACAAGAAGACATAATTGCTTGATTTTATTCAATGAAAAAACTGACTAATAGGCATTACTTATATTTTTAGACTCAGTTCCTAAGCCCACAAGTACTTGAACTCCATTTAAAAACTAAAAATAACTATCAGACTTACTAGGACACCATTTTAAGAATAAATAGATGTAATTGTAAGCAATATATTTCAGCCAACCCCATTCCTGCAAAATTGTAAAATTATCAATACATCCTAATGAATAGAAGTACCTGAACAATTGTTACAATAAACAGTACCTAAAATCATTAATCTAGTTCCTGTCTAAGTTTCTTTATTTATTGGATCAAAAAAAATCCTGGAATAAGCGAAGAGGTTGTCAAAACATAGACAAACCCCAGCGAAAGTAATGATAGTATCAGAAAGCTGTAGTATCCAGATAGTTGCAGGTTCCAGCTTAACTCAAGCTATTCCAGTGACGAGGTCAAATTGGCTGGCTGAGATGCAGCATATTAAAGAACAAAATCATAGCAAAATTCAATTAGAAGTAAAGGTACAAGACTATGTACAGATATAACATTTTCAAGACCAAAACAGCAAACCTTCATGTTGTGGACTGCAAGGTTCTGAAACGTGCCACATCATGGATCTAAGCATTTATGAATAGGCATTATATAGAACATGCATATCATAACACACCATGCCCAAAATGAGGAATAAGTTAAAAAACCATAAAAATGCCCAAATGCAGGAATAAATATATCTTTTGTAATACCCTATTGAAATTAAGACAATAGTTTTGCACACAAAAATTAATAAGCTAAATACAGAAAGTTATCAGGAAATAAAATGCTTACCATATAGATGTAGGGCCAAGCTGTCCCCCTGGATATAGTCTGCTAGAAGAAGTCTCTCTTGCTCTCTAGGCCCCCAATAATATGCTCGCAGTGGAACAATATTGGGATGTTTTATAGAGCCTATTCTTTTAACTTCCTTAGCAAATTCTTTCTTATTTTTGACCAGTCCCACCCGCAACCATTTCACGGTCAACATATGCCCAGTGTCTAGAGTGGCTTTATACAGAGTTCCATGGCTGCTTCTGCCAAGAACTTCTGCAGGAGCTCGAGATAACTCCTCTGCAGTGAATGCTAGTGAAGCATCAAGGAAGAATAGCTCTCCAGCCAACCGATCTGGAGAATAGACATCCAGCTTCACAGATTGTTCATGTGCCTCGACAAAACGAGGAGAGGAAGTTCGTGGAGAGTCTGACGAGGACTTCCTACCCGATGTTGTTGGACAATTCTCTAGCAAATTAGGATTTGAAGACACCAAGCTAGCAGCCACACCCCCAGGAAAATCATGCTCAACAATTTCATTCGGAAACTGTTTCTGCCCAGATAATGACCTTGAATTTGAAGCAAGCAGGTGATCATTTGAAAAACTCAACAATGTTGGTGGGTGATGAACATTCGAGTGGAATTTGAAAAGGGAGGATCGAGCAGATCTTTCAACCTTAGCATCTTCCCCTGAAGTTTGGTTCCCAAATCTATTTCTTACATGAAATTCTTTTTGATGTACCCGATGATAGGCCAGTAAAACTAAAACCATCATAGTCAAAACTGCACCAACAATAATTGCTATTGTAACACCATGCTTTGCACTATGATGTTTACCATGGCTAGATAGTTGATTGGGAACAGAATTTGTTGATGGCTCATCATTTGGAAATATCAGCAAGGAATTCCCAGGACGAAATGAAGAAATACTAAATTTGCTTCTCAGGTTTTCTGGAATAGTGCCGCTTAAATCATTATAGGACACGTTGAATCCAATTAGGCTGGATGGAAGCTTATCAGGGATTTTACCCTCAAAATTGTTGCTGGATAAATCAAGGTACTGCAAGTAGGTAAGTTTGCTCAATTCAACTGGCAGCTCCCCTGATAAGTTATTGTTTGAAAGAGTAATTGATTTGAGATTTCCCATGTTACCAACTTCTGAAGGCAACCCACCTGTCAAGGAATTGTGGGAAAGATCAAGAGACTCCATCTTTGGATAGGAAGGTAAATATAATAATTCACCCATATGTGAGCCTTTCAAAGGAATTGGCCCTGTGAACTGATTTCTTGAAAGATTCAGGTACGTCAAAGTCATTGAAGTAAAGAAGCCACCTGGGATAGGCCCACTAAGTTGATTTAAACTGAGATCAATTGCCAACAATCCCTGACTGGCCCCCAGTTGAGAAGGCAAGTTACCCCCTAGGGAGTTATTCCTGAGGTTAAGTTTGCTTAATCTTAAAAACAGAGAATTTAAGTTTGGCACGTTTCCAGACAACTTGTTTGAACTCAAATCAAGAACCTCCAGAGTGGCTTTCCAATTCTGCATAACAGACATGTCACCAGAGAGATTATTTCTACTAAGATCCACAACTGTACATTTGTCAATAAATGCAGGCAAAGAGCCTGATAAACCATTTGAAGAGAGATTTAAAACATCCAGAGTTGACGAACTAATTCGATGTAGAAGACCTGCATATAGATAAATGCTGCATATCAGAGAGACAACAAACTGCACTAAGTCACCATGAGAAAATTAATTCACCACAGAACTCGCACGGATGGAAACATGAATCATAGATGATATAGCATTGAGTAATCAGAACAAGTGGATCATAATATGCACGCCCATTTACAAATTTTTGATAGTGATCAAAACCAAACTTCAAGTAATATTCACATTCTATTTATGATTGTAATGTAATTTCGTGTGTGTCCATATCCTCTCTTCAATTCCTTTTCTCTAAACTTCTATTATTCTATTTTCAACATAGAAACCTGATAAATTACAATGTGAAAATATTCAGTCTGCATGTAGAAAGTCACAGAATAAAATTGAAGAACAAAACAGTGCACATACAGTTAGAATAATTTTCCTAAATTGCAACCTAACACACTCAATTTTGCCTGCAACGATGCTAACAGCAAAAAAGTAGACAAGTCAAGAACATCATACCAAATAAAGTCACTTTCACATGGAAAAGAAAATAAAAAAGATGAGGGAAGGAACAGTCCAACCCCATATTCTCAAAATCAATAAAACCAGCAATTTTGAATATGTAAAGATAGATTTAATCTTAAAAATTAGTTAAATTTCATAGAAATTATTACTTTCCATTGACTAAATATTCCAATAGAAATTCTAACCAAAATAGAAAAAAGAAATATATGTGCAACAAATCAAAAACCCAATAATTACAAACAGAAGATACAGATTCTATTACCCGTAAATCCATTGCTACTAAGATCCAATTCTTCAATTGGCATCGACCCATTCAAAAATTCATCCGGAATTTGTCCAAACAACTGATTATTCCCCAATCTAAGTACCCTTAAATTCAGCATAGACAAAAATGAAGGTAATTTCCCATTAATGCCACTGTTACTTAAATCCAAACTTTCCAAATTCCTAAACAAAGCAATCACCTCTGCTCTCAGAAACCCACCATTCAACTGATTTCCGCTGAAGTTGACAAAACGCACCGTATTAGCCAAACCCGAAGCATTCTCTACGCTGAGACCACCAAGCTCACCATAGAACTGATTATCACTCAAATCCAAATGCTCCAAATTAATCAATTCACTCAACACCTCACGAACATTACCTCCAAACTTATTAGAATGCAAATCCAGAACCCTTAATTGTTGCAGATTCCTGAACGGAACCGGCAAACCAACCGGAAAACCACCTTCAAAACCATTCATTGATAAATTTATATATTTCAAGTTCCATAACTCAGCGATCCGACCTGGGATCGGCCCAGAAAACTTGTTGTCTGATAGATCCAAGTACTGAAGCGAGCTCATGGATCCCAATGTGGGTACAAGTCGACCCGTGAACTGGTTACCAGAGAGAGATAAGTTCCGGAGTGACTTAAGATTGAGCAAAGTAGAGAACTTGAGGTCACCAGCGAGACTCAGGCGGTCTAGGGTAATGGCGGTGACTGAACTGGTAGAAGTGTCGCAGGTGATGCCGGGCCAAGAGTCCGGACAAGAACTCCGGTTGACTAAAGAAGATGGATCCCATGCTGAAATGATTTTGTCAAGCGGGTCGGACTCAATACCCTTCTTGAACTCAAGTAAGGATCGGAGCTCCGATTGGTCAGAAGCTGAAACTGAACTGAAAATAGTAAAGAATAAAAAGAACAAAGTGAAATAACTGAGACTCATTTAGAAAGAAAGAAAAAAAGAAGCATAAAAAAAGCTCTAATAATTCATCTCAGAAAGAAACCCTAGAATGTAAAATTAGGGTTTGCTTATAAAGACATAGAGATAGAGGAAGAGGGGAAAAGTCCGTTAAAAATGGCGGTTTAGAGGTCAGGTGGAGAGTGTTGGTTGGTGGAAGTGAGTAACTACAGACTGTAAAGGAAAGGACAACTCTTTCTCTCTATCTCTTCCCTTCTTCTCCTCCGTCTCTGTTATTCAGCGTTTTTTTCTCTTCTTGTTTTTCCTTTCGGTTAATTACAAAACCACTCCAAAATGTGTCACAACATACAGTTTGATCCTTTTATTATAAGTTGTACGTTGTAGTTGCATGGGTTTATGTATTATCCCTCCTGATAATTTTTTTGTCCTATTTTTTTTTTATCCGTTCAAAATTGTTGTTTTTTTAGTGAATAATATTTAAAATTTATTATTTTATTCTCATTTAATATATTTTTTTTTCCTACAAATATAATACTCTCCTTTCAAAAAAATCTATAAATATAATAGTCAAATTATTATATTATTATAAATTTTGACATAAACAAAATTAACATAATAAAACTCTATTTATTTAAATATTTAATTAATTTCAAGAATAATTTAACATATATTAAGAAAAAATAAGCAAATAATTGTAGTTAATCATATTAACAAATTTTCTTAATCTACATTCAAATTATATTAGAACACAAATTATGGGACAATATAAGAGTATTATTTACATAAATTTAAATATTAAATATAATTATTAAATTTAGACTAAGAATCATTATATAAGGGTATATATTTATACTATATCCAACATTTTATTAGACGATGTTTGATATTTTAAATATTTCATGCACAGTATATATATAAATAAAAAATTATTTTAACAGATAAATAAATTATCTCTAATAAAAAAATTATTATAGAGTGACACTTGAAATAAAGCAAAATAAAAAAATTTGTTATAGAGTGACACTTGAACTTAGATAGAGGTAGTATTTATACAAAAATTGTTTCCTACTTTCATTCTACTCATCTCTATCTTATTTTCTTTTTGCTCTTTCATGATTGTATAACTAAAAATTAAAATAAATTCTACGACTAAATATAAAAATTTATGTGTGTATTTTTCACGAAAATCTCATCACATCCCAAATTTTATAAGGAATTTATTATTTTTCTAAAATTTTAGATTTGGTAGTATTGTGTAGTGAATATAATTTTTTAAATAATATTTTACATATTTCAGTTATCTAATACTTCAAAAGTTGAAAAATATTATAAATATTAATATTTTGTATTACTAATGATTAATATTTCACATTAATATTTGACAATATCCAATCTAATTTAACAGGTCAAAGTGTTAAATAGAATGATTTTACAAGTTAAAATATTTAATAAATATAATTTTAAAAATCAAAATATCTAACGAATTAAATTAAAATTTGAAAATCCTAACATTTGAATATTGATACTCCAAAATCAATAGCTAATCAAGCCTAGATTGCTGGCCTTAATATGTCTGATTTTTTTCTTTTTTTTTGTCCTCAAATGGTCTAGTCAAGCTTGATGCTAATAGTTTATCTTCTAGTCTTGTTTGGTTAAATATTAAATTGGAGAATATTCTTTCTACATAAAATTCAGTCGATTGAATAATAATATTTTTAAGTTGAATACTATTTCTATTTTAATGTGTTATGTCAATACAAAATATTGTTTATAATAATATTTCATTATTATTTTTTTATTTATAGAGAATTATTAAAATGTTAATAGAAAAAAAGCTCTAAATATAAATTAATAGAATCAATAACTATAAAATATAAACGATAATATGCATAAATAACAATACGTGAAATTAAGGTAGAGTGTTTGATTTGGCAAACTTTTTATTTCAAATCTATTCTTAATTTATAATTCAATTTACAAATAAATAATTCATATTGACCAAACTTACATAACTTTTAAATTATACATGTCAAATAGACAATATTCTATGGGTATCTACTTAAAAATAACTTAATTTCTTAAAATTATCCAAAAAACATGTTACAAGTCAAGGACCTTCTAAAAATTGAAGGTGATATTTTTAAAACTACTAACTAAAATAGTAGGGTGACTAATATTAAGAGAATAGCCTCCAAGCCACCTCCCCCAACAATCACGGAAAACACCACCACTAGTCAACCTCGGATTAATAAGACTACTACCATCACAATTTAACTTGACCCAACCCTCTTGAGGCTTAACCTAAGCCACACAAAATTGCCTACTAATTCTAGTCGAAGCAACAACAGGAGTAGAAGAATTCACAATATCCAAAGCTATTTTAAAAACACAGCGATTTAAAGCAAAAACAGCAACAAGTTCAGTCTGAAAAACATACAAGTTCCTCGTTTTTCAAACTCACCAAATAGCAGCTAAAAACCAATGATGCCAAGAGATTTCAAAGGGAACAAGCGTGTGCAAGGATAAATTTAAACGCAACCACAACACAACATCATCCATCCCAAAAAAATTAGGAGGCAAACTCCACTACTGCCATCATGCTCGCACCACAACACAATCATGAAAAAGATGCAACAGAGACTCCTCCTCCATAGAACATAAACTATATAGACTAGAAAGAATCATACCTCTCTGAAATTGAAAAGAATTAGTTGGCAAACGGCTATGTAGAATTAGCCAAAGGAAATGTCTCAATTTAGACAAACAATCAACAGACCAAATCCATGAGAAAGAAACAAAATCAATACCAACATGCATCTCCTTCAATAATAAAGATAAATAGGCTGCTAACAGAAAACTCACCATTAGAAGAAAAATTCCACAAAATGGAATCCTGAACAAAAGCAACCAAAGAAAGAGGAACCGCATAAATTAAGCATGTAATATCATCAGAAAGACAGGTACGTAACACAGAAAGATCCCAAGAACCATTATGAATAAGATCACCCACCCGAAGATGCTCCTCACCCCAGAAATAGACCCTACCAAATCCACTGAAGGACCCACAGGCAACCAAGAATTATCCCTTAAACTAGGCTTGGCCACGGTTCCGGTTACAAAACCGACGGTTCCGACGAATCGCATAATTTTAAATTTTAAATTTTGAAGACTGGTTTAAAAAAAATTATTTGAACATAAAAAATTAAAAAATACACCTATGAAAGGACCACAGGCAGACCAAGATTTATCCCTTAAACTAGGCTTGGCCACGGGTTCCGGTTACCCAAAACCGACGGTTTCCGACGGAAATCGCATAATTTTAAATTTGTAAATTTGAAGACTGGTTTAAAAAAAAAAAATTATTTTTTGAACATAAAAAATTAAAAAAAATACACCTAAAAAATTAAAAAATACCTTCAAATAAAATTTATTTTTTTTAAAACTTGAAAACTGTGTTGAACATTAAATATTTGGGTTTATTTTTAAAAAAAAAATTTCAACTGAATTATTTTTTTTTAAAGGTTTGAACATAATTTTTTTTATAAAAAAAATGGGCTTGAACTTTTTTTTTTTTTTGTTTTTTTAAAAAGTAAAGTTGGCCTATTATTACTCTTTGGGTTTAGAGGGAAATTTAAAGCCCACATAGTTCCTTACTTACCTATACCAGATTTCACCCCTTTTTTACCTAATCGGCTCTATTTGCACCACTGGTTGTGTTCCCGTTGAGAGGGACCCATCGTAATAAATCATATTTTAATAAATCTTCATTTTCTTTTTGGATTTTTCTTGGACTCTAGTTCGGGCCTTAGCCCAAATCATCTCCACGCATGCTTTTTGGTGCTTCTAAAATGAATCGGTGGTCATACGAGATCGGTGTTTCATCAAGTTATCCTGTTTCCTCCTTTGACTAAAGCTTGTTTCAACCGCAACAGTTGGAGACCGGACTGCCTTAAAATTTGTTTTGCAAGTTAAAGGATAAGAATTGGAAAAGTATTTGCGTGACGGACTCCACCAATCTAAAATTGGTGGGAAAAAGCAGAAGTTCTGCATAATCATCACCCAAAACTCAAAAGAAGTTGTTAATAATTATCAAATTGCAGAAAAGTAGAACTTGGGATTCCCTTGATTCTTTTTTTGTCTTTGTAGTAAAACTTATGGAGCAACAACCAACACCACTTACCTTTGTTTGTTGGAAAGATTGTTGAATATTAGATGAAAGAAGTTAGGATAGAAGCAGAAGTTAGGAAGGTAGAAATGAACTAGAAACTTGAACAAATTTCATATATAATTGCATAAAAGTTTGTTAGTAGATGAACTAGAAACTTGAACAAATTCATTATATAATTGCATAATATTTTGTTTAACTTCATGCATTACTACATTTATATTAACATTATCTTCTACTACATTTATATTAACATTATCTTCTACATCAAGATTCAATACTTCATAATAAATAGTCAAATAATCACATAAAACATCCATTCTACATCTAGGATCAAATATAATAGCAACAAGATAAAGGGGTGCTATATTTTTAAAATAAGATAACCATTTTTTTTTCATTGAAAAAATACAATCTTTTAATAAATCATCATTTTGAAATTCTTGGAGTGCATTAACAATATTAATACACAGGTAAAAATAAATGAGATGTGGGATAATAAACCCCACTAAATTTATAGGTAGCATCATTAAAAATTTTTAAAATATCTAAAATTTTTGTACAAACACAATCTCCCAAATTTTTGGATAATAAATTAATAGTCCTCCATTATTATTTAGTAACAAAAAGCATAATAATTTCTTTATAAGAAAAAAAAACTCGTTGTTAGTAATTCATATATTGAATTCACAACGAGTTGGAGGGGACATCCCTTGAAAAACGTTTTCTTTTATTATTTTTCTTTACGAAATTTAGCCCAAACTTTTTCATTCACGTTGGGGGGATGTGTCTATTAAAACGATGAAAATAGCTTTTTTAAGTGGAGGAAATTAAAAATATTCAAGAATTTTTTTAAACCAATTCTGTACACTTAAATTAAAAAACATTGGCATGCACCATCTTATATTGAAAAAATTTTCCACCAATATTTTGTTCACAAATTTTTTAAGTTCAATAATTGATCTAGTATTTTGCAGAGCAATTAATCAAATGAAAATTGAAAAATTTTTTTGTCAAATTATTATATTCATCTAAAAGGGAAAAACAATACTCATAAATGTTTATTTGCCAGTATGTTTTATAATCAAAAAACACGAAAACCAATACATTCTTTTTTGAGAATTTT